CATCTCTGAATGAAATTGTGGTTGTGGGATAAAAAAGGGATAAAAAGAATCGAGGGGTTGGTGAAGGTAGAGGTGGCGACTACGACGGAACAAGAAAGAATACCACAATAACAGGTTATTTGTGGGTGAAAGTGCATGTGAACGCACTTTACTCTGAGGGCGAATAGATTTCTCAATGACATGTGTTTCGAGTTATAGTGATTGACGTTAGGTTGGAGAGTTGGTTTGGTAGGCAGGTTTGGACTTATTGCTCCACGATAAAGATTCAGATCCCAGATATGCTGAGTGAAAGGGGGACACGAGGAAGATGGGTTGGCCGGCTGCTGGAGAGAGTTGAGGAGGAGGAATAATAATGGAAAGGAGGGAAGAAATTTCTATTGTTGTGCGTTTTGTTGTTGTTGTTCATATGTATACGTGGGTGGTGTGACCTTTGGTTGGTGGTGCGGGAGGAAAAGTCTCAAGGAGAGAAAAGTCAAAGTGGCCAAGGAGAGAGGAGAGTGAAGACGATTTTGTTTTTTGAATGAGACGACCGACCGACTCGCTGCTATTGATACAATGAATATTTAGATGTGCGAGGAGTGAGGGGTTGGGTTGATGGCTCTCCAGGGAGTCCGAGGATCGGATTCGAACGGACCGATTTGATCCTCGTCTACCCCCTGATGAGCTCTGAATGTATATCTGCCAAAGTTCTTAATTAAAGCTTTTCCAATTTCAACTTGTATCATCACTGGAAGAATCCAAGCTCATCCCATTCTTCAGATAGACACGTAGCATTAATATTTGGCCGTGTTGTAATGGTCGTCGTCGTATTGTTCACTGCACTGCCGTACCACTTGCTATATGATCCTGCCGCATGGGTGGTGGTGTTGGTGGGGTACCTTAATAATGTTTGATATTTCACACCCTGCACCGTATAGGACTCTTTCATATGCATATCATCATCTCTATTGATTCTTTCACTTACCTTTTATCATGGTCCAACCAAGAAGATAGGCTGGCAGCATGTTGGTTGATCAAGTTCTCTCTCATTGCGGAAAACTCCCGAGGGATTCTCACAGAGAGTGAAAGTAGTGAAGCAAGTCCCTCTTCCTCCTCCGTTGGCTGCCTTGTTTTAATTTTAATGTGCCTCATACATACCAAACATCTCTTTTTATCCTCCCACTTCTCTCATCCATTCACTCATTTCCTTCTTCGGATCACTGATACTCGACCAAACCAACCCTTCTCTGCATACAAACTTACTCCTCGTCTCACTTGGGACCTTCCTAAAACTTTTCAATACTACTTCCACTACGGTTTATCTCTTCAACCTACCACCACCACCACCGTTCATTCATTCCACTTGCTCGTCTTCTTCTTATAAATATGTCAGCCGCAGATGGACGTGTAAAATCTTCCCGTCCACGATGCATGTGCGTACACACTCTTGTTCTTCTTGATATCCGCGTGAATCTAATTTCAATTTCTGCTTCGACCCTCTCCTCACTTTGTGTTCGATGATTAAAGTCCAGTTTATGCATTCGTGGGAGAAAGTGGAAAGGAGGGTAGAAGAAACTGCTGGTTGACTGGACCCTCTGTCGTATTAGTAGTCTAGTCAAAGCTGTGTTGTAGGTAAGATTCTGCGTTGATATCTAATGTCCTCCTGCTGCTTGGTCCCATTCAGACAAACGATTAAATAATGAATGAATGTGTTTCCTCATCCGTCACCGTGATTCTGTGATTGATTTTTCATCAATAGGAGCTGTGTTTGTTTGTGACGACAACGGCGGAAGCGAGGAGACTTATTGAGAATGAGAAGGAGAGAGAGGTCAAAATAGGTGAATATTGTCCTGAGGCACGCGATCCCACCGCCGCCACGATCTTCTCACCATTCCGTCTCCTCCTTCTGTGTACTTAACGAGAGAGAGGTAGACCCCGTGCGGTGCTGTAACAAAGGACCGTTGATTGAAACGGTGAGAACGGCATCGGTGCCACTCTGATGTTGGCGACATTTGATTATGTTGATTGAGCTACATCACGATACTCGCTCCTTTCTTTGTGATTCAAGATTTGTTGACAAAAATTACGACGATGAGGTGGCGTTTCATGCAATATTCGGCGGCACGGAGCAATATATCATTCATTTCACAATGTAGCCAAGTGGGAAATTCATAGGAGAGAGAGAATAAGTACTTGAAATTCATGGGAGAAATTACATACTGAACTGGTCCACCTGGTTTCGGTGATGATGATCCGATATCGTGTGTGACAACATCCACTCTTCTCCTCCTCCTCCTCCTGGCTGATCGTGCAGGTTTGGTGGTGTTTGTGCAGGGAAGAAGAAATTCCGACTATTTAATAAAGTGAATTGTAACAACTGGGAGGAGGAAATATATAACGATAATTATTCGGCTCTCTCTCTCTCTCCCATGTTCTCACATCGAGTAGGGGAGCATTGAATAGATAAACATCAGGAGAAAAGAGAGAGAGAGAGACAGAGAGGCTGAAGAAAATGAGAAGACGGGAGTAGAAAATAAGGGTGGAACGGAACCTGCTGAATGTGTGAACAACAATGTGAAATGCGATATTCAAAATTTGTCCATATATCTCACACAAATTAACTCTCTAGTACAAAGTCGTTGTGGCCATTGAATAATGTTCATTTATGCCGACATAAATTCACTCTTATTAGCAAATTGCAAATGCCTTTTCCTTCTCAGCTCTCGTGGTATGCCCTCCACTCCTCCGCTCTTCTTGGAAGAATGACCTGGTTGGTATCGGTTTATTATTGTGGGTGAGAGCCGTTGTGTGTGCCATGCTGGGTAAATTTAATGCATGTTATTGTGTAGTGAGATGAGGCTGCTGCTGCCGCGTTGGAGAAAGTTTACTCCTTGCCTTCTTCTTCTTATTCGTTTCTCATTGAGGGAGCAAATTCATGGCGAGACATGAAACGAGGAACTCTTGGTCGCAGTTCCTTATTCTTCCATAAATATCCAGCTCCTTTCCCTCACCATGTTTCACTGCATAAATATGTCCCAACTTTACCAATAAGTCCCATTACGCTGTTCTCAAACACCGACACCCGACAACACAATTCATGATTTACATCACAACCCATAAGCCAAAGAGCTTCATTTTCCCTTGTTTCCCAATACTCTGTCTTCTCGTCGACTCTCTGCCTCAGTCTGCACTATAAATTTTATTTCCTACTCGCTCACTTCTCTGTAAATTCCTAGTTTGCTGTTTGTTTACTCCTCGGAATTATGGGCCCCTGGACTTTGCACATCATCTGCCAATGATGCAAACCAAACTCCTCATGGCACTTAACTCGGAACAAGAAGGTGTCGATGTGATGTAGTCAAAGACCACCAAAGTAATAATGTTGCCGGGCTGGACCACAAATCTCAAACTCTCTCTCTCTCTCCATTTCAAAACGTGTACATGACATTGTTCTCTTTACGACTTTCTCTCTGTAATGGGTTGAACAAAAAGGCATTCTCCCACTCACTCGTTTCCTCTCACTGAAATTTGATTCCATCAACAGCTCCTTCTTACATGGACGCCGTATGAATGATGGAAGAACATTGAAATTATTATTAGTGGACATGCCTTCTTGAGAGAGTACATGTGCCACTGTGTATGGAATAATTTGATTGCCAGTGCGGTGATAAGGAGGATAAGACTGCTACCGGTTTTGGTACTATGTAACGTTTGATGATGGCATCAAAGTAGGAAACGGGATTGTGTGTGTACCTACTACTTACTACTGCCGGTGGGTGTAATATGATTGTGGTTGGTTGGTTGGGATGATGATTTTTTCTTCTCTTCTCCTGCAATGTGGGGATGATTTGGGGTAAAAGGAAGATTAGTGTAGGAGAAAGTAATGTGGAATTCATTGGATAATGTGTTGTGCATTGAGCCTGGTTGATGTGAAAAAATGAGCGAGACACTCCAACCCCGTGTGTTGCCGATGATGGGAACAATATTATTAGGGAAACAGAAGGAGAGGGAAGAAAGAGAGAAAGCATGCAATTTTTTACACTTAATGAAAAGCTATTAGATCGACTGCCACACAGTCAGCGAGCCGAAGAGAGAAGAGAATTCGTGGTGTTATAACATTGCTCGCATAACAGTCCCTCTTCTCACATTTCGTTAATATCCTCTCTCTTCTGGCTGCTGCTGCCTTTGGTAATAAATACATTTTTACTTTTTCCCATTCATTTCTTCTTATGTTCGACTACAAAGCAAAGGGTGGATCCGAATACCGCAGGATTATGTAATCATATGCGAAATGAAAAATAATCATAAATCGACTCATTTTCTATTCTTCCTTTCCTTCCTCTCCCTCTCTCTCTTGCTATTTCCTTCCTTCTATTCCAGCTATTATGCTACCATTACGATTATGCAGCAAAGCAGCAGCAGACGTCGTTTGCCTCGTCTACTTTTTAAACTGTTGTTATCGATTAATGTGATATTTTCTCTATTCATTAATTTAGCTGCTGGCTGGGAAAAGAATATGCCGCAACTGTTTCCTTCCAAATCCCAACATCCTTCGTTCCATTGCTCTTCTTCTTCTTCCCTCGGCCAGTATGCTAATTATCCAATTCCCTCATCCATCCTCCTCTCGAACATTACCTTTCCTCGCTTTCCCTTAACTGCCATCGTTTAAGAGAAACATTACGCCATCCGGCAATATCTCCTCCCTTCTCTCTCGCTTTCTCGTATTTTATCCAATTTTTCATGGATTATGGGTTACAGACGATGTGGATGATGCGACATAAAATTGTATTAGCCGTTTAGGGATATTGAATGCAAATTATGTATCGTGTTGTAGTCAAAGTCTTAAATTAGATGTCTCCTTCTCATTGTGCTCAGCTCTGTGAGGCTGTTTGGATTAACAAATCCATTCTTTTGTTCAACAACAGCACTATTTATGTGTATCCTACGTAGTAATAATCCAGTCTTGCAATGTCTCATCCGAGAAAGGAGGATAATGAGTTTTCGGTATTTTTGTCTTGCAGGAGTTACATTTAACAGTACAACAGTGGTTCGAAATCAGTCAACTTTCCTTATTCCCTAATGCCGACTATTGTTGCTTGCTGTGGGGATCTAGAGGAATCGTTATCGTGTCGATCGAGCATCGAAATTCTAGTTCCAGGCTTCAAATAACAAAGTAAGATAAACAAAACAATGGGATTTGGCTGGAATTAATGAATAATGTCCAAATTTTAATTTCTGCTTTTAATTGTGCCTGCAGGGAACATTTCATAGCTGAAAGCGTGTATCGGGATCATCCTACCTTGTCCATCTTCCAATGTAGATGGTCACCAATACGGTCGGCGAAAATTGTGATGGTTCTAAATTCGGATTCCTTTCTTAGGTATGATTATTTCAATGGTTTGATGGAAAAGAAAACGGAACATAATATGGAATTGTATTATTAATAATCTGTTTTGCTTTTTTCTTCACTGTAGAGTATATAATGTAATGTCCGGAGATACGTTGGGATGCTTTAACCTCGGACCCAAAATTAGTCTACCTCTCGTGACAACTTTCTCTCCAGACATTAACCCAGAAACTCCGATTGACTTCGATTTCGGCCCTTATATATCTGTCTTGAAGTCATGGATGATTCTTGTTTTGAAGCCGACTGGCCTGATATACTGTGCCCTTCTAGGAATTGTTGCGACAAATACGCAGTATGCTTAGACTTTTATTTCCTTAATATTTAGTATATGGTTTTGATGAAATTTGGTAATGATATGTTAATTTTTTATGGTTAGGTGTTTTATAAATTATTATCGTCACGTGCAATACTCGAGCAGCACGGAAGAAGAGGAAAACTACACGCGAATTTTGTGTTCTAAGCAATTTCCAATTGTTTGCGTAACAGGTCAAGAGAGTGGATTCTTGTCTCATTCAATAATGGTCCCTACCCGGTTAGAAGAAGATGATGTAGACTTGGAGGACCAAGTTGATAAACATCTCATGAACGACTCTTACAAATTGTTTATTAAAGAACGCTTAAAATTACCCAAAAGATCAAGTGGACATAATGAATATGAGTCGTCATTACAGTTACTACAGGATCCTCTATTTGATAACAGGTAGATTATAGATTATTTTGGGATTATTTTTTAGTTGAGCAAATATGGTCATTAATGTATTTAATTTTTTTATTTATAGATATATATGTGCACATGACAGTGGATTAAATATCATAACCATTAAATTTGCTCCAGAAGTACAAAAATTTTTAATGGGTGACGAGGATGCCCTCGAATCTTTGACGTCTTCAGTTTGTAGACACTTGATGGTTTGGAATGTAGGAGATACGGTGCCGACATTCAACAAATTGATAGGAATTTCTTTTACTGCTTCTCAACCCGAGAGATTATTATGTGTTCTTAATGATGCTAGAGTGAGTTGGTACTAGTTAATTATTAAGAAAGAATGGGTTTTCTGAGCTAATTATAAAATTAAAAGGGTTATTTCATTTTGAACCTTACAGGCTATCATATATTTAATACCACATCCTGCAGACATTCGTCATTTTGAGGAAAAGAAAGAAATTGTCTCAGTAAAATATGATCCGACGAACAGTAGGAGCATCTTGGACGTAATCAAGTCTATTTTAGGTCAATCCCCTGAGCAGCCATTTTATTGCTGTGACCAGGATGAGCTTGGGGTACGTATTTGTCTCTACGTCTAATCATCATTTAATACCAATCTTTACTATACATTATTACAAGTTAATTTATTTAATTAATTAATTTTGCAGACTGCGGAGAGTAGAAAGCTATTACAGGCCACTCTGAAGTCCAAATTCAAAAGACTGTGTTCATTGGAGAGAGCTTCAGAGTATCTGGCTTCCTATTTGAAATCAATTCGTTCAAAAACAAAAGATATGGAGACGTCTGTAAAAAATCTGCTAGATGCAAGAGGCGAAATAAAAGTATGTCCCAAAAATATGTAGAATATATTGAAGTATAATGTTGGAGGATAATTCAAAATTTATGTGTAAAACTATTTTATTAAAGGATGCTGCTCAAAACATTGCCGAAATATACGAAGATTTATCGGAAGAAGATCAAGTTACTCGCAAACGTATGGACGTTGTAATGTATCGTTTCCACCAAACGTTTCCTATTCTTACCGATAAAGAAAAAGAGTGGCGACAGATATTAGAAACTATAAGTCGCGAAATAACTTCACTTAAATCATCAACGGAGTCGCTTCATCATCAAGTTGCTGAGATGAAGGAAACTTTACCCACACAACCTGTCAAATTAAAAGCACATCAACTAGAGTCCATAAAAGAGCAAGTAATGCATAAGTAAGTAGTATAAAAAATTGCCAATTGGACTGATTTTCCTTTATACGGAATTAATTATTATTTTCATTTAATGTAGCCAAACTGTGATTTCCACCATGAAAAACAGCCTCCTTCAAATGCAAGACAAGATTCTACGACAATAATTATATTTTTAACACAAAAAAGAACAAATGTTGGAACACAGAAAACATACTGATCGTGTTCATCTTTTGCCGAGCTACTACAATTTATGAATTCTGTGATAACTTATTATAACTCGCACTCAAATATATGCCGCTAAAGTGATAATTCTTCTTAATTCGTATTAATAGTAACTATTAACAATAAGATTATAATCCTCTATACACACTAATTTTATCCATGGCTTGACAATATTGACAAACTAAAACTTCTGTTCTTTAACTTTACGTATTTTGATTAATTACTGATTATTCGGAATGAACCGTATAATAGATATAAGACTCGCATATACCAAATCAATATTCAGGATTAATATGAGCTGAAATGGTTTTCATGATCAATTTACTCTTTTTCTAAAATATTTTAATATTTGAACATAAAAGAAGTTAATTGTATACATCGATACAGTATATTTATAAATGTCTTTAAAATACATGCACAAATCAATAAGTTAGGTATTCTATTAAAATGTTTGAAAATAAAAAATAACCAGGTGCATTTAATACCGATAAAGAGGAGGAATGTGAAGGGGATGTATGTAAATATTTGCAAGCCCAAATTGTACCGTACATTTTATGTGAAATCTCCAAAATCGAATAAATAAATAAAGAATATTTGTATTCTTTTATGATAATAATTTCAATAGTCAAAAGTAAGTGGACCTTAAATTACCATTTTGAAAATAAATTCTATTAAAATTACTTAGAAAATTATTGCAATCATGAAAGTGAAACTTTTTGCTTTAATGTAAAGTCAGATCAGAATCTCCTCCGCTAATAATTATTTAGCATATACTGCAGTTTGGCATTTTATGGAAATTATTGAAAAATGCAAATTATTCGAAAAGATGTAATTCCATGCATGCAGTTGTGAATCGCAGAGAAAGCAGTGAGTTTGGTTGGATGGGGAAGGTGAGCGAGTGTTATTGGCGGCATGGGAAGCTACATTTTCAGCACTTTTTCACTTTCTCTCTCTCTCTTTCTCTCTCCTTGTATTTAATTGACAAATCGTAGAAAAATAATATTTAACTTTCTGATATCTAAATTTGTAACGTAAATTATCAGTTATCAAGTGTTCAAAAGATTCTTCTTGTTGAAATACAAAATAGGTGAGATATCTTGCTTGAAAATTTTATGAGTAGGTGAAAGTTAAGATTATTTACGCAGTATGTTGTAGACAGGTGACTGACATTGCTGTTCGGATTTTTCGACATGGCCTGCAGATGGTCATCCAAGCTGATCGAAAGCTGTAGAACCAAGTTAGGATCTGATCCACATTTTGCTCGACATAAGGCTCGATTTATGTCAGGCGACCGGTAAGTGAATTTGGCCAAGTTAGATAGAAAAGTAAATTAAATTAATGGGTGTTGTAGGTTAAGGATGTCAATCTCCCCTGGTTGGATTCAAGCCCAAACGATCAGTAGTTCTCAGAGCCGACATGAGTTTAAGATTTATACTCGAACTGGTGACAAAGGAACATCAGCCTTGTTCACGGGAGAAAGACGGCCGAAAAATGACCTTATTTTCAACGCATTGGGCAGCACGGACGAACTTTCTTCTCACATCGCCATGGCCAGGGAATACGCTCTGGAAGGGGACCATTCTTACTGTGAACGTTTGCTCAGGATTCAATGCATTTTACAGGCATGATAAATGAACTGCGTTGATACTTCATAATTTCACGATAATTTTCCTACCAATGCTATATAAATAAATTACGACATAAGAACATTCTATCGTGCAATCATGAAGCATCAACGAAACTATTGCTTGTTCTTATCAAATTGAACAATTTCATGTGAAGTAAAATAAACAAAGCGTTTTATTTTAGGATATCTCGGCCGTTATCGCCACACCAAAGTCGTCTGCACGGGAAGCTCATTTAAAGAAGGTCGGATTCTCGGAGCGTCACGCCACTGAATTGGAAGAATGGATTGATGAGTACACGCACGAACTGCCTCCTCTGCAGAATTTCATTTTACCAGTAATTTTTAATTTTTACTTCTATTATTTCAGTATTCAAAGGTAGATAGATGTGCCTTTGAACAAATATATGTAACATATTCGGTGTACAAAATAGGGTGGTGGAAAAGCTAGTGCAGCGCTTCATGTAGCGAGAACTGTTTGTCGACGAGCAGAACGTTGTGTTTCTCCATTGGTTCTTTCAGGAGAAATAGATACACAAGCACTCATATATCTGAACAGGTTGGCGTTTTAAATGTACTGTATATTAATGTATATTAAACTAGTGTTTATTTATGCATGTTTAAATTGTAGGTTGTCGGATTTCCTGTTTACCGCTGCTCGATATGCAGCAAAGCTAGATAATCGTCAAGAAGAAATCTACATCCGTTCCGACCTAGAAGAACCTCCAAAGAAAGAGAAATCAAAACCACTAAATCCTAGTAAAAAATAGTCATCTTCTAAGGTCAAAAACCAGGCCACAACAATGGTCATGCATTTATATTGAACTGATCAAATTATTGTACGCATTTAAATTTAGCTAAAAAAATAGTACCCGAATAATTGTAAGTGAAAGTAAACATTTTTATGTACAAAAAACAGACTGATTTGAACAATAAAAGTTTTGCTTTGTTATAATTTGTGGTGGTGCTTATTCAATTAATTATTACTTATTATTGATTATTATTAGATGGTGCTTATTCATTAATTATTCGATAGCTTCCTCGCTGTCGTTAACTTCTTTCAGAGACAGCACTTCTAATCTTCCTTGTCCCTTTGTTTCAGCCTGCATTATCTCATCTAATTGTCTGTAATAGCCAGGATCGATCAAAACAGTCTGTTCAACAATGCAAAAGAAACATTCAATTAATTTATCTCTTTTTATATAACCTCTTATTTTTTAAAACGAGATAAATGTACCATTGTTAACCCATTTCCCATAAACTCCTTATCCTCGACAGTCCCCATGTTCCCCACTTTCTCCGCAATGCTTTTACACGAGTGTCCTGACACAGTTATCTTCAACCTCATCTGCGCCCTCTCAATGGGAAGAGACGTCTTAAGCTGCGGAATTGCTTCCAAGGCCAATTGCTTCGCGCTTCGGTTTGGCTTGACTGAGAAGTGAATATCTTTCAAGCCCTTCTCGATAATTGAGATAGGATATGGCCGCTTCGTTTCAGGGTTAACACAGAGCCCTGGTCAAATAATAACAATAAATTGCATAAAAATAGTATAATTGTTCTCCAATAATAACCTTCTTGTAATTAAATAGCTCACCTGCAATCGTATTAGCAACATCTTTCACTGAAGCATCCAACTGTTCCTGCCTCTCCTTTCCGGACACTTGAAGCTCACCCTTATCCAAAATAAGTTTACAGATTTCTGTCTGATCATCCTTTCCAAAAGCTGCAACCAAATCCTCCTTTTTGGCGACTTGTCCCTTCGAAACGTTTGTGAAAACGGAATGAGTCTGTAAAACTTCATCAATATCCTTCTCCCTATAAAATATATTTAACCAAATTATATAAATTACCTTTAGAGAAATTAAAATTTATATTAATATTGTTTAATATGTTTACACTTTATTCCTCCAAGACAAAACCTTATTCTTGTAACACGCAATTTCAAAACGTTTTCCTCCCTTTTTCATCCTCACAATGGCCACATTTGTAAGTCGAATTTGATTCGTTGGCGTAAATATCTTGGACATTATGAATGTTGGATAAGTGTGAACTGCTGAACTAATATAACACGATGTAGTTTAAACTAATGTAGATTCTTCTAATTATTTCTTCTGAAACCAAACAATATTCACAAAATCGCCTCGTATTATTCTAGATGTGTCTTGCATGTGGTTGTTGAGATGAGATTGTTTTCCTTGTCTTTTTTATTCGTTGTCTCCAGTGGTCTCTCTTTTCCCAGGCATAAGATCTAGGCTCGGTGCCCTCTGATAGTAAAATGGGATCCTAATCCCATGAATTGGGGATTTATTATATCCACACAAGTGGGCGGAAGGTCAACATTGGCTTTATAAATTTCAAGCCTAAGCTTTTTCAATTTGGGAGGGGATTTGGATTCTTGCTCTGATCCTTCAACAGGAACAACTTGACGCCTCCCTCGGTGGATTACTCCCTTCATCACCAGAACAAGTTCTTCCAAATTGACACATTGTTTAAACAAAATGTTTTTCAATCCTTCCATTGACCAACCCGCAGGAACAACGAGCCGTTTCATGCGATGACCAAACTTTGTGAGAAAATTACTCATGGGGACATCGTCGATTGGCACGTTTATGGGCAATTCAACGTCCTCGTATATGTTTGGAATATCATTTGGAGCACAATCCATCCTTTCATCCACAAGTGCCATCAGTTTTTCAGCGTTATGTATTACCATTTTGATTTTATTGCTCAATCTTACAGTTGAGCACGCATCATACCAGTTGTTGCTAACTAGTCTGCATGACATCCAGTCCTTTAGTGATAAATTGGCTAATATCTCCCTAAATATCTGGAAAGAGAAATGAAAATTCTATTAGCATAAATAATTACAAAAGTATATCATCAATTTAAGAATTCCTCCAGGTGTGTCAAGCAGCTTACGTGGGGTAACTCAAATGGTGTAGTTGGTGGTCGATAATATGCTTCTCCGGATAAAGTTGACGGTCCACCGTGATTGTCGTCGTCGTTGTGGTATTGGCTGACTACTTCCTCGTTCAAAGAATGTAACTTTGAGCGTTTGGATTTGCGACATATCCCACCAGATCGAAGACTACGCTTGCCCATCATTGAATTCAAATCACAAATTCCAATTTGTTAAAAACTTTCAAGAGTTGAAACACGAATCAACAAGTAATGTGACTAGAGCAAAAACACCAGAGACCTTTTTCCGATGACTAGTAAAAAGTATATTGGATTGGATCACAGATAAAGTTAGTAAAGTAAGTAAATAATGAATCGAACTCGATCAAACTTATTTTAAATTGTGCATCTAAATTAAAATTACACGACACCACACGGCTACACGTATGTATTAGGATACGGGTGAAGCTGGAGGATTGAGGACTCATCCACAGAGATGCACGCTGTGATGTCATCGGGGTCAATGAGCACAGAGGGCACTTCACGCATCAAGGCCTGAACTAGCTCTGATTATCGTCTCATAATATGCAAAGTTAATTTTCGAATCATAATCATTTATTTGATATTAGACCCTTACGAAACGAAATACCAAGTCGTCATGCTCATCTAAACCTTTGATAAGCCCAATCATACTCTGGCACATTTTTAATGATTTTAGCATTACACATAGGTTTCCAATATCCAAATGTCTTCGTTTGAAATGCATGAAATACTGTAAAATTCGGTTTTATTTTCTTTTCTACATACAAAAGTAGAGAAACTCATTCAATTACAAATACACGGATTTATGATTTTCATAAATAAAGATATGATTAAATTAAAGATCCTTATGAAGAGGATCCACATACTGTTCTGTAGAGTTTTCAAAAAGGAGTTCCTCTCCATAGTCGTCATTTAGAGTGGAGGCTATATCGCCACGTTCCAAATTGTCCTCCAAACGTCGCAAAGTGATTTTATGTTGTCCCATTTTTACGTGGTCTTTAACAGTGGAGGAAGCGAGAGATTTGACCGTGGTGGTGGTGGTGGAGCTAATTAAATGACCTTGTCGGAGGGGTGTGGGTTCCATGATGACCTCTCGAGAGGATTGGTGATTGTTGTGATGGTGGTGATGACGAGGTTGAAGTCGGTCACGGTCACGTTCTTCCAGTGCTGTTGAAAGTCGGTACACTTCTCTCTCCAAGATTTCAATCCGTCTCTCCATTTCTCTGAGAGTGAAAGTGGAGTCAAATTGTATGAAAAATTACATGTTAAAATGTATAAAGTTACTAAACTATGTAAATTCATACCTAAATTCGTTCATTAAACTTGAAATTCTGGTGTTAAGAGCGACAAATGTTAACGACTTGTCACCACCTATTAGATTTTCATGATGACGGAAATCTTGTTCCAAAAATGTTTGACTCGCCATCAGATCATTCTTCTTATCCTTTTCATTCTCACCATTTTCTATCAAAATGCTTAGTTTCATCTCTATTTTAGAAACCCGGTTGGCAATGATGTGAAAAGTGGTGCAGTTGAAGCATTCTGAAATTAATTCAGTTTAAAAACGTATGAAAAATTAGAGAAATGCTTAACTATTAGTTTATTCTTACCTTCCTCGCAATCAGATCCTTCCAACCCTGGACAACATTTGTACCTTGTTTCCACAATCTTCTTATACGTCGTTACAAATTTGGGACGATGCAAAATTTTCTTCGTACAGGCAAACGATCCATTAATGCTTTTCCAGCAAATGTTTGGACCATAATACGGTTCTGTACCGTTCCTCACACGACAAGGCACCATTTTCTCGACTTTGTATGGACACCATGACCTACATAAATTTTTAACACACCACGTATTGAAAATTAATGAATCAATAACCTATAATACGCACTTACCCAGAATATATCGTCCGTGAACCAGGACATTGCCACAAGAGGCAAAGTAAGACTCGGAAAATACAAAGCAAGCGATTACTATTCATTCTGATTCTTTAAGGATTGAACATGGCCGATCAGTTTTGGGATATTTTAAATGAAACTAAGCACAAATTGATTGGAAAATCTCGTATTGCAAGAAAGAAATGAGGAGGAGAGGACGGATTTGAAATATTTACTTCTGCATGCGGGAGGTAGAGTGGACTATGGATGGATGATGAGAGGAGTCGAAAAGATTCATAGCGTTGGATTCCCACATGTGAACTACGGGACTCCTTTAAATTACGAGTCTCAAGTGCCAGTTTGCGTTATCAGTGGATATGATCAAATTTCACGAGGCAGAGAGACCTACCCAAAGAGCCTGGAGAATTGAACAACAGAGCTTCTTTCATTTCACATCGTCACAAACAAAAGGGCTTCCACGCTAAATGTTACCATCCCACTTCTCAAACCGACGGGAAAGAAGATACCCAGGCAGCAGTAATAAAGCAAAGATCTGCCGAGATTCTCATCCACGCAGGAAAATATTCTAATGTCAAGCTAGTAGTACAATTAATTGTTTATTTAGCTAGAAATTTGTCACCCCACTGCAAAATAGCCTCGAGGTAGTATAAACAAGCATTTTTGCCGGACTTGTCCAGTCTGGTGAGAAGGAAGTTGAACAAAAACCGGATTTAACAGGGTATATATTGTAGCTAATTGGTAATATAACTAACTTCCTGGTATACTTATGTGGACGGGTGTGGACTTAAAGGCACTTTAATTACCTTGCTAATACGCTGGAAAGTTGGAATGCTGACTTTTGCGTACATACACGCAGGAAAAAAAATATCCGGTCTTTAGCATAGTAATGAGAAGCACATCAAAATACGTATCAATCCGGATTGATTTATTCAGACTTTTACTACCAATTAGTAAATTGTTATGCATCAACTTCTTCTTCCAGAGGTCATTCTGATCTCGGCATTCTGATTGTGATGGCTTTGTTCTCTACAAATTTCCGCACTCTCATTCTCTGTTATCGACCATTGTTAATGTGCGATTATCCAAAGCGGAGACAAAACTTTAATTGTTCCACTCTTACAAAATCATAGTCAGTCAGTTCCATGAAAACTATGATGATGATGAATTATAAAATGTCATGCGCACATTTTAGATTCGATGGAACTCAGAGATTCGATTATGATCAGAGAAAGACCACTCACTGATTTCTTTTCATTAGCAAAACTGCACGTGAGTGAACAAAGCACAAACACATGCATAAATATTGGCTCGTGGTTGACGGGCATTCACATTATCGTTTCCTCTTCCTTCCTCTGATAAAAAAATGCGTCTCAGCACAGCACCCACGTCAAACATTTACTTTTGTGAAGCATGCATTTGGCCATTTCGTTCACATTTTAATATTTTAACCATTCTTATCCACATAAATGCAAACGTATGTCGACAACATTCAATTTCTGAACGATTTCTCGTGTCAAAAAACGGTCAGAGGTCAAATCTCTGCCTTCTGGGGTAACATGCCCCCTTTGAGACGAATTAAGCGACTGATGTGATTACAATAGGATGAGACTGGCAACATTTCTGCCATAAGAATAGTACCGCTATACGCAACCTACCACTTTTACCACACACGGATGAGTATAAAACTTGCTCATCTCATAAGTAAAAAGGGTTACCTCACTCACTTGCTCACTCGTTCACTAGCAATAAAAAACAAGGTGGATAAAAACAGTGAATCATACGCTCTTTAAAGAAGAAACCCTTGTTGTTCAACTAAATTATTTAGCAGCTCAGTAGTCAAGTCAAAAGACAAAATCTAATATTTAACTAAATATTATACTAAATTTAAAGTCATTTTCATTATTTACTGAATAAAAATTTGAGTGTCTCTAGCAGCGACCCGAAATAGACAATTTGCTGACGACGAAAATATCAACCATTTTGGGAAAAGTGAATTTCTAATTAATTACAGATCGGATCAAGTTAGTTGTGCTGTTAGTTAATTAATTTTAAAAGGGCGTTGCTGGTCCATCACAATTGACTCGTGCAACAGTGCCCGTGTGACGGAGGAGTCGTCACCACCACAAATTGTTGCAGTTCCAATCATGTCGGGTGACCAGAGGACCGTGATAAAGGGCAATCCGTCGCAATACGTTAAGCTAAATGTGGGAGGGTCTCTGTACTACACGACCATCGGGACGCTCACCAAAGTTCCGGATACCATGTTGCAAGCCATGTTTTCCGGGAGGATGGAGGTGCTGACAGACTCGGAGGGTGAGGTCAAATTATCAATCAGTTACGGTCAAAATAAATCTAAAATATGGAATGCATTTGCAGGTTGGATCCTAATTGACAGGTGTGGAAAACATTTTGGGACGATTTTGAACTACTTACGTGACGCTGCAGTCCCCCTGCCCGCAAATACGACGGATATTGAAGAAATTTTGGCCGAGGCTAAATTTTATTGTATGACGGGACTCGCTAACCTGGCCGAGAAGGCGTTAGAGAGTCGCAATGCTGTGATGAACCCTATCTGCCAAGGTTGGTAATTTATAATAAATTATTTATTTATTAATTAAACATTCATTTTTTATGAATTAAGCATTACGTTATTCAAGTAAGAGAATTGTAGTACCAAATATTAATAAGTTTATCATAAATTATACAAAATTAAAAGAATGTGTTTCAAACTGACAGTTCCATTCATTACGTCGGAGGAGGAGAGAAAGCAATTTATCGCTAATGCTACCAGACCCGTCGTGGAACTTTTAATAAATCGACACAACAATAAATACTCGTATACGAAGTATGAACAGTATAATATTATGTTCTTGTCATAACATGTATTTAGGCGTGGGTCTGTTTTATTGTAAATGAAAAATGATTTTCTTTTTCTTTTTAGTACGTCAGATGAAAATCTATTGAAGAATTTGGAAATGTTTGACCGCCTTGCGTTAAGATTCAATGGAAGAATTCATTTTATTAAGGATGCGATAGGACCATCAGAAATCTGCTGTTGGAGGTTTTACGGCAATGCAAAAAAGTTTGCGGAAGTGTGCTGCACTTCCATAGTTTATGCAACGGATAGAAAACACACGAAGGTATGAGATCATCTATATTTTAAAAACGGCCGTATTCTTAAAATTTAGACTGAAATGAGATTGTGAATTATTGATATGTTTATCAGGTCGAGTTCCCGGAAGCAAGAATTTACGAAGAAACTTTAAACTCATTCCTGTATGAGAACAGGCCTGGACCGGATCAGGAATTGATGAGGGCGACATCGGTTCGTGGACTGGGTGGTGTTACGAATTGCACTTCCGACGAAGAGGAAGAACGTCGCAATATTCGGTCTGGAAATATGGGCAAGGGCATTTTAAACCGATGAAATAATCATAAAAGGCAATAGTGAATTAATTCCTGCTAAGCAATTATTGCTAATAAGAAATCTCAGATTTTATCCTTCAGATAAAGTTAAAAAAATATGATAATTTCCAAGTGCTTTGTTGGTAGCCACTATAATTATATTTAACCGGAAACGAATAGCTATTATACTGCAAAATTGTTAAGTGGAATAAGGTGTGACATAAAATGAAATAATTAGCCACATAAACAATTCAATATTTCAATGAATAAAATATGTTGCCTTGGAGTTAATTGACATTAATTGCGTACTTATGAGTAATGCAAATATGTACATATGCATGCGCATGTATTGCATATTAGGTGCCGTATGAATAAGAAAAACATAACATGACACCATATTTTTCATATTAAGCCCTTTATTATACTGAGATGCACTTTTGTATACATTACATAGTCCTTCTGTTTAAAACAAAGATTACATCACAACCTGCGAAAAAAAGGTGAACTCATGGACCTTTCTCGTGGTTGAAAAAGTCCATAATAATTTTATACACTCCTTCCCAACTCCTTTACATACGTAGTCATACTTATTTATATAATATGTTCTTGCAACACACATAGTGTGTAAACACATCCGTAAAACAGTGTGATATCCCATCTTTCAAAAAATATGTAGCGCGTGGCGAATGACCTCGTGTCGAGGCGACGATGATGCGATCTAGAAACTAAGATTGTGTACCAAGTAGGAAACAAAATTGAGTAGAGATCAGGCATAAATTATATCTAATTTGTTAATAATGCATTTCCTCCCCACCGTGAAATGCCAAGACGAGTCTCCATTATCCATTACACTACATTATAGTATTTAATCTACAGGGGTAAGGTATACACATCCGCTGTTTTGACTAATAATAATAACTCGTGATACAAACCATCGGAATATCTAGTATTGCATAAAGGCGAGTAGCAATAGTGATCATAATTCATCAGGTTATTTTAGCTATTAACTGATGATTCGTCATCCTAAATAACTAAATGACTGCTGAAACTTAGGATACGGAAATTTAAACCTAAACCCCATTGTTGACTTAACAATGAGATTCTACAAAATCATTTGCATCTTGAAATGCTCGCTAAAACTAGTTGAATAATAAGAAATAATAAGAATAATGATTCAGTAATAAATAAATATAATTTATGATGGGATGTTTTCCGTGAAGTTTTCATCGAAAGAAGCAGTGACGAAGCCTTGCTGCTGGAGTACAAATAGACGTTTCTCCACAGCATCTTTGTCTAAAGTGAGTAAAAATAGCCAAAATTAGTAAAACAATATTAGCCTTTACTTTTATAATAAAATTTAGAAAATAGACACTCACATTTCAGCAATAGTTGTTTCTCGTTGTCCGAATCAACCTGTTGATACAAACTGTGCAGCAAAATTTGCGCTGTTTGGTACCGTTTGGAGCATTCGGCCGGATTCCCGAACAGCTCGTCCAGTGCAGCTGACTGGCACTGTTGTTTTTCAAAATTATGAATACAAATAAGTTAGTAATTCGTTTCGGAAAGAGTCGAAAATATATCAAAATGCATTTGTATATAAAACTAGTATTACGTACCACATCAATAGCGTGATTGTACAGGATTCTGTCCGCATTCAGATGTTGTTGATGTATCAGCATGTTCTGTGGTGTTTGAGAGCAAAGTTTCTTCGTGGCAGCGAAACTCGTTTTAAATCGATCATTGAGTTGCGAGACAACCTACAAATAAAAAACATTAACCAGCGTTAGACATTTTCATGCAACAGTAAACAGGCGTCTAATATTGTAGGCGTGAAATTTACCTTCTTAACAGCTGCAGAGGGTCGAAGACGACTTTCTTCAAGTTCATCTTTAGCGAGTCGCAAAGCGGAAGATAAGAGATGGAGAGTTCGAATATAGAGAACCAACTGTTCAGATTTTCCTATCTGGAATGTATTTCCCGTTTTGCAACAGCTCTCATCATCCCTGACGAAGAAGAGTACAAATATTAGTAATCATGGCTTCTCTTCACCTTTCACGACATATAACACATTAACAAACCTGGTGGATTCCTGCAATTTGGATAACGGTGCCCCCTTGCTCTTTGCCAGTTCAATTATGCACTCCACCAGAGCCAAAACAAAATTCAGCTTTGCCAGCGTCTGGTTGTGCTCTTTCTCAAGTAGAGTTTCTTCCGTCAATTGTGGAGGCTCAAAGTTGAAAATAAAGTGGTCTGGAGGGGGTGACGCAGCAAACATGAAGGGTGCATTTTCCAGACTGGTCCGTCTCGGCGAGTCGCCACTGCCCATCCCTGCTGACGCTCCACCACAATACTGCACCAATGGCTGTTCAAATAAAACAAAGGTCAACTTCAGCAATGCATAAATGTTAAAGGAGTACTCTTACTAGCTAAAGATTATAATTTAAATAATTACCAATAAATTTGGTGGAGATGCCCCAGGAGACATGTTGCCTTGAGTTGGTGTAAACTGGACTCTTGGTGGAGATAGCGAACTCACGTCCGGTTTCCAGCAACCTACGCAAAAACCAATCATGGATTAAATAACGTATCCACAATTTTTTTTACATGATCATGCATTTTTATGCTTTTATATTGAATATAATAATTGTCGACTCACTTTGTTTCTGTTTTGGTGTTGTTGGCTGTGCATCAACTGACCGATTGGACCCAGTTCCCGAACTTGGAGTTGTCGGAGCCTTCTTGTTCACAGTAGACGGGGAATTATTCTGAGAATTGGGTTCGCTTTTTCCGTGAGGAACAGGGATAGGCTTCGACTTTGGCATGGGTGGCACCACCACGAATCCCGCTGTTTCTGGGGATGACATAGCTTTCTCCTCTTCCACTGGTGAAGGTGACTTTGGAACAGCTACTGGTGCCGTGGCCAAGAAGGGATGTGTAAAAAATGCATTGAAATCAATTCGCTCCTTTGGATTCCGCTTCAACAAATTATGCAGCAAATCAGTCAGTTGTGCTGATGTCCCAGGTGGAATTCTAGAAAGATACAAGATATTGTAAAAAAAATATATAATTTTGATGGGTGAAAGTTCACAGAGTTGAATGAACATACTTTGGGCATAGAAGAATATTTTTTTCGTAGAAATTCTTCAGTTGCTGCGGTGTTTGGGCAGAAAATGGTGCCTTCCCCGTCAAACATTGATATACTATAGTTCCAAGCGACCACAGATCAGCTTTTGCATCGTATGTCAACGACATTATCACTTCAGGAGCCTATTTAGAATTGAGCAAGTTCAAGGATTAGTAATTTTCATCTCCATCTCATAATATGTAAATACTTATAATTAATCCCTATTATGTATTAATAAGTAAATAAACATACCATGTACATTGGAGAGCCACACAGCGTTGCTGCCATTACACCATCTTGCAAAAACCTCGCAAAGCCAAAGTCAGCTAATCAAGATGAAATGATAATTAGTACATCACGATGACTTGACAACATGATGATGAGTACTGTGTTATATGAGTGGTTGAAATATTCATACCGATTTTCAGTTGAATGTCTTGGGGCATTGGACTAGGTTTGTTGTAAGTAAGGAGGATGTTTTGTGGTTTGAGATCTGTGAACAAAATGAACATGATGATAAATGTAAACTTTTATACAATATTGTCTTCATATGTTTATCCTTATTTTTTGAAGTTGTTAGTAAACAGTATGTTTTCCCGTGAGTACTGAGCTTTTACTTTCACATAAGAAGGACTATATATATGTATATATTTACCTCTGTGAACGACTCCCTTTGAGTACAATGCTCGCATGGCTCCAGCTAAAAACGATAAAAAAGAACGTTATTTACCAGTGAACAACATGATGCACTGACATGGCAATCCTAATCAAACTACTTGATTGATTACTTACCCAACTGTCTGAGAAATAAGCGGATCGTATCCTCGCTTAAGGTACCCTTGCCACTTAAGTAGTCTGCCAAGTCCCCACCGTTGCAATATTCCATGACGAGGTATACATGCGTTGCAGTTTCCTAAAATCATTAAAATTAATAAGTACTTTATACGTGCATATTTATTTATTTATAACTTAAACTGTTCTTTTAAGACTTTAAAACTTTAAAATCTTACCCGACACTCAAACAAGGCGACGACATTCTCGTGATGCAATTCCGTCAGTTCTTTTAAAATGGCAATCTCCTTTGTTAAAAGTGCCTGTGACTTTGCAAGATTCTTTTTTGTGATGGACTTTATAGCAACGCAATGCCCCGTCTGAAATTAAGTACCAAAACGCATATGTCATTATTACTCATCACACATATATCGTACATATGATACAAATGATACCAACTACATGGTCGGTAAGTACTCATAAATAGTCAAGTAGCACAAATGATGGTGTGACCACACATATAATACCACATACTCGTAGTAGTATTTACTAGTCGTCGTAGTACTAGTGGTCAACAACCATCGAATTATTGTCAACAACTCTTTTATAACTCGGAGCATTTTGAACCTGACAGGTGGACCTACGTTTGGAGGATATTTTAAGAAATGATATCAACACGATGATACGACATAAACCTGAGTAATAGCTGTACATACTTAATAAGCTCGCAGTAAAACGTAACGTGATAAAATAACAATAACTACCGCATAAACCCATGTTCTCCAAATTGTTGCACATTTACAGATAATTCACGAGTCATTTAAATAAATATGAAAAATTCCTTCGCATTGATGAGCCAGCAGAAAGAAGGTGAACAAACTTTACGCTTCCTATGCAAAACCTAACCAACTACCATTTTACAGCAGCAGCAGCAGTAGTTGAATTGGTAGTGCAAGTGTTATATAGCATAAGCACACACCATTACTCTTATTACTCATCTATCATTATTTATTAACAAACCTCCAATCTAATAATGATAACAAAATATTGACTTGGGTAAACTAGATGTATTTATTATTGCACTAACTCCGTGCAGCACGTATGAATGTGTAATACTTCCATGCTTCAATTACTACGATGATAACATAACGTCGGCCGATGGATATGCATTGCATTTTACATCTGTATGTAAAACGACTACTTGAACTATATACCTACATCATCGAGATATTATATTTTATAAAATTATTCTACTCCCAAATACTGTACACAATAATTACATGTTATGCCAATATTCGTTCGTGATCAAGATAATTTACAGTTAAGTGTAAAAAATGGGTAAAGAGACGGACAGATGCGGGATGATTGACGACTATCAGAAAACTTGTCTTAATATGGCAAAAGGAGCACATCTCATGTATTATTTTACTGCACAATATTCAATGTGTAAGCATACATAAAACATTATCATGCACGGTAGATTTACTACCAACGACATCCGAGAAAGAAAGAATCGTCAAATTTAATTTGTTATTGCAGTTCAGCAAGGTCTCTTTAACTCTGAGATGTGATGAACAATTCAGGTTGGATCATCATAAAATAATGGCCAACTAAAAAATATTGTTGCTAACTCAGTAACCAACTTCATCAAGGATAGAAAGAGAGATGTAATGATGGATGGGTTGAAAAATCAGTCCCAGACTGCGTGGCAGCAACTGAAACCACGCCAAGTACAGAGATCATCACAGCAGTCACCTCACCGACCGACCAACGACTCCCCATGGGTGCTCATCATCGGATTTTATTTCACTTCAAAACTTGCCATCAGCACCATCAGCAGCAGCAACTTTGATTTAATTGTACGTTTTAATACTGCCTTTAATTTTTTCTCCTTTTCTCATTGTTCAATCTTTTTTTTTCTCTGCAGATTTCCACTAAAATTCTGTTCCAATTCATGAAGAGTAGAAGTAGTCCTTGAATTTAAAGGTGTGTTGATGACCAGCAGAAAATATGCAACCGATCATCATCCTCCCAGGTGCACCACATTTCTTTAATCTGTGCAATTATTGAGAGAGGAGGAATGATTTGGTGAAATGACCACTCCAAATAATACTTGACTAGCGGAAAATAAATAATCATGACAGAGACAAATATATGTATGTACATATGTACGTATCTTTGCTTAACCCACGCACTTATGTATTCATATCAATAAGTGTCATGAAAAAAAGTACGAAAACAAAATATTTACCGAAAACTTCTGGGGAAAAGTAAATAAAAAACCTACAGTGCAGACTCCATATAGCCCGAGTCAGGGACATAGTCCCTGACTCAATAAGTCAGAGCCCGCTTCTAAATTCTTTTCCGAACTGACCGACATAATATCATCATCTTCCGTGTTGTGGATGGTTAAAAGTTTGTTAGATAGTTTCTATTATTTGGTACCAAATTTTTGAATTAGTTACAAATCATGTGCCTTGACCACCATGACCAGTGGCTTCTTTAACATCCTGAAGTTCTAAGCTGTATGTATGTGCTATTCAGCCTCCTAATCAAATTTCAGCTCGATATAACGATTTTAAAAAATCAGTATGGGTCACCCCATACTGATTGCACTCTGTTCACTTTGGTCTGGTTGCACTTTGTTCACTTTTAACTTCATATTCTTTAATTAGCAGTCATTAAGTATCATTGTGCCGGATTTCATCTTTTTAAAGCAATTTCTAAAAATCGGTATGGGTCACCCCATAGGGGCGTTCCAGATAAAAATTTTACCAATATCATATCATATTCTTTCATTAAGACCCATAAGCAACCTCTCCACCAAATTTCAGTTCGATATGATGGTTTTGAAAAATCGGTATGGGTCACCCCATAGGGTCACTCATGATGAAAATTTTTCCAACCTGAAGTTATTTTTTTCTATTAGGAACCATTAGCAACCTCTGTACCAAATTTCAGCTCTCTACAACAATTTTGAAATTTTAGTGCATAAGACCCCACCCACTCCGATGACCCCCACCGGTCAACCACTTGACCGATTTCGCCCATCTTCGAACTCGTTTCCTAACTTTGTCCAATATGCATATGGTAAAAATTTCAAGTCAATCGGTTCAGCCGTTTTGGCTCTATCGTGCCGGACAGACAGACAGACAGACAGACGGACGGACATGACGGTTCCATAAGCCCTGACTCGGGCTAAAAAGTCAACTATGGAAAGATCTGTCTCAAACTAACTATACTTGAAGTGAGTTAGTTATGTGCTGTGCGAATGGAGCTAAACTCACGAGAAACCCTAGTCTCAGCACAAGGTACTTCAGGAGGCCGTAGGTTTAAGCTCCACCCGCACAGTACATAACTCGTTCACTTTATGTATAATAATAAAGATGTGCATGTTTAACAGGCTCTGGAACATTCATTAGAAAAAAATTGCCCTTGTGTTGATTGCAACAAACAAAGTCATATGAGCTCGACTTATAAAAATGTAAACAAATAGGCAAGTGTCGGTCGGTGATGATTCAATTGGTATTAAATATACGTTTTTAGAGTCCAACAAGCATCTGCGGAGGTGCAACTTGGAAGGTAATAAAATAAATGACGTCAGAGAGTTGACGGAAAAGTCGCATATACGAAACCACGCTGCATGCATATTCCAGTCAACCTTGGTTATATACATACGCATTTAAATGTGATGTCGTATTACTGTAGTTAATAATTTGCAGCGTAGTAGTCTGTGGCTGCTTGAGATAGGTAAAGTGTATTATGGTCTCGAAATTCCAGAACATCATGCGTCCGACACCCGACATACGTATATTATTACAGTCTGGTAGTAATAATGCATAAATAACAATAATGCCACTTGCCACTATCGCAACTTAAAACTAGGCCAACTTCCATGCCATGAAAGTAGATATATACATAAGCAATTGTCCCTCATCCTCTCCCGTGCAATACTCGTGCTTAAAAACAAATATTGAATGCGACGCAACAAAGTGCGACGCTTCAAATCATAATTGCAAATAGGCCACACATGCAAAATATATGCAAGGTATTAAATCAATACTTTCTCCGAATTTTGATAAGTTGAATGAATATTAATATATTTCTGATATATTCTTGTGTAAAATTCGATTTTATCATTTATGGTCAACGACATTACCAATGTCTATAAATGCTCACACAGCTACGTATGTATTGAATTGCATTCATTACATAACATAACCCACATAATCTGCGCGTCTGTATGAAACCAATTCATCCGCGTTCGTCACAACATCATGTGCGAATCGTTCGTCCATCCATCCATCCAAATATGATCGGATTAAAAATGAATGTCGTCAAAAATTATTCAAAGGTTATCCATTATTATTATCTTTCTCTCTCTGATTCGGATTGTATGGGAATTCCAAAGGTCTTCAGCCTCAGCCATACACCCGCTGACCACGGATGATTATGGTGCGCTATACACCCGCCACGTAATAATAGTTGACTGAAATTTCGCAAATATCGACCACTTATATGCCAAACCTCACCACATCACTCTGAGAGGGCATGTGATCAGGTCAGTTACCCGAATGGGCCAAATAACAACTATGTATGTATATATCAAACAACAACCAACTGTACCGTGATATACTCTCTACTTAAATACAAAAGTGTGCTGAATAATAGTAGCATCCTCTTTGTGATGTATATCATTGCACACTTATCCACAATTGTAACTCTTTTGGAATTTGGCAAGTGCAAATTAGCGAGTGGTTGGCGCAATGGAATATGTTTACATGAGCTGAACCCCTGCTCAAGTGCTGTTCAACAATTCAATCTAATAATGACTGACAGATATCAAAAACGGCTTGCATGGACTGAATCGATATTTAACAACTTCCTTCTATTCTATGCTTACAATATCAGCCACTTGAAAGGAGAAAAAAAATCTTTCCATTTCCAGCTAAGCAAGAGAACTTAACATGTTTTGTTATTCTTTAGCACACACACGTAGATGGTATGTACATAATAGAAAAAAATAATGCTTTGAGAGTTTTTGAACTCGACTTTATCTGGATCAGGATATAAACATTGCGTTCAATAATATTCACACATCAATAATATTTAGGCATTGACCTTATCTGCCATCATTCTGCCTCCCTCAGTGATTACACAGTTGACTCCAACTCCAACTCTGCAGTAGTACGTATTATACTAGTGGTAGGTATTCATATCAAGCGAGAAAACGTGGATTATGCAAATAAATCTGTCTTCCTAAAAAACTGTGTTCCATATGTCGTGTCAAAATCAATTTATAGGATTGAATTAAGCAGAAACTGTACATACACAGTAGAAGAGAGAAAAAGAGAGAAGGACAACACGCGAAGAGAAACTAAATTAAAATGACCTACTATTTATGATTTCAGAAGGAGGTTCTCTATCAAACTGGTCAAAATAATAAAATTCTCTCAAAATGTTTGTACGTATGTATGTTATGGATAACTTCCGTTATTCAAATGATTGAGTGCAACAACCAATTCAGCCAAATATACAGTAGTAAATAAATAATGACAAGCTCACATTATTATTTAATTGACATTTTACAATTATGAGTTCAATAAAACGTTCAATTACAGTGTGAATCGCTACACAAATTTGTGCATGCGAACAAGATGTGATGATGATGATGCAATAAATGTAAATTTTGATTCTTTTTGTAAAGTTTCATTTCGGCCGACCAAACCAGAATAAAAGTCATAATAATAGTAATCAATTTACAAGAAAAATCTCCCAACTATCTAGACTACAACTTTCGTCTATAACTTTCTTTCATACAAACTGCGCTACGTAAGAGATTGTGTCAAATTTGAGACGTAGAGAATGTTTATGCTTTATTCCAGCAAAATCTTTTTTTAGCTAGTTTCGTTTACACCCATGGACCCAAAAAATGCCCCAATTTCTTCATCCTTAAACAAAAAACAGAGGTCACTTTCTAACGACTTTGCTGTATTTGTGTTATGTACTCTTCGCCCTCCGTTCGTCCGTCCAGTTATTGGACAGTCTGTGCAGTGGTGCGCAACGCAGTATACGCTTAAGAAGCCACTAAACAAGTTACTGCACTATTATTGTTGACACCGTTTCAGCCACATTTAACAAATCATGTTAAACTTTTAGAGAGAGAGAGGTAAATTAAACAACGTTTGCAGTGTGCCAAAAAGTTACCACGACCAGCAACCAGCTGATGAAATTTCCAAGGACTATGTCACAGCCACTGACTCCATCATCCTCGTCTAAATATATGTATCGCATAATATTCGCCATGAATGAAGAAAACCAACGAACCACGCAGTAAAAAGTAGCATCAAATGCACTTCTTATTTATTTACGACTCGTGTGTTCAGCCAAGAGCCAAGCCAAGTGATCATCCCTTGGGTGCATGATCGCTAAAATACAATGTCGCCCTTCCATCCATCTAACAATATGATCTCGTCGTCGTCGTCGTCTCATCTCAACTCAACTCTTTTTGCTAACATATGTATGTAATACAGATCTAGTAATGAGATTATATTGCATGTATATGTAGCGCACACGCGTCGCCCAATACCTACAGTCAACCTTACAAGCATCCTATAGTGCATGCATACAAGCATTAATTGTTATGCAACTCCTCCTCAAGTGTAACAAAGCCTCTCTTAATTAACCAACCAACTCAGCCAATATGCATGGGTCCATAATGTCTGTGCTGCTCAATTCTGCTGAGCATAAACGTTAAATGGCGTCCTATCGACTTGAAAAAAAAACTGGAATTGAAACAAAAACGTTTAAACGCTCACCTTCTTGTTCCTCCCTTTGAAGACCACGGCGAAGGCTCCATGTCCGATGAGATCCTTAGAGTTGTACTCGTAGTCCCCGATCCCTTCCGTCATTTTGGAAGATGGCGATGATATATGACGACTTCACGACACGGGCGTCAGGTCAACTGGGACGAGAGAGGGAGAGCGTGATCCCCTCTATTTCTGTAGAGTTTGTTTATTAATAACAATTCTTCTCTTCTCCTTATCCTTGTTCAAGTAGGTGTGTAGGTGGTTGGTTAGAGATGTGAGTGAAGTACAACTTACACAAGTTGTGTGGCTGATGATAAGTAAGTAAATATTGTATTACTAATGGTCCAGCAGACTCCGGATCGAGACAGCTTTTCTCGCAGCTCTCCTTTGTTCTGCCGCGAGCAATTATGGCCTGGTAACAGCAGAAGGCAGAGGAGATTCGTAGAATGTATTGTTGTAATTCCTTTTTCTTGTAACAGAAGCCACTTTTTTACTTCTTCTTCTTCTTCTTATCTTCTTCGCAGTCTTCTTGTAGCGTGTCGTATTATAAATAATTTCTTAGCCCAAAATTCTTGTAATTATAACGTATCTCTCTAACTTTCCTATTGTTTAATCGCCTTCACAGTTATACAATATTCTGATTGGGGATGCAATTCTTTTGATGAATGCAATATAATATGTAATAATTGCAAGTAAGTAAGTAATAATAATAATGCACTTCCTTTACGTTCTTTGTTCTACAGCCAACTGTCGAAATATTGGAATAACAATCAAAATTGGGAACGCGAGTTTTTGTTGGTAAACTTAATCCTTCGAGTTGGTGGACTATTATATTATTCTTTTTACAATATGTATCTATATCTATCTCTGTTGTGAGTATTATTGACTAATTTTTAACAAACCAAATACAGTGAGTAAACTGATAAGTTGTATAAAAAAAGCACCACAATAATTGCAAACTGTTTCAATAAGTACAAACAATAATGTTGGATATTCGAATTTGTAGTTTTTTGAATATGAACAAATCACAACAATGGACCAAAAAACTAATCAACGAACAACAATTTGTTAATACTTTTTTTCTACCTTCGTTTCAATATATTATTTTATGTATTAGGTACAGAAATATTACCCCAGATCCTACTTATGCCTGACTGACTTATCAAGTTAAACCTTTCTCTCTCTTTACAAAATATATTACAAACTATGTATTGTTTACCAGTAGTAAAATAAAGGTGGTAGTGATGATGACTAAAACAGAATTGGTGGAACGTTGTGTACTATGTTCACACTAGCTTATCACACGTCGTCAAAAGGTATAACAAGTATGTATATCAACTAAATAATAATAATTAACTCATGAGTGAGTGAGGTATAGTAAAGGTGAGGTTTGGATAGTCTTCTGATTTGATTGCCACAAAATGGACACTTCTTCTCTTCTTCTTCTTTGTGTAGAATTAGACTATGTGTACAGGCTTCCTTCCTTTGTTTAGGAGGATTTTAAAGTTTAAATGGCCTCAGCTGAGAACAACAAAGCCTGGAGAAACGAAAAGGCTCCCACGACTTGAAATAAAAAAAATCAACCCTTCGTCTTCTTCCCAAAGTTTGTAAGTACTTCACACAAGCTAAAAGTCAGCTAGCAGCATTTTTTTAACTTAACAACAACAGAGCAGCAAGCTGAACTGAAATCGATTTATATTTTTTCACTCTATTGTCCTTTTGCCTGTTCTTTCCTTCTTGTAAAGTGTTTTTATAATATTTACCTTATCTTGAGTTCGTATTAAGTTATATCGTTACAAAAGTAGTCGTTAAACTTAACTAAAAGTTAAAAAAACGTCGTCGTGATGCTTTGTTTCTTTGAGGGTTTGTTGGTGCGAATGTGCTCATGCACCTTCACGTCTGTGACTGAGAAGCTTACACTGGCTTAGCGTCGCTTAAAGGCTACAAAATTGTGGTGGTGGTGGAGTTGCTTGAATGCTTGGATACACACATGTGATGCTTTGTTATATATTCGGCATGCATCACCATATGAGCTTGCTTGCTTCCCATCGTGCTATATATGTGGAGATACATACAACACACGTATGTACGTAGTTACTGACTGGCTGTGCAATTCTGGTGGTGCTGGTTATCAATTCCACGGCACTAATGCGGTCCGTCCAGATCCAACTGAGCGTCGGCCACGGCGCAATTTTCGCATCGTCAGACCTTTCCGATTTCATGAGGAGCATGATGAAAAATATGTTGACTGCATTTTTTTAATGGTCATTTCCAGGAAGATGAATGAAGAAGAACTGTGTCATAGTGCGGTTTTTAGGGGACGTATTTAATGTTTATTATTGTTGTGGCGTTCATCAAAGACTTTGATTCAAAGTGCAAATTCACACGGGATAAAGGCCAATTTATGGTTGAACGCAGTGTTGTTTTGTTCCTGCCCGACAACGACGACGACGACGTTACATAAGCACTCACCCAGATTCACTTTACTGTTTTTACTGCCTCCTTCCTCGGTGTTCGGCTGGATGGTTGGTTTGGTTATATAGAGAAAAATAGGGCTGAATCAACTTTGTGTTCAGAGCGAGACGGAAGAGGTTGCGCTGCGCATTTTGAGTCATTTTTGCTAATAATGTGTGGTCCTCGGGCTAAAAGTTTGCCATACTTTTGCGCCATGCTTTGTTGTCTTATTCCTCCACGCTGGGATTACACTTTTAAATCTGGTTTGGCTTTTTTTAGGTCAACTAATTTCTATAATTACTGGATTGACGACAATTACCATTCGTACTTAATGTCTGGACTGGATGGGGGTTTACAATTGGATGGATGAGTTTGTCGTGTCTGGAGTGTGTCTCAAGTTGTAAAAAGGCATGCCATTCATGCGTGCTAAATATTTGGGTAGTTAGATGAATACTTAGCTTATGCAATCTCAACTTTGGTTCGCATCACTTTTGTATTATTTAGTTACTGGAGGATAAGGATAAAGTTTGGGGACAGGGTCCACATCACTTTGAACTTTGCGAGGTAGACATGTGCATACATACAGCATATTCATTTATGAATGTGGGATTTTGGACAGTTTGATGGATTTGCTATGCAAATTTCGCATTGGTTTCATACAATGACATTAGAACAATTTTCGTCTGATTATCATTACGTATGCGTGAATTGTATTGTATCGTATCCGACCGACATGGTTTTTCTACCTTATTTATCAGGATGAGGCCGGATGGATGAAGTATGCAAAATGTAAGACATGACATTAATCGACGTGAATCACTTCACACGGTAAAATACATGAATTGCTGTTGCTGCGCTATTAAATTTTTATATTGTTTTTATACCAAGAACGCTCTTGTTTTGCTTCGCAAATAAATACATAATGTGAACCAACGGCAAAATGAGTGTAACCTCAGATAATCTGAGTCAGATTGCCAATATATGTATCTGCAATAATAATATGTGTAGTGCCCGGTGGATGATTTATCCTATTAGTACAACGCACTTCTAGAAAAATTGCTCCTTTTCCTCCATTTTGATACCCTATCTATTTTTTAACTCCTTCCCATGAACCTCTCATTCTAATTGGACACCAATTTTAGCAAGTTCAATATTCTAAGAAGGAAATGACTTTGACCCTTTCGTTCTATCAGAAATTATCCAAGTCTGACTCATAAATCGCGATGTTATGGATGGATAGATACGAGGCATCAGGTTGGCTGGTTCTTCTTCTCATTCCTTGATATCACATGATTCCTTCCACACAACAACAAATGGTAATTAAGTCATTTTTAATTACACCGTGCCAAGATATGTGGACTGATACGACTGCTTGCTTGCGGGAATCGGACTTGTTATTCTTGGGTGAATCTTTTACTTTTTCTGACACTTATAAAAATAAAATTGAGACGTCAGAGAGTTCAAGTTTGTTGGCATCTCATCACTTATCTGTCCGAGAGGATAAGAAGAAAAAAGAAGAGAGGACTCTCATCCAAGCATAGATAAATTGGAGTTCCTCACTTTTGCCAAGAGAGGGGAATGGAACGAGAAAGGTTATCTTTGAACGAACACTATTTATTTACATATCCTCCATGCCACCTAATTGGCAAACTTCTTTATACGACAAGCCGTGCCCGCCCAATATACCAATATCTTCATTTAATATATGCATATATACCTCGCACCGGAAATACATAAGTTAGTCAGATTCTACAAAACGTGTCCAACTCTTATTATTTTGTCCTCCTTTTTCCACAACCGCACCGACACATGCAGCCTTACAGATCATGGTACAGTTGTACTTCAACAACTACTTCGTAATAAGTAAGCAGTAGCCCAAAAAACCAACATGTTCATTCAAGCTTAGAAAAATTTACTGTAAAATAGATCGGAAAGTCCCAGGCCTGAAATTGCGACTAGATTTGTGTTCTTAATTAAAAACCAACGAGTCTAATATGACGAACCAGTCATAAACCATATACTTGTCTCAGGTATATAAATTAATACGCAGACAATACTTTTTCCACCATGCAACCTTTGCGTGGTTTGGTTGGTTGGGAGTAGTGCTGAGTTTTATAATGAGAATTTTGAGACATTTTACTTGTGCTGTGCCCATTTTTATGACCATGTCTGTTGTCTGTTCTTTTATTACATTCTCAGTCACTACTACTCCTCGGCGTGTCGTGGTCGTGGGTCGTCTTGTGCGCATAGGAGATGAAAGATTAATACGTTATAAATAATCCCCTATTCGAGCTTTGCGTGGAGAAAAATCTGCTACGCTTTAATTCATCCATCCAACATTTGTACAGCAATTGCCATTACGATTTCAGGCTCAAATAAATGATATGAATATAAATATTCTGCGTGCATACATATTCGCGAATGAGATCGACCACGTCGTCGAGACTTGTGGGCACCGAGACTGAGGATGAGAGATCACGAGAAGAGCACGAGTTTGTCGAAGGCTGGCTACTTACTGAATAAATTGTTGCGCTCCTTTTTATCACCCAAACCAAAGCTTTGTGCAGTATAATGGAGTTAGTCAGACTTTTGTGTGTAATGGTATGTGTGTTCATATTTAGGTAGTTACTAAATCCGCATAAAAAGAGTCTCAAGGATTTTTGGACTCACTTCTTCTGCAGGTGCTCCATCCATCCACTCAATACTTACATGAGTATCTACATATGACTGCGTACATGGGCAGAAATCAATGCAAATATCGTATTCAGCATCATGGTCCCACCTTATTAAATAAAATTACACTTCCAGCAAACATTGGCGCAGGCGAGAGGAGTCCTCTTCAAGTCGGAGTAGTTGAAGTGTGGCGTCTTTTCTTTTCATTGGCATTTTATTATCCGCTTGCTCGAATTGGTGGTTCGGATTACATAACATTTTTCATTATTAAAGGTTTCATCCAGATTATTATGGAGTTATGAGATCATCGTGGTTTTCCTGGGCTCGGATGATATTTACTAATGCTCATGCTGATAATGATTCTTCCATATCGGTTGTTGCATTATCCACTTGACGACGACCGACCACGGCATTTTTTTTGTGTTATCTTGTACACAATGTGGAGTTTGCATTGGAATAATTTGACATTGTTTTCTCGCAAATAGTAATGAGTTCGTGGGTCCAAACTCTGCCAGGCCAGTTGGTGGGACAAGTGCAAATAAATATGACAGAGTGGGCTTTGTCCATTTAAGTGGGTAAATGTGTCAAAAATAGGTATCTGGGTGAAATATAATCAGCGTCTTATTTTATTTGGGCATCTTCCTCATCCTCTTCCTATACTTATGCACGTATTGTGCATCTGTCGTCTCATCTGGAGTAATTCGAGTGTTAAGTAGGGTTGAGAATCTCAACTTGAGATCTTGAGTTACATATGTACGCAGTGTCCCGTATTGGAAATTGGACACTAATTTTAGCACGTTGTATGCAACGCATTTTCTCATATTTCTAATCCTATCAGAGTGTTCGACATTGTGCAATATGCACTGATTGGAACATGCTGTTTAGTAGAATTTGGTCATTTGTCTTGTTATTAGATTGAAATAGCATACAAAATATCCACTTTCTGAGTGAAAGCGGTTTTTGCCAACTAAATAAGTTTATCCACTACCTTGTGCACATATAAATAAATGGCAAACCTGACATAGACCACTTTTACCACGGTATTGATCGTGGTTTTTAGATAAAGGTAACTGAAGGGTAAATTGTCGCTTGTGGTGGAATATTCTTGGCAATAATCAGTTTTCAAATCCTGCCCACCCACTTTGCAAACTAGCCATGATTAATTTGTCCTATGTAAATTAACCCAACACATCCGGCCACCTAAAACCTAAATCACTTATTATGTGCATGCATGCATGCATACGACAACCTTCGAGGTTTAAACAAGTTTGCAAGGTACAAATATGTACGCAGTGCATACAATCAGCTACTTATGCAAGTATTTATTAGAATATGTACGAGGATGATGCATCACAAATAATTGCAAACGTTCGCATGGCATGTATATAAATTTGTTAATTTATTACAAAAGTCTTTCTGCGTTTGATTTCAAAAATAAATATGTTTTGAATAAATTATACTACACCGAAATGTAGCCAAGAACTAAGGTAATCAGCTTCAGAGTACAATTTGTGGCTATAATTTTCCAATATTTTACCTAAAAATCCCTTGTTTAGTAATGAACAATTCGACCAGTTCCCAGGATGATGATAGTTTACTACGCAGGAAAATAAAATAAAAATGAAATTAAAAATTTTATCTTTTCTACATTTATGGTCAATTAACTGATTTATTTATGCAATGCATACCTGACTTTCTGGATAAGGGTAGTAGTACAACACATTTGGTTTCTCAACATAAATTTCTCGAGCTTGACTTTCCGGCTGTAAAGAGGAAGGGGAAATTATGAAAAGAAATTAAATTTTTTAAAGTCATGTGATGGAAATTGCAAATGAAGTAAACATACCTTGATATTGGATCGGGCTTTGTTGTTATCGTCATCGTCGGTGTCATCCTCTCCGTCGTCATCGTCATCATTCTCTTCGTCGGATTCTTCCTCATCGTCAGCCTTTGGTTTGTTCTTGCGGTCCTTGGTCGGCTTCTTCTCCTTGTCCTCGGCCGACTCGGAAGCAACGGGGGTGGCTGGAGCACTCTCGACGATAACTGGCTCAACTGAGGGATAAATATTTGTATTAGATCACGACATAGCTCAGTAAATATTTTAGGAAAGTTGCAAAAAATTATGACCAAAATGGGATAGTCTTTAAAAAAATTCCTGCTTTTCTATGTATGGAGAAAGTTCAGTGGGAAAGTTCATAACTTCTCTTAAACCTTGAGACTTTGAAAACTTATTTGTCTGCCATGCACAATTTTTCACAAAAATGAGCGACCCCTCACCTGCGACTGGTTCTTCGTTTCCGACGACAGCGACAGCAAGGGGTTGCTCAACCTCATTTTGAGACGTTGGGCTAGTTTGAGATTCTTCCTGTTCGTTCTTCTCACTGGACTGGGGTTCAGCTTCCAATCCCTTGGATTCTGATTTACGTACAAAACAATGCAATGAAAATATCTCATTCAAGTCCAATTTTACAATCTTGGATTATTGTCTCATTATTATTTAGCATGCGTTAAATTCGTTTGCAGCGCACCTGAGCCATCGCGACCTTCTTGCGACTCGTCGTCCTCCTTGCTCTCATCCTCATCACTTTTGTCGTCTTGTTCAGCATCGTCCTTCTTCTTTGGAGTTTCTTCATCAGAATCAGCCTCGTTGGATGACTTTTCATCCGACTTGGCCGAACCTCCCTCCACATTGACGCCCAAGTCTTCAGCCTCGTCATCCTCAACGCCTCCCTCTCCTATGGAGGGAACTGGCTTGGCTTTCTTGACGGCGGATTTGGCGGTCTTCTTGGACTTTGGGCTATGTAAAAGTTTAAAAAAATGAGGACAATGCATCAATATTTTAATAAGATTTCGAAAAAATTAAGCTCACATATCGCCACGTTCTTCCTCCTCCTGACTGTCGTTGGCTTCTTCATCATTCTCCTCGTCATCGTCATCAGCGGCATCTTCGGTATCGTCTTCCTCGTCTTCATCCTCGTCATCAGAAGCTCGTCCTTCCCTATCTGAAACTGAATGGTTCAAAATATACATGTAATAAAATCATGTAATTTTCATGGAAAAATTAAATTTAAATTTGAGAAGAATATGTAAATCGTCTAATTATGCATACCTTCCGGTTGGATCGTGGTAACTTCTGCAGAAGACTCAACCTCTGCCACAGGAACAACAACGGTGGCGACTTCGACGTCTGGAACGACGACGGCTTCCTTCTCCGCTACGACGACTGGTACGACGGGCGCGGCTGGAACGGGGACTTGAGGGACGACAACTTCCTCGACTGGGGCTCCGGAGGCGAAGACCACAAACAGGCCCAACACCAAAATGGCCGGTAACCTCATTTTCTGCAAAAGACACCAACAAACAAAGCGTTGAACAAAGAGAACGAATGGGTTGTTGTTTAGAGAAGGCAGCGCAGTGATCGATCTCTGGCTCTGGTGTGAACTGAGGTGGGCTTTGAGATTTGCGGAAATGCAACACACTTATTCAAAAGTCTGGTTTACAAAGTGGAGGAACAGGTTGCGACGCTTGCACTCGTTACTTGAAAGGTCAGGGTGTGGATTTCAACCCCTTGTTCTCCTACCTCCCATAGAAGAAGTCCCACTACTCGTCCCAACCATGTCACCACCATCCTCCCATGGTTGACAGGTTGGTATGTTACGTCGGGAATATACTGTGCGAAACCGGTTCCTTAACCGGGTTCATCCTAAGACTGTCTTGATTTGGTCTCCTTATTCACACATTTGGGTCGTTAAACTTAATATTTTCTGCTACGTAGGTCAACATTTTCAAAAAATTGGAAAAATTCTTATCAAATTTCTCCCCCATTTTGTAATCTTGTCCAAATCAAGACTAGAAATTATTAGGACCCCGACCGAGACGTAGTTTTTTCTTTACAGACTAAACTTTACTTAATTTTAAAACTGCATGATTCTGCGATGCAGACGTAAATATGTAGAGTAGCTTTGATGTTTTATGCACTGAGGAGCAGCAGATCCCATATCCACGCGAAGCACGCTCCTTTAATTTTTCTGAAAATATCTTGCTAAAGAATTTTTGAAAAAGCCACGATGAAAATTACCTTAAATTTCGCAGTTACAAGGGTACCGAGAGCTTGCTTGTTGAAATGATTGTGGCCAGACCCAGGGAGCAACTAAGAACGTTGAGTCTAAGAACTAAGGTTTTTAATGTTTAAGATGAGGTTTTTCTGACCCTGGTGGTCAATCAGGTTTAAATGGTTTACCCGGACGCAACCCTACTGCTGCTACATAATGCTGCTTATGCACGTCAGACCAACTCCTTTGTGTATCGACATTATTAGTAATACTGATGATATTACTATACGAAGACCCCGTGACACACTAAGGAATTCTAGTATTATTGGTAAAAGTGACCACCAAATCCACCATCCCGTTCTTCTATATTGTCATGTCTTGTAGAAAAAAAACCAGTGCCAAGACAAGCAATGTCCCACTTTCTAAGTAGTTTCGAGAATCTCGTCGTCTAAGAATTGCACGAGGGTGCTAAATAAATATGTGATAAAGTTGTTGGTGACAATTTCCGATCCGTCTCAAATTGTGATGTGACAATTTCTAGGAATATGCATAATTACACAACGTCGAGTCAACCTCGACTGCAATTTCATTACGTTTGGTTTCACTTAGTTTTAACTGATTTATTCATTATTTATTCATTTTGGGTAAATGTATACAAGTGTACTCACTCGACAAATATTAATTGTTGTACTTTATAAACACTCGTCAAGCCTTATGCCTTAGATTCATCTTGACATGAGCAACAATTCTTTGACTTAATTTTTGAGAAATATGGTACAAAATTGAGAAAAACAGATCAATTTGGAATATTATTTGTATATTATGTAAGCACTGAATGCTAACTCTTCAACAATGCAACTTGCAGAGTATGCAAGTTCATTTACCACTCTTGGTAATTTACTGACTCTGAATTATTTATAGTCTTATCACGATTACTCGAAAAAATATTTATATAAGTTATCACTTTACATTCGATTTGTATAGTTTGTTGAAATTTCAACGCTGCTGATTTTACGGGTTTTTGAAAATTGTAGTTGTCGACAATACATCCAACTTTTTAGACTTTGGCGATGTCACGTCGAGTTCCATATCCACATTTGTCACGGCAGTCAACCCCATGTCGCTAACTTTTCTCGACTTGTCCCAAATCGTGGAAGTTATCGTGTTTGTATGACTCATGTTTCGCCGACTTTCTAATTTCCTCGTAACATGGCAGCAAAGACTAAGAAGATATCGGACCCTGTTCACCACAGGAATTACGACCATGCACAAACCAGCAATTATGTATTCTGTTTTCATAAATGTGGGATTTGCTGCGGCATGATCTGAAATTTTTGAAAGAAAAAAAAGTTTCTTATTTTTCTTTTGAGAAATTATTTTGAGACAATATGTACAAGGTCACCCATTTATTAAATACTCACCTCTTTTATCTTGTAAATACTTTGCAAATCTTTTGAGTTGAGATTCTATTTGTCGACACGTGTTGGGTTTGCATGTAAAAATAATGAAAATCGCAATTCCCTGGGCTCCAATGAGCAGGTCGGTCGGGAGGAATAAGTTTTTCAGGTACTGTTCTTTGTGATTGAGCACCATTGTTGCCCATGAAATCACTTCAAATATCCAAAGCACGCCCATCACGACGAAGAGCTTCATGAACAGGAGAAATCTAGAAGAAATCCAGGAGAGACTCCATTACATACATATTTACAGATTCGTAATTAATGCAAATCATGCAACCAATGATAACCTTTTCTTTTCCTGTTTGGAGCTCTGCTTCGTCGCAAATTTAGTGTCATTTTGCAGTTTGTGAAGTGAATAAATGGTACTTATGAAGAAGACTGAATTTATTGTTAGCAGCAGACCCACGGGACCATAGAAGTAGGGAAGTTTCTCCTTATCTCCGTAAAAGTAGCAGTAACGTTCTCCAAATCGTGGAGTGATAATGTAAGGATTGTCTCTGCATAAAGTTCAATTAAAATTGTAAAGTTCATACATATGCTAAATGAGAAAAACTTATCGCATTACCGATACAAGCTGTCCAACACCAAACCAACACAGGCGATTAATCCCGGAAGTCCGTACGAGAACAGGGCAAAGCAGCAGAAACGCTTCTTCTCCCCTGTCGAGTTACTAGCCCTCATTGGTCGACAACCGCTGAAAATCCGAGAAAAAATTATAATTGCAAATATAATCGCAGAAAGTAAAGGAAAATCTAAATTTACACCCACCTAAACGTCCACCACAAGTCGAAATTCATCGAAGTGAGCCAGAAAAACGCGGACAAAAAGAGGAAATGTATGAATGCACCTGCACCAAGAAAGAACGAAATTAATCATTTATTCAATTCACTGGACAAATCAAAATTGGAAAATATTTTACCAATCATTTTGCAACAAACGCTAGAAATCTCTTGAATTGAATCCGACGACAATTGGACGATAGCGAGGAAGGTGAAAGCGAAGAGGAGAGAAAGCACGTAGCAGAACTGGAGCCACCCGTGAATGTTCTGATATTCCCATAACGCAATGAAGACAAGAGCAGTTAGGAGGAGGAAAAATGACGATATCAACGTCACACAGGCGTACAGCATAAGTCGCCAGTCCTAAAAAGTGATAATTATTTTTAGTTTAACTCATCGATAACCTCCAGTGTAAAATATTGCAAATATGTAAAACTGACTTCGGGTTGCTGGCCGTTAACTTCGTCGGCAGGGTTGTAACACAAGATAACCATTTGGTCCAGTTCTTGACCACTGTAATAAACAACTTGATATTGGTCGGGATACTCGTCAGTTCCAGTTTCATCTTCGGCAAATGTCGTCGTCAGAGATCCATCCAAGCAAAATGTGTCTGGCTCGTAATAGACTTTCTTCCCGTTCGAATCCAAAACCAGAGTTCCATTGAGCAGCAAGTACACCCTGTGAAATATTGCATCAAGGTCAAAGTTCATATCATTGGATCATAAACAATTAAAAAGCTGAGTTTCTTTACTTTTCAGTTTCCTCCGTCCTCAACGAAACGGAGTAATAATCACAGTTTGGAACGCCAATCTTGTAATGGATGGGTCTCTTCGAGTCGGGGGCGGCGAGTTGACCAGGACTCGAGTATAAAAATGGCTCCCACTGCTTTGTGCTCAGGACGCAACTATTGTTGTACAAAATGGCTTCTGGATTACAACACTTGCGGACACAGGGGTGGGTCTCGTCGCAAACGGGAGAGCAGAAAACGGCCACATAGTTGGATTCGCTTCTTTTAATAAGAAATCATGACTTACAAATTGACAAAATCAGGAACCACTTCTTGCAAATAAGGTGAACTTACTTGTGCTGATCTATGCAGAAATCTTGAGACGGCACTTGATGCACGGAACCCTCATCCGACCAGAGCAAGTATCCATTGGGAGACAGTGCCAAAACTGAGTCCAAGTTATCTGCGCCCGACAGGTCATTGTGTGTGATTTCAAACTTCTTCGTAGTGCAGTTGGGTTGTCCTACGTTTAACCTGAAATTATGTACATCGTCAAAATTTAGGGAAAGAATAGAACAAGAAAAATTGGCTGATATACAATTTTGGCACTGCTTCCTTGACATTGACATTTTTCTGAATTTATGTATTGTAAATAATATGCTACCATTTGTGGTACTTCAAACCATATTGAAGTGCATGCATACATAGGTCGAGGTTGGAGTAATAACGTAATTTCCACGGAAGTAAGGAAGACGTAGAATAACTATGGTTAGTCGACAAGGTCTTAACTAACTCCATTCCCAGAAATTACAAATAAGTATATAAAGTGCATGAGCTATGGACTGCTTGCTTGTAAGGTGAGACCTGATATGCTTAGAAAAAAATGGAAGTTGTTCATAAAAATTTCTCACGGATTACTCATACAGTGGAATAATAAATAATTTTCCTTGAGACAACGTTCATAAATCATATTATGCAAATAATACGTGTACATACATATTTACATAGATCTATAATACTTATATAACTACGTATTTATGATATTCAATATTATGGATCTGTTTGTTTGTTTGTCCATTATTTGCAATTCAGCTTTTACATTTGCATATTAAATATTTAGCGTCCTAAAAATCAATAATTTTACCTGAAAACTACTGGATCTCCCAAAATTTCCGTCGTATTAAACGTATGAAAGTCTTTGGCCAATGTCACAATTGTCTTGGGGGCTTCCCAATAGGACGCTTCCTGTTCTGGTTCCGACGAGGTGTCATTTCCTCCCCCCGATTTCACACACTTTTCATTCTCATAACTCCAATTAAACGGGCAACACTTGTTCACCGTGGGGTACAAGTCTTCCGGAAGTACTTCCAGCGGTTCCCCCTGTTCAGTGGGGACGCCTCCAACGATCTCTGTCGCATTTTCATGGCTATCCTCCTGCGAAATGCAGTGGGGGAGGAGGAGTAGAAAACTAAATCTTAGCAGGCCAAGTCTATACTTTTTGAAACTTTTTAGTGCTCCCATATCCACAAAATGACCTTGAATTTGAGATTCAAGTCTGTATTTCCGTACTTCACCGGTTCATAATATTTATAATCACGTACGTACTTATGTCGCATTAAAATGCACGCTGCACCGTGATAGAGAACAAATGTGACTAGACTGCAAAAAACTTTGTTAGGAAATAATAGTAATCGTAAATCTGCATCAAGTTTCCCTTTTATTTTATTTTATGGTGTGTCGTAGAACCAACTTGCCCAACCATTCTCCTCCCCCTGACACACTACGCTATAAATGGGCTTCGTATGAATTATATGCATATAAACTTGAATCTCGAACCGCACCACTGCACGCACCTTGTACGAATTATTATATTGTAACTAATTACACACGCTGATCAAGTGACCATTTGTAAGGCTGGATAAATTGGGAAATCTTCAACAACATGCTCCCGTAAACTACGACATCCTCAAAGTCAAATAGAATATTATTCTCGTTTCAGTCACTTTAGGAATTGTCGTTGGTGTCCATCGATGAGACATGACTGATCAACTTGCATCGTTAACCAACACATGGTCTTCACACTCTTGGCTTCGTCCATCCAACAAGCAATTGGGAAGGTACACACACAAAACAATTATTGCGTAACATGCAATCGTTTTTCCCTTCAAGGTGAGGTCCTACGGCTTAAGTACCAAGTGTGAAGAATGGGGACAAAGATGAGCTAAACTTTAATGATGAGTAAGTCTCGACACAAGTTCAGGTGGTAAAGTGAAGGAGAACTGAAGATGTCTCACCCTCATTGATTGATATTGACCACAATTATCTCACAATGACCAGCAGCGAACCACAAGAATCAAGAGTTCCTTGCAGATATCTAGTTTGCTTGGCGTCGTTCAACCAAGTGGATGGAAGCAGTTGAAATGAAAAGTGGACTTGTGGACTGTAAATACTTACGTTTTGTTGTTGTTCACAGCAAGGACTATAAAATAACACTGCCAACTTATTCTCCTTACGTTACAGAAAACCGTCGCCTAAAATGAATTTAGATGCAAATCACGAACAACCACTTTTTTCGCAAATAGTAATAAATTGCTCTGCTTTACTTATCCATCCATCAAAGAACCATATTTTAGAGACGTGTGGGAACTCCGGGATTCCAGTCCAAACTAACAAAGAACCATTACATACGTGGTGTTATAATATGACCACTGTTTTCCCCATGGGTCAGCCTGTTCAATTAACCTGTGTACTCCTCATGGTACGGACGCCTGTAATACATGAACAAACCACGTACGTACGTAGGTGATCATGTAATCCGTTTAATTGCATTTTGGGAAGGTAGATTTTCTCGCTTCATTAACGAAGTCATACAAAAAGGAAATTACTGCCCACCACCATCACTGCCATTTGTTTGTTTATGTGCGTCCTTTTTTCTTCTACGGCACCCACCACCGTTTACAAGTTTAGATTGATTTTGCACTTCATTTTTTTTTCCTTTTTGACGAGCAGCTTAGTGATGGTGTCAATGGAATGGTGTGCGAGTGATGTGTTTGGGACATAAATATGCATGTGTGCATTGAAATGTGATTGTCATGTCATTTATAACCTTTACAACTATCAAAACAACTGCTCAATTTACTATTGGTTTACAGCCAAATTATTCTATGAAATAGTGTAGATGCTCTTGACCGGATTGCAACTCTCATAATTCCATCCATCCATCCATTCATCGCATTATTGGCTCTCTTGCCTGCTTACTGCACACACAGATAGAGGAAAAACCAATAGTTGTCGTTTCCTTCAAGTTGTTTGTTGTACGTATACTTCGAATGTAAGTTAGCACATAATAATATCGCCATTATTATTAGCAGCAAGTTATTCGTTGGTAAGTTTCCTGAACAAAGCGCACGCCAGCCAAGTCATACGTACGTAAGTGTCAGAATGTGCACATCGACTTACTCATGAATTTTACTTTCAGTTTGGTTGTTGGACGCCTACAAACTTTGCATGGGAATCAAGCTGAAAGAAGCACGGTGCCAAAAAACGATTCATTTCCAAGACCTTATCGCCACCACAGAACGAACTTGATAAATTCTAATGGATTTTGTCAGTGATGGAAAAGATGTATTATACTTGCACTTCAAATGGAATTTATTATTTTCATTTTTTTTATAACTTTACACTTAATAATGATCAAGAAGGACAAATAGTTTGAGCTCCTCGCCCGTCCGCATAAATAATGCGTATACATATTCCAATTAGAGTATATGTATTATTATTATTAACGACTTTGATTTTGGCAAGTTTTTGCACTCTCATAGAATCAAAAAGTTATAAAAAAAAACTTGCATTCAAGTTATTAAAGAGTGTAACCCTTTTTATTTATGAAGGAACAAGAACAACGACAATTAGCAGAATCAGCGATGAAAACATGGCGTCATCATCAAGTCATCAACTCAACTCACACGTCGTATAATTGCTGTACGTACATACATTTTATTACAATTTCTCTTAATCAGTTTGATTGTTGGAATTGTTTGGTGAGTTAAGTCGAGTAGAGGGGAAAGGTTTCTGTTTCCATAATCGTAGTAAAATTGCCTAATATCAGACTACTTATTAAGGGGTGAAAGCCCTTTATAAGATCGTTATGTCCGTCCGTCTGTCTGTCCGTAGCTCCGATAACTTTTGAACGAAAAGACATAGACACTTGAAATTTTGAACGTAAACTCCTAACGTCAATGGACAGGACGAGTTCGAAGATGGACACTGGGACATCGTCACCTGTGACGATGACATCGTCACAGTGACGAAAAGTGACGAAAAAGTGTCACTTGTCAGTTTTGACATGTGACACATCATTTTTAACTATTTTTCAATGAGGAATTCGAAAATTCAGGTCATTTTGCGATTGGACGTCACCTGTGACGATGACATCGTCACAGTGACGAAAAGTGACGAAAAAGTGTCACTTGTAAGTTTTGACATGTGACACATCATTTTTAACTATTTTTCAATGTCAAATTCAATGGTGACCTCCATTTTGACCTCAGAGGTCATGTAAAGGTCATAGGACATGTCTATTTCAATTTCAACTGAAATTTAACCCCGAATTCAATGGTGACCTCCATTTTGACCTCAGAGGTCATATAAAGGTCACATAAGGGTTATCAACTGTTAAATTTGACACAAATAAGACACAAAAGTCGAAAACACGTCAGAAGTGTCAATCTTAACAAATTTTCGAACAATTTGATATTCACATTGACGTATGACACTCCTTTCACCCCTTGGTTACATGCGTTGTAACGGTTTATTTTTAATGGGTTCTTGTGTAACAAACGCACCTGACTGACTGATTGACTGGAGATACATGTATGCATTTACATAAATGATTAGTTTGTGTGGGATCCTGTAGTGATGTGGATGCGTATGAAATGCAAAGATTGAACTTTTCGACTTGTGCAACACTTTCATTTCATCCTGGATTAATGACGACTTTTTATTTCGTTTCTGGATTGATTTCGCAATTTGTTAAAAGTTGGCATCGATGTGTTTGATGCATATACATGTATGAAAGGTAATTAATAATTAGGCAATTATTGCATTTCTGCTGCTCCTGAACAGCAACCTTGGACCTTGTTGCAAGAGGCCATGTTCACGGTTAAAGTGAGAAATAAAGGAACAAATCAGGTCTATAAGTTTTCACTAATTGTAATTAGTATTGCGTGGTGGTTAAAAAATAAAGTTTTGGTAGGTAGATGTGATTTACCTGTTTTAAGTAGGATTTACTCGGAAATATTATTTATTCCAATTTTGCAATATTTTTTATGGGTACCGGACATTTGTATAAAAATTAAAAACTGTTATGTTTAACGGGTATATGATTTACCCCGAACTTGGTTTAATACGGAACATATCATTGATATTCAGTTAAAACCAGTTAAGTATTAATCATCATTTCACGGAAAGTCTTCTATCGCCTATGAAAACTGTCAACAACTAAACAAACCAATTGAAACATGAAACAAGACATAACAAGAAGAACTTAATTAACATTTGAGCTGACATTATTATTAGTTTGTCAAGTTAACTGACGACAAGAGATTCAGCGTACTGTTTCTTAAGTTGGGTATTGGCCTTTAATTCGTAACATGATCGAAGAAAACTGTCATTAAGCTTTCGACCCACGATAGGGATGTAATGCTCAATAATCAGTCGAACTTCGTCCGCTACCATTTTATACCAGTAGGCCTCTTGTCCCTCCGTCCAAGACGTGGCGTAGCGGTCCACGAATGAAACTCTCAATCCAGACAGAATATCGTCCACGTTTGATAAACTAGATATTAGAGAGTTGACGAGCGAGTTGAACTGAGTTACCCACGGAGCATCAGTAACAACAACCGTAGGCTATTCGAGAATGATCAATCATAGTAATGTCAATTATTTAGATAAAATTAGTACAACACAATAACAAAAATCATACTTACCTCTTTGGAGCGTTTCTTGCGTCCTTTGATTTCTAATAATGTGGGGGACATTTTTTCAAGAAATCCTTTGAGAACGTCCAGCAGTATGCAGATAAATCCCAGGGTCTGAAATATAATATTATGTATATTGTGTACGTGTATATAGTATTCATCAGCAATAGGAATAATTGACCTACCTCGACAACTTCACAAATTTCTTCAATTAAATTGGACGTATTAACAAGCGAAATATCCACTTTGGGCCAATGGATAGTGGTGGCTTCAAGCCCGTCGGCAAGACTTTGATTTGCCGTTTTCATTAGGGCAAATACTTTAGACATGTCTTGTTGAGAATTTTTCTGGCAACATAATTCTCCAGCAGTAGAGACTAATTCAATAAAGTCGTGAATACAAATGATGATAGGGCTTCCCACATATTCGTCACAAGTTGGAAACCACGGAGCAAACAAGAATCGCTGCAATTAACAAGATATGAATAAGACGTAAAACAAACAGTTAAAATACACTCTGAAACATTTATAGGTATTTAAATTAATTAAACTCACCCCTTCAGAATTTTTTAGATTATGCTTTGGTGGATTGGCCATACATTGGGTAAACGATGCATGAGCAATACATGCTTGAGCTATATTGACGTTAAATTTCTCAACATCATTTAAATTGGACAGAGCTCGGACGTAATTAGTAATAATGCCAAGGAAGGTTGTTCGAAGCCGGAGTTTATGAATATTGTCTTTAAATGTCAGTGCTGTATACTCCGCTGAAGTAGTGTCTTCATTCATGATGAGATGAAAGTCTAAATCTCGATTATCCTGAAAGGATGTAGCGAAGGCAACTTTGACATCGACGGTTTCTCTGTGAGCAATCTAAAAAACAAAGATATTTCATTATACATACGCATTCTTGTAAACCTATTTTATAAGAATGCGACTAAATGTAACGAACAGACAAATAAAACCATAAAAAAAAGACGAGTATATACTACAAGTATTTGTACATTTATCTAAAAATAAAATAAATACCTTGAGAATTTGTTCACGACAACTAGCGTCGACAGTGTATTCCAACAGTCGTTTTTCAACTCTAACCTGGCATGCTTGCAGTGAACAAACCATCTGGTTTCGATAACCAATGAATTCCAACACTTGCTGCCAGGAAGTATTCCTATATGCTGAGATTATGTGCTCCACCACCTGAAACAATATAGGGAAGGAAGAATTAATAGATAGTACAACTGTTTTTTTTTACATTTAAAGGATAAATACTGAGAAAATTAAGAAAATGTTCGGCTTCTATTTACTTATGTACCTCTCTCCCACTGGCGATGTAAAGTGCATCAGCATGAATGAGAAGACGCATTGAGTCTGAGAAAATTCCACTACGAAGGGTTTTGGGTATGTAAAGATATCCCAAAGAATCCACCTGCATATGTTTGATGTCCATTTTCATGATTTGCTCCAGCCCAGGAACTGCCGCAGCACAGAATAAATACGTTTTTCCCAGCAGCAAGCGATATGCAGAGTAGTAAGGACTATGTTCTGCTCCATACTCCAGGAGTGCAAGGGTCAACAAAATCGCAAACTCCCCTTCAAATACCCTTCCCTTATCGGTGACGGGAGTTGTGGACACACCGTTTTCAACGACCGCCTTTCCCCCGACCTCCTTCTTGTCGAGATCTAAACTGTGCATCTCCACGTTAAGGTCTAAACCCGCCCAAAATCCCTGTTTCCTCCAATACGTTTTCATTAAGAGCACACAACTCGTGACTAGTAAATTTTCATAAGGGGCTGCGTCTCTGACTTCGATTTCAAGCCCGGATGTTCTGTATTGACCATCTGCTGCGTAGTACGACTTGACTAATGAACAAACCGAGTTGACCACCTTGGCTGGATGGGACAGGATATCTTGCTCATTCAAGAAAGACACGGCGCACTCAAAATTCGACTTCCATTGTAATTTAGAATACTGCAACAGCAAAACACGTTCATTAAACTTTATTACTGCCAATTTTTAGATTGTGCTAATGTAAATTGCTAGCTTTAATTACCAAGTTAGTCAAAGTCCCAGAATTCTTGACCATATCTTCCTCTAAAGAATTTGTGTTTTCACGCAAGTACTTCCACAAACTCCTCACGTCGCGTAGGAAGTATGGCTTAGAGGCAAACAATTTGAAGTAATCAAGATATAGCTTGCGAACATCAATTGAGCACAGGTTGGCCTTGTTATTAACCAGCGTTCGAGTAAGTAGTATCAAAGCTCCTAGTGTGATTCGGCTCTGAAGTTTTTGCACCTTTGGGTCATACGCAAACGCAATTCCATTAATAAATTTGATAATGCGCTCAGTCTTTGTGATTCCGAAACTTGCAATGTAATCCTTGAAGCCATTCAAGTCTTCCGAGCTAAAACATTAAGTGAATAAACATTAGCTACAATAATTTAGACTACAAGAAACAAGCAAGTGATGGAGGGAGTATAGGTACTTACTCATGAATGATATTTCGCTCATACATATCGGCTAGTTTGTTGTCATCCTTTAACATCTTTAGACACAAGGTTTCCATTCTTATGTAATGACCATACGACCAGTTTTTCATCCTATCCTCAGAATTTTTGAGCACAGAGAGTGCCTGAGCATAGTCTCCCTGTAATAGCAAGGTGTAAAAATATTAGAAGGTAGAACATTATAATACCCATGCTAAAAGTATCCACAAGAATTTATGTATTACCGATTTGTGTAAGATCGTAATAAACATATAAATGTCGTTGTCAGTGCAAAGGGCATTCTCAGCAATGTATTTGGACGTCATTCGAGACGCTAGAGGTAGCGTGATTGTCTTTGCAATATTTTGATCATCCAACATCAATGCTTTAGAGTAAAGACTCATAGCCGCCCACATCAGGTACATCCCTTTTGAATATGACTTGTACAGTGCTGTCGCCACTTTATTTTGATTTGCGAAATCAAGAATCTACGCAAATTAAAGCACAATAGAGGTAATTAAATCAAATCGTAATTATGAACAACGTACCCGAACATGAGCCATGAACCAGTTAGTCATATGTTCTTCCGATTTTTCCTTTTTATTAGCATTCTCGTACAATATACAGACCTTCTCAGCTAAATATATCAACAATGTTCCAAATACTTGAAAGAATCAACGAAGCATGTATATTTCTAAATCCACTTACGCATATCAAGCTCTCTGTAACAAATCGACATTGCGTGCAGGGTCCCTTCATCGATGGGACATTCCTCAAAAACCTGATCCATAGTAGCCAAACAGTCTTCCAATTTTCCCAGTCTCATCCAAGCGAGTGCCTTAAAAACCTAGAGAACAAATAAAGTTAGTTAGTGAAGTGTAACTCATGCAAATAATTTATTTCAGTGTACATCCGATTCTTCTTACCTTTGCACAAGTAAAACTAGGATGCTTTTTCAAAAGTTTGTCCGCTTCTTGTAATACTTTTTTACAGTTCCCAGAATCCAATAGATCTACAATAATCAAAAAAGGATGAGAATCATTATTTGCCTCACCTCAAAATCATAACCATGCAATATTATCTTTACAAACCGTAAAGAGGACGCAGACGTCGCTCCTTTACTGAATCAGTCATCGAATTTGTTCTCGCCAAGGCTGCCGACGTCATGTTGGTTTTTATTGTTTACGAAATATTCAGTCTGCTACAGTAGTGGAAATATCCCAATTAACAAATTGACGCAGTAATGAAACGTCTTTTTGTCGAATTTGATAGCTCAACTTCTACACGATGATGACTAGAGGATGATGATATGATATATATCCGATTCGATGAGAAGATAGATCCAACTTAGATAAAGATGAATCTACAAATCAACATAAATAATTTGTTAGCTTAATTTAAAACAAAAACTAACCATTAAAAAATTTATTCATAAAAAAGCACATGGGTTTCTCCCGGACTACATGTACCCCCATTTATGAAGTCATTAAAAAAAATTGTACTTCTCATCAAATAGTTCATCCTTTAAAAAACCTTAAAATTTTGTCCCCTCTCCTTTAACAAGCATGCTCCTGATTGGTTTTTTTCCTTAAAACTATGCAAAATATTACCATATTCTTCCCTCGACTTACCGTCAATAATTTTTGCTTCCCTTTTTAAAGAGAAATTAAGAAGACGGTTAAAAATTTAAGAGTGGTTATTAAATTAAAGTTTGTTCAAGTTAAGGAGAGGTTTTTAAAACCCAATCGTTATTACAAAAAAAGATATTGTGAATGTTGTGAGACTGTGATTCACTACCACGTTCACCGACCAACTCCAGTCTCTCTCTACCTCACTCGTACTTTTAACACTTACCACCAAACCAACCAATCTGTATTGCATTGCTTTTAGTTATAGTGCACCCTCTCCTTTGACTTATTGCATTATACCGCATTTTCGGCGTTCTCTTCTCTTAGCGCCACGAGAGTCCGTCTATTCATCGGGCAGAGTTGAAGGGTCAACGGGCAACGGCGTGGTCACCGCAAACAACTAAAAATCCCGGCCCTTTTCACCCAAAGGGACCCATGGGTGAGTAGTAAGTGAGGCGGTAAGGGTCCTGTAAAGGGAGGTTTGGTAAATGAGATAAAATTGATGTGGAAAAGGTGCCTACGAAATGTGTGAACGGCCTTTGAACACATTTTGCAAGTAGATTCGTTCAACATTTCTTACCTGCCGTGCTGCTGGTCTTCTTGGTTTGTTTCGCATAAACCAAACCAATGAACCATTATTGACTTGTAATAATTGAAGAGTTTAGTTAGTTCTTTGAGGAGGCCTTTCCAATCAAAGTTTATCGAAAGTATATACATCGAAAATTGTCAGTATTTAGCGAAAAAGAGTGTGTAGGAGGTAGTTATTTAGACAGGTTGGGAAGGAGGTAAGAATTTCAAACCACTTGCGTTATTATTGCAACTAGAATTCTGATTGACTGCTTGTTTGCTGCAGTTGCGGTGGGCAAACCTTTGACATAAGAGGAGACTAAATGGGGAAGAAATTGCGACAAGACGCAGGTAAGGAGAAAAGTCTTTATCTGTGTGTTTTTTTAAATCTTATTGGATATTGAGTAGTAATTTCCAATTATTGCGACTATTTTGCTTGTTTAACGATGTATTGAATCTATAACTTAGTTTCTCGCTGAATGACCAAATTTGAAGTTTTGGACCGTGTAGAACATTCCGGGGGGATGGAGAAGAACAGTCGAGACGATCATCATCCAGGTGAGGGAGGTGGAGATGAGAACGTTCCTCCACCAACCTTAGCCGCTGCTGGTCAAGAAGATGCGGAATATAATTGTGGCGATGAAGGTGGTGAAAATGCCGGCTACTCTGAAGAAGATCAGGAGGAGGATCCAGACGCCGATCCAAGCAACAGACTAAAAATATGTGATGTGCGAGGGGGCGGAGGTCTAGATGAGAATGGGGACAATAATGAAGAGGAAGATGACGAAGATATGAGTAATATGGCTTCCTTGGGGGTGGCAAATAACTTGTCCTCTCTAAAGATGGAGGTAGACTGTGACGAGGACAATGATAATTCTTCCACCGGGTCGACATCCTCTCCCACGGTCAAGAATCAACTCGACTCTTATTTAGGTCTTCTAGAGAGAGACCAACAACAACTCAATACGCTTATGGTACTTAAGGAACGAGAGTGGGATGCCATCCTAAAGCTAAAAAAGTTGAAGGAAATTAAAATTGCGAGAATCAAGAGGAGGCGAGCATTGGACGAAATGTTGGGAACTTCTTCGCTTTCGACCAGTGGTGGTGGTACTGTATGTGAAAGAGTCTCGCTGGACAAGAATCGTCGTAATAGTTGTAATAGCAACAATGCAGCAAGTTCAAAGGTGTTCCGGCAAAAATTAATTGTAGCCGAGAGTTGTTTAAGAGTGGGAAATAAGAGGGAGGTGGAAGTTAGGAATAATATTCGTACTTTAGAAAAAGATGTTCATGACTTGGCTAAAGAAGTGTTTACTGCCGAACAGCAAGAGAGGTCACTAGACTTTGAAGATGATCAACCCCGACTGGACGAGGCCCAGACGACGACCGAAGGGGCTTTCTTGGCCAGTAACGCTCTTAAAAGTTTGGTGAAATTCAGAACTACGGGACACTCGCCAGGATCAGTGACTTCCTCTCCCAAAATTGTGGGAGAAGGACGACAGGGCCCAAAAGTTGATGTTACTGCACTCATAGCAGACTATAGGTTTGTGCCCATACTTTAATTATTTAGGATTGAAATAAATTAAAGTGGTGGCATATTACTTTATTGTTTAAATTAATTACAGGTTAAAAACAGATTACGACAAGGAATCGCCTATGCGAAGGTCTATCACCTCCAATTCCACCCTCCCTTCACTGACTCAATGTACAGGCGTTAGTTTCACAGATATATTGTCAAAAATAAAGACTCGATATGAAAAAGATAAAGAGATAACTGCAAGTCCCCCGTCCATGGTCGCCACCCCTCTCAATAATATTAAGCAGTCTGTTCAAACGAGTACTAAGGCTAAAGGGGCTGCTTCCTCTGCTAACACATTACTATCAGGAAGTAAACCACCTGCTGGGACAACCTTGGCTAAATTACTATCAGCTAATAATGGAAACTCCATGAATCGTGCATTGGAAGACTCTGCTGTTGTATATAACCATAAACCTGTCGCGAATAACGCGTCATCAGCTACTTCTGAGAAGAATTTGTCACTATCAAATCTGCTGGCTTCCTCCAAGGCGAGTCTTTAATAAGTGTACAATAAATTAACTCTAAAGTCATTGTTATCATAACATGTGGAATTATTCTCATAGAGTCGTGATGAGTCCGTAAAGAAGAAATCAGACGCTGCTGCCGTCCCACTGTGTCAAGGATGTCACGCTAATAAAGCTCAATTCGTATGTGCTGGGTGCGGGAACCAATGGTATTGTTCGAGAGAGTGTCAAGTAAGTTTTATTTTTGTTTACGTAAAAAATCACAGATTTAAACTCTTCTGTTCGAACTTCTTAATATAATCTATAATTTCCTAATTTTTTTTAGGTCGCTGCTTGGGATGATCATGCGGAAACCTGTTCAGGGTAACTCTTACTACACGCTACACGCTAAGTCACCGGAACCATGCAGATGATATGCTATTAATCATACCTATCTGAGCTCCGTGTGCATCGGTCATAAATTACCAGTTTGTTTTTCCCTTGCATTTCCTTCCCTTTCGTTTCCTTCCTTTGTGTTTAAATTTTGCTGATATTTTTATTTCAAATAATTGTTTGTTTTTAAGCTTTGACTTCATACATTGTATTATAGTACCTCAATTCAACGTCCATTATGTATTATCATATGAATAGGTTTCTCTGCTAGTCATGAACTCGAATAACTAAATTGTTAGGACATAAATTGACTCAAATTGTAGAAAATGTCCCAAAACTGATCTATATCTCTCCATATATTTGGTGATTTTTTTTTGTTAGACTAGCCAGGCTTCTATACGCCGGAGCAAATGCAAAGAAACAACAATTTTTGACCAAACTCGGTAATTCGGTACACGGATCGATACGTATCTATACGACCATATAATTTGATCATACTGATATATACATAAAATCATAATTTGAATGTTCTTTTCTAGGTTTAAGAATGATCATATTTCCAATTTCATCTGCATAGAGGATTTAACCCTAGTAGAATTAATAAAGCGTTTCCTGTAAAAAAGTAAGGGCTTTTACATACTTCCAAATACCAGGGTAGGATTAAGAACGAACTATTTTTAAAATTTGGATGTAAAGCCATTTACTTTTTTACATTCAGAATTGCTTACTATTTCCTCATGTTTATTTACCTGTCTGACGGTATTAGTCGCCGATTTAATGGTCACATTTGGTCAATCCTCCTCTTTTTTCGGTGCATTACATGTGAATAATAATGATGTGAGTTTTTGTATGTTATATATGTTCATTCTACAGAGTGACATTTTTGTAAGTCCCAACACACAATAATAAAATGATAAAAATGCAAACAACCCAGCTCGTGCATTCGTTCCAATTTCTAAAGTACATGTAAATTAAAAAGTAATATATCGTCATATTTAGGTCTTAAGAATAAATAAATACATAACCAGAGAACCACATTATTTAAGGAATAACAATATTTTATAACAATACATGTAATGTAAGAAATAAAAATAATTATATATTTATCAAGACAAAGAGAGAGAGGTTTATAATAAAATCTCAGATAACATAAATATACAAAATGAATACAATGTATACCCTCTAGTATATTTATCATGAATGAAATGACGTCTCATTGTCATGTTGCACAACCCCGTGAAAACAATACGAACGTATAAAAAAATTCCATCAAATTTGGAACAATCATTGGTAATCAAGGGAGCTTATCATCACGATAAAATCAGCAATGCCCAGTAACCCGAGTTGCTGGGTGAACAAAGACGGGTGGTGGTGCGGTGGTGGGGGTTAGATGACGCTGCCATCCAGCTCGACCCCAGCGCCACCCGCTTCTCCTTCTTATGACGGAGGCCTCTGTTTTTGAGAGTGAGTGAGTCAAGCCGAGAAGGAGCCATTTTCACCAACCAACCACCCAGCCGACAGACAATTACACCACCACCACCGCTACTTTACTTACTTGCCTAGCAGTCCATATAGCAGAGAAGAATATAATCCACAACATCAGTCAGCCTCTTGTTCTCTCCTATACCTTTTCGCTGCTAGTAGTGGACGTCTCCTAAACCGACCACGGAATCTCCTCCTCCTCTTCCTCCTCCTCCAAAGAGTACTGAGATTACGCTGGGAAAAGGTCGTGGTCAAGGGTCACACGTTGTTCCCCTCCTCCAGTTTCCGTCTCGGCGTGGGTTTGATTGAGTGAGTCGTCGCCTCCTCCCTCTGCTACTAGCAACCTACCACTTCTACTACCTACCTATTATCAACCACTACAAGTCCTTTACAATGAGTGAGGCTGATAAACTCAACATTGATAACATCATCTCCCGGCTGCTTGAAGGTAAGGGAGTGGGGACTTGGATAAGAAGGTGGAAGTTTGGGTGGGAGAGGTTTATTATTATGTTGACGATCTTGTTTTTTTTTTCGTTTGTCAACAGTGCGGGGATCGCGACCTGGGAAGAACGTCCAATTAACCGAGACTGAGATTCGGAACCTGTGTTTGAAGTGTCGTGAAATATTCTTGTCGCAACCCATTCTTCTGGAGTTGGAGGCTCCATTGAAAATCTGCGGTGAGTCGTCGGGGTTCATATTCTTGTTATTTAGTAGTGACGATTTGAGGTTTTATTGTAATGTTTATGTTTACAGGTGACATTCATGGTCAATACTATGACTTACTACGCTTGTTTGAATATGGGGGGTTTCCACCAGAGTCAAACTACTTGTTCTTGGGCGACTACGTAGATCGTGGTAAACAATCACTGGAGACTATTTGTCTGCTGTTGGCTTATAAGATCAAGTACCCTGAGAATTTTTTCTTGTTGCGGGGAAATCACGAGTGCGCTAGCATCAACCGCATTTATGGATTCTATGATGAGTGTAAGAGAAAAATGAGTTTAATGATAAAATTGAATATTTTTTTTTCTACCGGCCGGCTATATTTTTTTTTATATTTAATTCGTTATTTTAGGCAAACGTCGCTACAACATCAAGCTATGGAAGACTTTCACAGATTGCTTCAACTGTCTTCCAGTCGCTGCGATTGTGGATGAAAAGATTTTTTGTTGTCACGGTGGGTTGAGCCCAGATTTACAATCTATGGAGCAAATTCGCCGTATCATGCGGCCCACGGATGTTCCTGACCAAGGATTGCTTTGCGATTTGCTTTGGTAAGATATGATTTAGGTTTTTAGCCACATAATAACATCAGTGACACTGGAGTAATAATTAAAAAGATAACCAATTGTATTATATTAATTGTTATTTGTATTATAGGTCCGACCCGGATAAGGATACCATGGGATGGGGAGAAAACGACCGAGGTGTTAGTTTCACGTTTGGTGCGGAAGTTGTTGCAAAGTTTCTGCACAAACATGATTTTGACTTGATTTGCCGTGCACACCAGGTATGATCACTATCATTAAATTATAATCATTTACCATCAATCGCCATTCAGTAATTTGATGTTTGTTCTATAACTCAATTCTTATCTTATAGGTTGTGGAAGACGGTTATGAATTTTTCGCTAAGCGTCAACTTGTAACGTTGTTCTCAGCACCAAATTATTGTGGCGAATTTGATAATGCCGGTGCAATGATGAGTGTAGATGAGACTCTTATGTGCTCATTTCAAATTTTGAAGGTATAGCAATACATGATACTCATTGATATTATCCACCATGGATGCTCAAATATCTCTGGATGTTCTAATGCAACAATTTTTTAATGTAATTCCACAGCCGGCAGATAATAAGAAAAAGTTCCCATACGGAAGTTTGAATTCAAGTCGGCCTGTTACCCCACCACGCGGAGCAAATACGAAAAACAAGAAAAAATAATTGATAGTGGTAGGCTAGAATCTCTTTGAAAAGAAAATTGATTTATATGTAATTCTCCAACAATTTTTTTCTCCATCCCAACATTCATTCTTAACTTTTCTAATTACCCATAAATTTTCCCCTTGTACTGAAATACGTAAATTTATTTACAGAAAATCATACCCTCTCTACGTTAATTTCTGAGCCTAATCTTACAGGCTACAAACAACTCATAGTATATAAAATGTACATAGATACAACAACCTTTGTGACGGTCTAGCACACAGACAATTTCGTTTTTCAGTTCAAATTGTCAACATGATTCTGTCGAGTCGAGTCGGGGGGTCGGTCTATATGACCTACAGTTGAGGGTCGTCGTCATCATTGTCATCAAAGCTTTTACACAACAACGAACGATTACCTCTCGTCGATCCCACCTTACCTGATATAGACCGAGTCTCGACTCCTCAACAACCAAAAACAATTTCGACTACCGCCTACACTTAATTATATATTACATATAATATATTATAATGTATCTACCCCACACCTATCTTTACTTATCTACCGCCAAATACCCACCATTAATGTTGCCGCATTAATTTTAATTTTGATCCTACTCCTCCCACTACAAATCCCAGTTGACTTAACTAAATATAATTAATTATAAAATGATGGCAGTACCTCTTCCTTTGTTATTAGAACAAAAATGTAATCATGATATATATCTACGACGGGGCAGAGGAAGTTTCCTTTTCATATGTACACACATTACTATGTACTAAATACTACTATACAGAAGTCTCGTATAACCAAATTCGTTCATTGTTCATTTTAAGATGTATTACTGGGCCAAATGAATTCTTTTCCAACATTTTATTATGAGCAGGTATATATGTTGTAACTTGTAGTAATTAATTGCGACTTGTTTTTAAATTGAGATGAACCCATAGATATTTTCAGACATTCCGTGCTAATAATAAAACAAGAATGCGTTCCCGAGTTCTAGCGGATACCGTTATGTATTGTTTGCCTTTGATTTCTTCTTCCAAAGGGATTCAAAGAAATTTCCTACCAGCGAAAATGGTAATTGTTTAAATAAACTAGGTGGAATAAGTGTAATAATCGAATAATAATAATAAACTGAATTACTTATGCCAGTCACAAACAACACATACAAATTCATTCATTTCTTTAAGAATACCCACACTAACAAATTAAACACTGGATCGGTGGGTCGTTAACTTGCTTTATTCGATTCTATTTACATTAAAACATTACATTATTATTAAGTACAAGGGTTAAAATTTTGAAATAATTATTACGCATTCCTGACTTTTTTAAAATAAATATATTTTTATGAATTAAGCACAGGTACAGTAGGTATGTTGTAGGTTGTATTCTTAAAAGTAGTTTTACCCAAATAGTAGGTACATACAATCTCAAATTTTGAATATATTTTGAACAAGAGTTTAAAGTACTAATAATGATTAGATTGAACACCTAATTTAGATGAATGATGATGATTTGTGACTGAACTATATAATCTGAATGTAGTAGTCGATGAGTTTTGCTCATTAAGTTTCATCTTCGTCTTCATCACTGCTCGCTGGTACTAGAACGATATCATGGCCCGGAAACTGGTGGTATATATCGTATGGTTTATTCAATTTGTCGTACAAATCTCGCATTCTTTTCCGAGATGGAGGCTTTACCACCTGAACGACATTTTCGATGTCTTCTTCATCCTGCTCCACGAATTTTTTCTTTTTGGTACGAACAGGCAATCGAGAATCCTTAGCAGGTGGTGGCAATGCTGGTTGTGGTGCCGATAGATTCGGAAGATTCGGAGTATGATCTAAATCTGGGACAAGACTTGGAATATCGACAGCCGCTTCACTTTGCAGTTCTGCATTTCTCATGCGTTCATGTGGTAGTGGATGGGCTGTCCTGTTGTTAACCATGGGGGCAGCTACAGGTATTCTCATTTGATGTATAGGGTTTGGTGGCGGAGCTACAGATGAGACGTTACTGATGGCGTTTGAGGACGATCCGGTGGAGCCGGATGAACCATTGTCTATTAAATCGGCTGGCTCAATGTATTTAGCTGCCAGTAATAATGTTGCTTCGAGTTGTTCATTTTTAACGCTGATGATCACCGGCCTAAGCACACCAATAAGGATTGAATCAATCAGTAAGAATGCAGTGATTTCTAGAGAACATTAATACTAATATTTTTATTAACCAATCGATAGTTACACTTACTCCTGATGACCCTGAAAATGAATCGCCATTGACAATTTCATATGCTCAGCGAGTGCAATAAAAGTCTTGAAATCCTTTAGCTGGAAAGTCACCTCAGTCTCCACATTTATCGAGATTCTGTCAAACGCGTGTGAGCTGACGGATAGTTCGGTGTAAAGCTTTCCCTCTGAAATAGAAACATGTATTTGTTTAGTCTATCCCACATGTTTCAGTTTCCTAATCATAAATTAATGATTAGTGAGAGATTTCGCTGTGACATACCCTTCCTCATCAAATCTGTAGCACAATTCTTCAAAACAATATTGTTTCTAAGCGCCTTTAACGTGAGATCAATGAGGCCCTTGCCATGGGAGAAATTGCTAAGAGTAGTATTCATGAATTTTGGATCGGTGCGAATCCAGTTTGCTAATTTATCTGGGTCATAGTCTGTACGCAACTCATCCTCGTTATCCAACAATTTGATTGTGTATCTAATTTCTGCAAGTGTTTTACAGCCCATCGTAATAGTAATGACATCGTTACCATCCTCAAATACAATGTCGCAAAATAAACAACTCTTGATGAATTTCAAGGACCTAAAAGGCTTCACAATACATTTCGCTGGAAGCTTAAAAATTTTGTTGCATCCTCGAGGTACGCAGAAGCTGTATAAGAAAGTCAAAAGTAAGCAAATATTATCAATTAAAGATAACTCACTCAAATCCAAATAATTCCGATTTCTTACTTTTGGAAGAACGTGTTATAAAAAATAGCAGTTGCGGCCCCCGATAACGAAGCGTTGAAAACTGTAAGTGTAAGCGTTCTTTCGGTGAAAGCAAAATGAACTTCTTCATCTCCAATCGTTGCCAATGCCGTTATTATTCGACTCCACGCTAATCAAAAACCAAACATAATTTAAAAAATAATTATTAATAATTGGTCATTTAATTCTACTCTATATTCTGATGTTATTAAATTAATGATTTAAAAACTCACATGCCAAATTGACACCATCAATTCTACACTTCATTTTCCAAGCTTAGTTTGAGTTCAACAATCGAACAATGGCTTTTCAAAAACTGTTGAGTAAACTCGGCTGAAGGATGTGAAAGTTAAGAACCTGAAAAGGACAAATAAAATGAGGTCCAAATTTTAGAAAAGGTAGAACCAACTTATCAACCACCACATTAGACGGATTAGATTATCAGATATGAGTTTTATGCACTTACCTTTCACCTTTTAGTCTGGAGCCTCACTCATCCAACTTATTTAATTTCTCGTACCTTATCTACCTACAATAATTAAACTTTGAGCAACTCATAGTCACGAAATAAAAATTACACGGACCGAGTTCACTCACAGTCGAACCAGGTGAGTGAGTTGAGTTTGTGGACTTTTCGTTTTCGTTTCCCAGTCGACTTTCGTTCTCAAAGTGAGTTACCGCCCGTACGAATGGATTGGATTGTGTATCGTGAAATATTACTGTGTTGTATGTCAGCATAATTAATTAACTCTGATTGTTAATTGCAACTAAATAAAATCGCTATAACCATGATATGCATGTTAAACTATTTTGATAAGTACTGTCTGGATATAAAAAATCCGAAAGGTGGATACCTAATAATTTCCCCAAGCAAGTAGATTTATGAACTATTTTAATTCGAGGCTGGAGAATTCCTTCATATGCATAAAGGTGATATATAGAAAATAATGTGACGGAAAACTAAAACAATAGCATGTAATAATGCGAATAAATTTGATTGGGCAACAGCATGTTTATAACATCACGTCAAAGTAGTTATTTATTCATTAACAAATTGAAAAAATCATTCAAAATTTCATTCGATGGGGGAATTGCCCGGTACGAAGGTAAAAGGGAGAAGAAAGATATTTGAACAGCAGTTTCTTTTCTGGGTTAGCTTTTAGGGCAACGATGAGCTGTTTATCCATCTCCACCTGGGAAAGTAGTTGTGAATTATATTATTATTGGTCTATTTTTTTGTAGTGATATATAGTTTTAAACAGATTTGATGAATTCGTACCTGATCGGTCTTTCTATGTTCCTTCAGGCTGTATCCAGACTTTTCCGCAGCGAAGATGTCCCCTTGTTGGGCCTTGCGCAATTTCTTGGTCTCTTTCTTGTCACGACGGAAGTAGGTATCGTCGTACTTCTCTGGTACCTTCACCTTGGAAATGTCAATCTTTGTCGATGTTGCGATCACGTATCGCTGATTGACGCGACGAAGTGGAACGCTGTTGATCTTAAATGGACCTAATAGGTAAGTAAAAGAAATTGTTTTATATCCACTCAACCACGTTCGTATAATATTAACAGTACATAATGATAGTTGAAACTCACCAGTAACCAAGAGAAGTCCGGATTTCAATTGCTTCAAGAGAACAACCCTGCGACCGGCGTGACGACCAGCAACGAGAATACAAATGGTTCCAGGAACCAAAGATCCCCTCAACTTCTTTTTGCTAACCACGTTGTTTCTGGTGACCTTCTGTCGCTTAAAACCAGTAGCCGTTGGGTAATAACGCTTGGATTTAACAAGGTTGACCTTTCTCGTTCCTCCATTCTTCTCGCCCCCAACCTTCTTCTCAACAATGGTTGGCTTCTTTACCGCAACCTGTCAAGAAAAGGTGAAATATGTAGGTAATTCCTTCATAAGTGATAAGATACATAATACTCTAGGAAGTAGTCAATCAATCAACTAGTTTAGCCGGTAACAACACCGGCTAAATTACTGCTTGCTTATCCACCATTCCCATCTCCACAATATTAATCCCACCTCATCAAATTAATCAATTATCAAAATAAACCTCGCACCGGCACTCAAAAATAAACAGGTAAAAATTCAAACTGTTCCATGCCTTATAAAACAAAACCCCCCAAATTCCCCTTACCTTCTTAGGATTGACGATAGCACGCTTGGCCCAGATTCCCTTCTTGTGGTACATCGTAGACCTACCGAACCTATGAATGCCGGGGATAAGGATGGGATTTTTGTGACCCGACTTGGGCTTTCCGTTCTTTCGTGTCGCAACCATTTCGACCCTGAAAAACATGTAAAAAAAAGTTGTATAACCTGCTCCCACACACAGCTTAATTACACAATGACTTGGGAGTGGGGGTGGTCAAGGGGGACCAGTTTTCGTACCTTTTCTCGCTCCTTTATCACTCGAGAGGATGAATGGTGTTGAGCAGACTGATGAGAAGAGGAATAGTGACGGCGTGCTCGTGGTGGCCAGGTTGGAGTAGTGTTGAGCCGAGGGTTTCTCCATCCGCCCGCCTCCACCGTCCGCACACAGAGGGCGATCCGCTCCCCAATCTCAAAGGAGAATGAGAGGCGACTTGAGACGGGCTGATGTTTTCTTCTCCAACTTCTGTCAACAAAATCTCACATGTGTCATCCAATTGTTTAGCTATTAATTAAAAATTATTCGTATTTTGGAATTTGTGGGGTTATCAAATCTAACAGGTAAGCATTTAATATCATCTTGGGAGTATTGGAATAGGTAGTGATATACTTTATGCAATGTTTTTGTGGTGTGTAATGTATTGTGTTTATAATGTGGGAGTTTTTTTGCACTTAATTAAACTAATCATTCACCATTTAAGATGACTATTTAGGTGGGAATAAATCAAGGAGGGTGGATAATGCAAAGTTTTAGTGTAGTTAGTTTAGTGTTTAAAGACATTTAAAGTTTAAATTATGCGGAGGTATCATTAGCGAAAGAAATTTAAGTGTGTACTTACTTTTTGATTCATTGCAGTTTGATAAGTATCTGTAAACATGTCATCCTTTGGGGCCAGCATGGAGACTTCGCCTCGACCTATGAATACCGTCGTGGATGTCGCAATTCTCCAAAAACTGGCGCATAAGGATATTGTCGCACTGTTACAAAAATGTCAAGGAGATAAGGTATGCTTACTGTTTAATGATAACGAAATAATCATGAATATTATAAGGAATATTTGCTTCTGAATTGATCACAGGCCTTAGTATGGGACCGGGCTTTGGCCAACCCAATGAATCTGATATTGAAACATTCAGACCTTAAAGAACAAGGAGTCGTCAGAATGTTGTCGCTCGAACAAGGGCAAATCCCTAGTACAGATATGCCAGAAACGATCATATTCATTTGTCGTCCGTTAGTTCATCTGATGAAGTTGGTGGAAAGTGCGATTCGAAAAGAGGAAAGTGCTCGACGAAGGAAACGGTTTCACTTGTTCTTTCTCCCAAGATCTTCTACATTATGTGTTAAATGGTTAGAGGTGAGAAAGATGAATATTTTATGTAATCATGTATATGGTAATTAATTTCTTTCCCTTGTTTGTGCATTCATTATTTTAGGATCAAGGAGTCATTTCTAGTCTGCAGTCTGTCGAAGAACTTCCAATTTTCCTCTTTCCTTTGGATAAAGATGTGATATCTATGGAACAAGAATATGCTTTCAAAGATTTCAAATTGGACGTGGATCCTACAGGATTATACCATGTGGCCAAAGCTATAGTTTATCTGCAAAAAACGTACGGCGTACCTTCAAGAGTTTTTGGTCTGGGTCATGCCGCAAAACAAGTCCATGAACTTATTCATTCCGTTAAGTTAGAGAGTGGAGCATTTAAACCTCAGGTGCATACATTTTTTATAATCAATTTATCAATATGAGCATCTAGAATTAATCTTGTTTTCCATAAAGGTTTCTGGAACAACTATTGATTGTTTATTCCTAATTGATCGCGAGGTAGATTTACTTTCTCCCGTAGTCACCCAGCTAACTTATGAAGGATTGATAGATGAATTTTATGGAATCAATAACAGTAATATTTTATACATCACACCAAATTTATACAAATGTTGAACTCAAAATTAATTATATGAATAATTTAAATTTCCAGATCAAGTGAAATTTCCCGAGGAAAAGTTTGGTGAAGCAAAAACAATGCTTCTCAACTCGACAGAAAATTTGTACGTTGAGCTTCGAGATAAAAACTTTAGTGCAATTGGTGGAGTCCTTCGTTCTAAAACTGCAGAGATTCAAGAGATTTTCAGACAGAAGGAGAGAGGAGAAATGACCATGGGGGAAATGAAAAGATTGGTGCAACAGTTGCCGGCTGTGAACGCATTAAAGCAGTCATTATCAGACCGTGAGTTCAAACTAGTGTTTCTCACGGGTTCGGGTCCTTACTTCGGGTTTCGGGTTCGGGTTCGGGTTCGGGTTCTGCTTCGGATACGAAATTTAAGAACCCGAAACTTTCGGGTTCGGGTCCGAAAAATGTCATGTCAAAATTTCGGGTTCGGGTCCGAAAAATGTCATGTCAAAATTTCGGGTTCGGGTCCGAAAAATGTCATGTCAAAATTTCGGGTTCGGGTCGGGTTCGGGTACGGATTAAGAACCCGAAACCCGAATCAAACTTTTTTGGATCGATATCACAAAAAGATATTAGAAAAATTGTTGAACTACATGTTCTTCAGCGGTTGCAATACTGAAGTAAGTAATTCCAATTTCTAGTTGTCTTAAATTCGTTTAATTTCAATGATTTCCAAAAAGGTAAACGATTTACAAGAGCCTGATTCAATTAGTGTTACGGTGCGAACTATAAAAGAAATCGAATTTTTATCCTAATTTTGCTATGCAATTACCTGAATCATACCTAATGATATAAGTAATAATATTGGAAACGTCAAACTGGAAACAATTATCCAATTTTGGACTGATTTTCAAATTTCTAAAGGTCTCGGAAAGCCATTCTGGGGCAGTTTTTGAAATATTATAAATATTGTTGATTTTTAAGCTTTTAAATAATTTTTAAGTACAAATTCAGCCCATGCCTTAAAATTAAAAATATTTTCGGGTTTTCGGGTTCGGGTTTCGGATTTGAACTGCCAGTTCGGGTTCGGGTTCGGGTCCCTGCAAACGGGTACGGGTTCTTCGGGTTCGGGTTGGCCTCGGGTTTCGGATCAGTGGTACCGGGTTCGGGTTCGGGTTTCGGATTTGCAAGAACCCGACCCGTGAGAAACACTAGTTCAAACTATAATTTATTTAAATGCAAATATGAATTACATCTTATTCTATAGACACTTCCGTTGCGGAACTGATCAAGGCTAAAACCGAAACGGAGGAGTTTCTAAGCAGTTTGGAATGCGAGCAGGAACTTCTTAGTGGAATTGATACAGAAAAGTTGAATACCCACATTGAATATCTGTGTGGGAAGAAAGCTCCACTGAATACGGTTCTGCGTCTTCTTGTCATCCAAAGTAAGTACAACAGTCTCGTACAATAATATAATAATACTGACCTTAAATGTTACTACTATTATGTGTAGGTATTACTAGTGGAGGGTTAAAAGTAAAAATCATGCAACATTACGAAAGGCTACTCATTCAAAATTATGGATTCGAACATTTCTTGACGATCCAAAAACTTTATCAATTGGGACTATTGCGAAGCCAAGTGAGTATTAGTATGATGACTACAATTAGTAATTACTCACCTTACCACTTTCACTAAACTAATTACTAAATGTTTTAATTACAGTCCTCTGCCCAGGCTACGGGAAGCAGATATTCTGTGCTCAAGCGTGCCCTCCAACTTTTTCGCAATGATGTCTCGGAAATAAAACCGGACGATTTCACATATGTTCACAGCATGTAATTCATTAAAACTAAGTTATCTGTATATTAGTACTTCTGTTAACTACATTTCACGAATTATTATATACAGATACGCTCCTTTGAGCATTCGCCTAATTCAGCACAGACTTCGACCTCCACTTTGGGCAACCCTGAAAGACTCGATTCAGACCTTATTGCAAAAACCCGTGATAGATGAGGAGTCAGAGATTCCTCCGATCGGTGGAAATCTATCATCTGCAAAACGGCAACCTAAATTCATCATTGTCGTTTTCATTGGTGGTTGTACTTTTGCCGAAATTTCTGCCTTGAGGTTCCTTGCTCAACAAGATGATGAACGTGAGACACGATATATTATAAACCATCAATTAATTTTGATCTTAAAAATTGCCAATTTTTAACAGTGAGGTTTCTTCATATATGTTTTTAACTTGCAGGTGAATTTCTAGTCGTGACTTCAAAAATTATTAATGGAAATTCATTTCTCAATTCTCTATTAGAACCATAAATAAGAACAAATTAAGGCTATTATTTATTTTATACGTATTTTATCATGCTGCTTTACCCGGTATTTGTTTTTCACAGCGTTATGATAATAAAATAAATATATTTATGGAAACGTTTTCTTATGCAAAAAGTCTGGATTTATTAAATTCCGCAAAAAATTCACTGTATGACCAGATCCACAATATTATATATATATATATTCTCTTTGATTACAAAAATTGTTAGTGTATAGTATACAGCATTTAAATATGTATTATTTTTATGATTGCTTTGCAGTCGGGTATCTGAATCACATTAATTTATTTTCCTTTCTGTTATGTACTTAGGTTTCTGAACATTTGACAGTTACTCGATTGATTTTCATTTCTCAAATTTTTGTAAAACTCAATATTGCCGAATTCGTACTTAAAAAAATGAGAAATCTAGTGAATTTGACATTATTATGTTTCTGTATATAACAAATAAGTAAAATGTTCTCTTTTAAGATTCATACTTCTTTATTGTGATGGAGGAACGACCTCCATCTCGTCCCCACCTCCTTCATCGTCTTCTTCCACCTTCTTGTCCAATGTGGCGAACAGGTTGTCGCAAGAGATCTCAGTTATTCCCTCGTCATCGATTGGGGACTGACAAGATGGTGGTGGTTTCCACAGGACCATGGCTAGTTTGGGCTTGGACGATTCCTCTCGCAAGACTCGTTCCATGACGAAGTCTGTGTTTGGCTTCCTTGATAGGACCCCCCTCAGATCCTCGAGTACATAAAGTTTCGGAGAATTGCTTAAATCTGAATTTCCTTGAACGTTGCGAACAAGATTGTCACCGTCACCCCCGTCATGCTCCCCACAACCACTCCCACCATAGCTACCCGATTCATGCCGTGCTTTCCCAAGAGAATGAGTGAATTGAGAACCTGCACAGTTGAATTCTGATGAACTTATCGTCGTTGGAGGCATGATGTCACTCATTTCCTGGTCCTCCTCCTGCTGTAGATTTGAAAAGTTGTAGCAACTCCCACTAGCTGAGGAATTCACCGTATTGGCAGCAGCACTCGTTGTTGTCGCAAGTTCCAAGGTGCTAATTCCTGAGGATAAGGGGGGGTGAGAATCATCTGGTCTCCATGAAGTAGCACCGTCTTCGATATCAATGGCGTCATCGTATGCGTACAATTTGGGTGGAGGTCTAAATATGTCGATTATCATTTCAATTTCAACTCATAATAATAATAATAGAGTCGTTGAATTAATGGATAGTTGGAAAATTTACCCTTCCAATGCACACACGGAATCTGCCTTTCTCTTCGACCCTGGAAACGGAATCCATTGACACTGAGTTGCAGCAGGGACTACGAATGGGGGAGTTTGATGGGGGCGGACGTATGGTGGGTCCATCTTTCTATTTTCTATTTTTACAAAATTTCAGACCAGACCAGGCCAGCAGAAGCAGTTGGTTCGTTCTGAACGAGAAACTTCTACTCCCGTTCCGCATAAATCTCAAATCCAAATATGCTCACACATTACGCTCTGCCAAAACAACACCAACTCTATGTTCATTTCACTTTCTGGGATCTTCTGTGTTAAGTAAGTTTGCATATAATTAGATTGTTGGTTAACTATGATTAATATGGTTGATGTTTCATGATTAGGAAATAATACTTAATTTATGCTTAGTCAAGGCAAGTCTTTAAAGTTGCATGTTTATTGTTAAGAGCAGTAACGTATTATATTGAGTAAATATCTAGAACTAGAATGTTTTTAGCATAATATAACATTAAACTTATCGATAAATCATAAATAAATAAAAACATAAGATATATCTAAGACATTATGATTAAATACAACAATTACTAATTGTAAGCAGCAGTAGTGCTAACGTAGTTTATATTTTAATTTATAGGGGATGTACTAATTATGATTAATTATTTGGCAAAAACATCGGGCGTGCATTTAGAAACAACCTCTCGGACTAGGTCGTTCAAAGAAATGCCTCCATCCAACCACAGGATTGCCCGGTAATATTTGGTGCGATTCGGTATAAGTTGATCAATCTAGAAAATTAGTATGATCACTAAAATAGTAGAATGAGAATTATTAAGGTTCATAATTAGACTGATAACTAACCATGAATGGGGTCATGTCCGCACACATGGCATCCACCAACTCAGGGCCTGGCATGATTTGTTTGGCCAGTTTTGGGATAGTGAAGAGATATATGCTAACACTAAAAATTGGGTCCTGTAATGAAATAAATTAAGTCACATTAATAGTGAGATATTGAACCACTGTTTTAACAAGAGTCGAAGTGATTACCGTCATTATGTTCTCAGAGACCGGATACAATTCGGTGTATGGCATTTCTCGTGCACCCCCAAAGTCCACAAAATCGACACGGTACATTTCTCCTTTAATTTTAGTTACACGACCCCTATAGTAATCGCCATTATACTCTCCAATTACCATCTCGTCAAGGATGGGTGGGCGTGTCAACTTTTTGACTGCAATGGATTAAGATAGATTACAGTAAACCAGTCGGTAAATAACTCAGCCCGTATCATAGTTTACAAAAAATGCATGTACCTTGTTGCAAGTGGATATTCACCTTGTCCTGAATACCAAAAAGGTCCTCCTCATCTAAGGCGGATGCGACTTGCACCTTATTAATGTTCCAAATATGAGTGGACTTCACTATTGCGCCGTCGACCAAATTCTTGGAGAATTTGCAATTCTGCCACATAAATCTTTTAATCCAAGGTTCTTGAGCAGCATTTTTGACCTCTGCTACAGCGGTAGCAGTACTGGACTCAGCCTGATATTGCGGTTCAGATTGGGTCTTATTCTGAGTTACTCCACCTATAGACGCCTGAGAACTCCTATAATTCCGAGCAGAAGGTTTATTAACTACAGCGGAGCGAATTGGTTTCATCATGTTCAAACTAAACGCAGTAAGTTTTTTACCGTATTTTTGTCGTAGAGCCGGCAAACGGCTTCTCATCTACTTCTTTGTTGTATTTTTTAGCTACTGGGAGATCATGCTTTTGAGCAGCAGTAGCATCTACGACATCAACGCTTTTTTGCTCATCAAGCTTGAGTGTTTCTTCTGCCGTTGTTGTTATCTTAGGCTTTTCCAATTCCAACAGAGGATCAACTTTGTCGGGTATATCCTCAAAGACATGATTTACTACGTCCAACTTCTTAACGCCGGACGCCTGACAATTCCTAGAATTCCGAGCAGGTTTATTAACTACAGCGGATCAAATTGGTTGCATCATGTTCAAATTAAACGCTATAAGTTTGTTACCGTAAGTTTGAGCTGTCTAATGATTTGTCATTTACTTCCTTGTATAAATCCACAGCCTCGAGAAGAGCCTCGTTATATCTGGTGTTGTAAATAGTTGTAATAATATCTTTAATGCAAATAACCCAGGAAAATAACGAGCAAATTATCGATTCTTACGCAGGTGGTTTTGCCAAGACCGTCTCCCGCTGTCCTTGCTCTTGGCGTGTTAAGTCGATGCAATCCGTACTACAAAAGAGCATTCCAGTAATTCGGTGTTGAAATCCCACCAGTTTATTGCAGCAACTGCAGTCAAGGATTTTAAAATGTTGAATGAACGATGAAATCTATAATAAAAATTAATTAACAAAATATTACATTAGTTTAATATATTAATTGTATACGTAATGTGACCATGAAATTGTATCAAACTCACTTCCGATGATAGAGGCGTGTAGCCCGTTCCAAGGTTCAGCTCCATGTCTACAACGTCTAGAACCAACAGAAAATCAGTGGATAATTCAAGTTAATTTATTACAATCCAACAAATTACTGGCCTCACGCACCGCTAAAAAATATTTTCAATCCGAATACCTAGATGGACGATCTGACTGATACATATTACGATAAATAAACTCACAGGATAAGCCCAGATATATCTCACCGTCGAGTCCCTTCTCGTTTCCAGCTTCTAACTAATCAAGATGCGAGATTTTGCAAGAACAAATAAGTGAATAACCTAATTAATAAAACGGGCATGGACCACACCCATGACCGCCATCAATTCATGCAAGCCCTCATACAAAACCTAACTAAGGACTATAGAGTATTGCCACCAGAAAAACGAAGGTCTACTTTTTGTCCCTAGAAAATGTTCATATTTTGCATACTTGATACTCACCTCCCGTACTTATCAAGTTAATTGACAAGTATGCACCTACCTTAACTGCAGCACGTCCCTTCACAACTTTCCCTAAGATTTGTAATACTTTTTCTTAGCCGAAAGAGATGCGGCGAAAAACGATGTGGACTTGACTTGGCAAGAGTGTTCCTTTGAATGTAACGGCCAACCGTCTTTCGGCGTGCTCTCTCACAAACCACGCCGCAAGTGGGCACTTGAGTGAAGCTGTGTGCGGCAATATGAAAAAGCGGGGTGAAAGGCAACATCGTTTGCATAAATAATGTTTGCATAATGTCAAGCAATGAGTGCCAAGCTGCTCACTTATCGCGATCGATTAGCCCGTCTCGAACGATAACATTGAGAACGGATAACGTTTTTTGATTTCTGTTTGAGATATGGCCACCAAATTTTTAAAGTATGTAAGGGAAAGTTAGGTAGCCGACCGTCTAGGTCAAAAGTTACTAATACTTACTTGAGTAATAAAGAGGTCATGTGAGGAGTAGGGTTTTACATTGTCAGTGTCAACGGAATAAATGTCATGTCATGTCATAAATGTCATGATATGTCAATTTGTCAATTTTTTGTCATAAATGTCACAGCTTTAAAATTATGACATTTATGACAAATATGACGGACATTTATGACATTTGTCATAATTGTCATTCTCAGTATGCCCGTGACCAGGTAATCTTGGTAGCAGCTATTAAAACTCCTCTTTCTCTCAATGGAATTCAACGAGTCAACGAATGTTCTTCTTTTATCGCCATCCACTCCTTATTTATATATATCTAACAATTAGTATAACGTCAAATTTAATTACGGCCGTTCATAGTTTCATTCAAGAACTTTAAAGTTAGGAATTTCTTCTTTTCCGCCTGCTTCAATTTTATTTATAGTTCTCTTAGTTTGATTGCCAGGTAAGCCCCCGGTCAACAACTGTAAATATTTAAACGTTGTAAGCATTGCTAGCAGTCATCTCAATTAGTTCTAGTTAGCATTACCAAGTTGGTAGTTTTAGAAAATATGCACCGAGCTGGCTGCAACTTCATGTATATCCTGCTACATGAATTATGTATTGGGATTCGAGTGAATAAATCTAAACTCTGTAGACTAGTACTGGTCCAAGCTTCATATTGCTCTCATGTTTGACAAAAAAAGTTTTATGTTCGGAAAAGACAGACTTCAGGTCAATATAATTGGAAGCAACATGTCTGGAATCGGCCAACTCTTCCAAACGAATGCTATAAATAAAGCTGATAATCAGAGACAAATGGAATAAGTTGTAATTTTAAGAGCAAAAGTCGTCAATATAATATTTTCAGTGTCGTTCGCAGTAAAAAATTATACGAGGGGAAAGATGTGTAGCTGAGAAGCAAAATATACCGCCTACAGTAATTTTTTTGTTTGGGGAAAATGAGATAAAAAAATGAAAATGTCATAATTGTCAATGACAAGTTGACAGAACAGTTGACAATTTCGAATTTGACAAATTTTCATAAATGTCATAATTGTCAACAAAAATAAATGTCTGACATTTATGACATTTATGACATGTCAAAATGTCATGACAAGTTGACAATGTAAAACCCTAGTGAGGAGTCAGAGTAATTTACAAGGTCTATCGAACGGGATATGTTATTTTGACCTGGGATCACATGGTGACCTTGTAAAGGGTAAAAATATCGAAATTTTTGCTTTGATATGTTATTTAGGTCAGGGATTTCGGAATCATTCACACCTACGGTGACTGTACGTTACCGTAAACGGTGTGGATGAGATCAAAAGTAAAAAAATATATATCAAAATTTTAGTTTCAAAGGGTTTTAGACGTCTCACATTGTACTTAACATGATTGGCTAGCATATACATGTCAAATCTCTAGCTCGTCTCATCTTGCCTCAATTTTATGTACATACATAATACATACATTATAACACTCATTAAAACATGAATGCTGTCAAACTCATTGCTGCATTTTATTCTTGTTTTTAGCAGCATTTTTGATGCATGAATTATTAAATTATTGGAATGATGTATTATTAGTATGGAGTGTCATCTCATCCAACCGTGGATAAAAGTACGACAGTAAAAATACACATATTTGTATGCAAGTTTTAGCTCACTAGAAATAAGTGGTGGGCCTTAAAAGGGCCGTTTGCTCATAATTTGTTGTCAGAAGAGATGATGATGATGAGCCTTTTTAATGGTGCCTCAGCTTTCTTTGGTTTGGTAGCTGCTTTCTTTTTCACAGCTTTCTTCTCCCAATTGAGACTGATCTCATTTTCTCCTAACTTTTTGGAAATAACCAACACTTTTTTATACATTCATATATGTATTTCGACTGTTTTTATTTTGGCTTCAGAGAAAGTATCAATAAACGTTACAAAATGAACTCGTCTATTGTAACACATTTGTGGACGTATCCTATCCTAATTAATTAATTAATTAATCAACGGTAACAAAACAACATGGACAACAGCTCTCGGTCTAGTTATTGTGTCATAGATGAGTCGTTCGGTTTAACAACGGAGCAGTTTTTCGACTACTTGTTGTGGCAGTGTTAACCTCCACGGGCTTGTCAACCTCTTCCTCATAAAAGATCTCCTCCTCCGAATTTACACTAAAACAAGGTCAAAATTAGAGTCAAATTTCACATTTGTAACTACCATTCAGGAAGGACCATTGTTACCTTTGTGTGTAAATCCAAGTAAAGTAATAGGCCAAAGCAAGACACAAAGAAATAAACAATGAACCAAAGACGATGAAAAATGGGCGCAGCTTTCCTTTTCCCTTGGAACTTGGGGGACAACACTTGTCCCCGTAGCGGGAGCAGGACAAAAATGAACAACTTACAGATTCTAACTCATCTAAAAAAATTAAACATACACATTTTTTAAGGTTTGCCATAAGAATCAAGATAAGAAAGCCCTTAAGTCGTACTTTGAATTGCTTTGAATTCTTTAGGATCCAAAACTGATATGAGCCCTTGGAGACAGTTCCATACCAAATTGGAACATTTTACGTGTAAATTGGTGTAGTACGCTTCATCACAATGTTCTATCGATTCACCCTCAGGCCCTTCGACGTTTAATTGTCCATCTTTAGAATGCGAATGTTGTCCATCACTGTGGGGATGAGAATGATGATGGTGATGGCTAACGGCTTGTTTAAATGTGTGTAAAGCTGGGTGCGGTTGTTGCTGTTTGGCTACACCCACACCCCCCGAGGAGGGCGCCCATATAGAAACATCGGTGGACTTGGACTCGTCATCTAGAAAGGACGTCGACTTGAGAACATCGCATCGCATAATGTCACAAAATCCGGCTAGACAAATGGAATCATCTGCCTAAAAATACGAGAGAAGAAGGAAAGTTGAGCCCAGAATAGTAATCTGCATACGCTATCCTTCTGCATAAACCGTATTGATTAACGGGTCCTAAGAATATATTTTAAATAGACAATTGAGGATCGATTACTGTTAAGGACTTGCATTATTTATTAGTTCACTATGACGTCGTTCGATGTGAAGGTCTAAATGGCGTTCCAAGTAAAACTTTTTGCCACACTTGAGACACTGCCAGTGGGAAGAGCGTGTCCTTTTGACAGATTCTCGGATCCCGTGCAGATCTCGAGCAATGTTGAACGGACATTCGACGGGAAGTGAGACGCCATGCTTTTTCAAAATGGGAGTCCAATTCTGCAGATATTCATGAGAGATTCATGAGTTATGCTTCCACTGGGGTAAAATCTCTACTTGAGCAGGACATACCTTTTGAATTAGCTTCCTTACTATGGATGAATTCTGTAAATGAAAAGTTATTTAGTCAAATTAGTTATACCATAAAAATCTTGGTCATGTAAATCCCACCCGTTACGTGAGATCCGAAAAAATGAGCGATTAAACCACCCCATCCACAACTAAGCGTAATTTGAACGGATGGTGAAAGTGGAAGGTTTAGCTGGGAGAAAGCTCTACTAGGTTGATGAATGGATGAAATAGTATATTTTTCTTACCGTGACATCGCAAATATCCGGCGGCCTGTTGAGATATCTTGGCAAATAGTCACCCACCCAAAACCCCAACATAAGACCTAACTCTAGTAAAATAACGGTACAAAAACTTTGAACACTGCAAAGCCGGCCTGCCCCTGCCATGATGGTGATGTGTCGGATGATAAGCCCAGTGAAAGTGAGCCCAGCATGGCAGCAGCAACAAAATAGCCTCACCTACACCTATCACACACTCCGCAACACCCGCATCTTCTTGGTCGGTACGCCTGGAAATTACAATGCAAAGCGATCAATATTTCCGAGTAAGGCTTCTCGGATTCGTGCTCTACTTCCACTGGAGAGGAAGTGCTTAATAAGCGGAGAAGAGAGATAGTGCGAATAATGCAACAAATCCATACACAGGTGATTTTAATTCAGCAGATAATCCCCTCCTGTCCGAATAACGAGACCACATAATGCACTCTCTTCGAGGATTATATGGCTTACATTTGGTTTGCTCAACGCGTCCCTACGCAGTGTTTGCACTTTCTCCCATGTCAGTATGAGATCAAACGTGAGCTTCCCATGCACATATATTTCATACACTCCAGATTTTTGAATTTTTTCATAGCATGATTTTTATTAAAAATTGCTTTTATTAAATATTACCATTACAAAAAGTTGATGATATTACCTGATTTCTTTATATTTCTACAGGCTATGTATGCAAATCCGTCTCTGCACAACCTACCGTTACTCACAACAATTAACTCGTGTATTCTAAGCCTTACAAAAGTGTGTAAAGCGTTCACAATCCTGTATGTATTTATTTATTTATTAAGTTTATGTGAGGAGACTCTCCATGCAAGCAGAGTATTTTTTGGATATAAGTTTACATGAAAACGCTCTGAAAGTTTGTACGTTTCATATGAGGAGGAGATGAGATTTATTATTATTCTGAGGAAAATACTGCATGGTTATGTTATCCTTCATCCAGCTTTTTTATAGCATTTTTATTGGATATTTTATGACTGTGTCCGTTATTTAACTGAAACACGACCAAGAAGAAGGAGAGCCTTGTGTCTGATTTGGCATCGATTTTCTATTCGAAACCGTATATGATTATTGATTATGTGTAAAATTATTGTGATTTATTTATGATTGACGATTGGCTAGAAAGTGATAGTTGTTTGGAGATCATCCTGCCTGCCTCATCGTCATCCATTTTGATTATTTATAAAAGTGTATTTCTACCGGTCAAGGAGTATCAATTCATAATGTCGTAAAAATTGGAGTTTACATAAGTATAATCTCGTCGTTGTCGTGAATGAGTGTAAACATAAATCGGTATGCTTATCGCCATTGATTTGATTGGTAACCTCTGCGCGAGTCAGTACACACACCGGACATAACGAATCTGCTCCACTTTTTTTGTCTTATTTCTGATGCGACGAGGTTCTTCTACACAGACACACATTAACAATTAAACAAGAATTAAACAAACAATAATCTAGGTTGGGACGGGTATGTGAGTGGATGATTGATTTTATCGGGATGAGCAGAAGAATAAGAACAGAGGAGGAGGTGTTGGACGGGTGGCCCCACGAATGGTGATGGCAATATTACTTGAATTATATCATGGAAGGGAATGAAAGCAATGGATTGTGTTTGTACATACGAACATATAAAGTCTCATAGTTTCTTGTGTATGAAATCGAATATCTCGTTGGTTTAAAGACTTCACATGAAAACGTCCGGAGGCGCTTCTTTGCTAAACTTTTCGTCCTCGAACGTCACAGTTTTTGACCTCGTGGGCCTTGGAAGGGTAGCCGAGCCGCACCCGTAGTTGATGTTGTTCCCCATCGTGGCCATCTCCACTACGTTGGGTTGTGGTGCAAAAAACTCTGCAACCATGCTTTTTGGAACAAAATACTCGTCACCCTGGAACAACGACCATCATCACCAGGTCAAGTATTCATTTGATTTGAGTGAAAAGAAGAGATTCCTAGAGGGGAAGTACCAGAGAGGAATTTGTCGCATCGAGCGTTATGTGCTGTAACCCGATGTGATTTTCTTGCGGGGGGACCATGTCCTTATTGTTGGATAGTCAAGATATGGGTCGGTGGTAGTGTCGACCTCGGCCAGACTTCCCTCGCACGATTTCCTCTTGGACTACTACGCATTTATAAATGACATCCATTAAAGTTACCACGACATTTTAAGCCATGTAAGTCATTACTCACAGTTGAAAACGGTACTAATTAGTGCCATTCCGAGAAGGATGTACACGGATGAGACCAAGAGGGAGACCTGCAATCCAAGAAGTAAATATGTAAATTAATGCATATAGTCCTAGTTAATGGGCAAGACCAGATTGCTGTGCTGCGTTATCTCAGCCAAGTACTTATGCAAATGAATGACTTACATGTTTACAAAATCTGGGGTCCAACATCCCACCGAATCCAATTGTCGCTAGTGAGGCGAAACAGAAGAAAATTGCATCCACAAAAGGCCAGCCTTCTAGCCACCAGAATACTCCAGCTGGAAGAAATCAGGGAATTATCCATGTATGCAAATCGCATGCAGCCCAGAGGTATCAATTAAGGTGAGTAGATGAGGATCAGCATGCAAAACTTACCACCCCCACACAGGTAGCAAAAGACTAGGACCAACGAGACCGGAATGGGCACACCGCATCCTCCCTTCCTCTGCTTTCCGCACTATTCGAGATTAAACAATTTATCTCTGTCACTCCCACGCATCTTGATCTTCATGATATGACAAAAACCTGTCATCCACCAACCACCCACTCAGGACTTACCCGTATTTTGTAATAAATAGTTCGGATACATCTGGATAGAAAGTCGCCCACGGTGGCCAAATAGCACAAAGTGAGTGGAATTCCTATCGCTGCATAGAAAACGGTCAAAATGCGACCAGCCAGAGATTTTGGACTTACGCTCCCATAACCTAAAGATGTGGATACACCGTTAAAAGTATGTAAATTGATGCACACAGTGTCTGCCAAAATTGTTTTCTGCCGAAAAAACTTACCTATTGTCGTAATCAGGGTCAATGCGTAGAGCAAAGCAGCAGGAAAGTTTTCGAAAGAGTCGTCATTATAAATGTAGGTCTCTCTCCGATGGTAATCTGACCCCTCTAAGAGATACAAATGCCGAAGAACGTCCTCTTGAAATTTTTGCAACTCAAGTTCTGCCAATTGCGTCCAGTTGGATTCGTAGAAGACGTTCAGTTCCATTGTGAGAGTCCTGTGTTAATTGTTGTGTAAGTAAATCAGTCTCATCAACAATTAGACTAACTTAATTAACTGATCAATTAATATGCAGATATTTTCATGTGCCGTTGGCAGTCGCTAGCTTAGCATTACTAAATTCTTCATGAGTTATGCAATATGTATCAAAATACTCCTCAAATTGAATGATTAAAAATTTTCAGACAAATTATAAACCAATAAATTCTGCCAAATCCCAAGAACCACGTATTTTAACATGCAAAACCTTAAATTTTACATCCCCCATTTCACTCACCATAATCTTTGTACTGTCGCGTTCCTAATGGTATCCAACTCCTGATGACTCACACTCTCGACGGCAATAATGTCGCCGTGATTCTTCTGATAGTGACTCTCCAGGAAAAAGAAGGCCAACGCACCCACCACGATATAAACAATTATGGCCAAACAGACCGAAAATATTGACAAGCAACATCTTCTTGCTTCACACATTGTTCCAAAAGTTGGCACAAATTGTGTCCTTTTTTACTTTAATATTGATAACACTTTTACAGAGAAAGTAGTCGTAGCAAAACTCCACCCCTTCTTCTCATCCACGACGCGATACTGATGATGTATTATTCGTACCCCTGTTTCCCATTGTTTTACTGCAACCATACGGTACGTTATACGACCGAGAATAGAATACCATATTGTTGTTTACTTTAATAACGCAGTTTCCTCTAACCGTTCGAGTGGCATGTTGCCACGGGTCCTGTAATCTCACTCACTCACCACTGGATTACTTACGGAGTCCTCCAGTCATGCTCTTGTCGTCGTTGTTGTTCGCGACGATATTTTTCTTCTTTGTCCTTGTCGACGAGGAGATGCAAACTAAGTGAAGAAGAAGATGAAGAGGAATATTGGTTGATCTATGGACATTGTTTAAATGCACAGAGAAACTGGTCTGGGAGGTGGTGATGGGTTTCACAAGACGAAGAAGAAGAAGAGAGAGAAAGTGGTGGTGAATCCCAGCTCTTGTCTCAGCGCAATCTCCAGCTCGCACGAGACTCTCGATCGATCCCCCCATTCAAACTTTCTCCTCGCTCTCCCAAAATCACAATCTCACATCCAAAGGGTGCTTTCCCCATCACATCCTCCTTTCTGCCAGAGCCTTCCTCCATCCAGCAGTCATCGTCGTCCAAGCCAACTGTCATCAACTTGTTCCAAACAGTGCAAAACTCTCTCTGCTTATGCTGCTTGCCAAACCACGATGCCAGCCATGCTTCAAGGGAGACGTGCTGATGGGAGGATGAGGGTTCGCTGAACTAAAGTCAATGCTGCCATCATTCCGGATAATGCTCTCTTCCGTCCGTTTTGCTAACCCCTCGCCAACAGTAAACGATTCAATATGATGTAATCTATAGCTTAATTGTTTCAACCCTTTGAACTGTCCTCGCATTAATTCCATCCTCCTGAACATTAACTGCGTCTTCTTGGCGAGGCGGAGAGAGGAATCCATGCATGCAAACGAACCGGAAACATTACATTTCCCCCAGCAGCGTCTGCCACCAGATTATGTGGTGGGTGACATATACATTCATCGCAGTTTCGAGGAGGCATATGGGATGGAAATTCATGGCGTTATTATCCATCAATGGGGAATAAACTATCTCGACGACATCATCATCACGAGGTTAATGGGGGATCCAAAGTTTACAACAACTCCACATCAACAACCGAGGGGACTTTGTGCCCTCCCAAGTCTCATGATGATCACGGTGGATGAAAGGAGCTGCTGCTTCTGCTGGGACCTTCTTTCTCCAGCCAACTTCTTAGTTCGTTTTGACTTGGCTACGTAGTCACCAGTGAGTTCCTTTCCTTCTTCAACTCCGGGAGGGTTTTTCCTTCCTTCCTTTTACAACAAAAAAGGTATGCTTACGAAGACGCTGGGTGGAGAAATTCGAGTCAAACGCGGAGCAGGTATAGGTAAATTTTAGGGTCGCATAACACCGTCATCATCGTCATCATCATACCACTTCTCCTTCACTTTCAAGGAGAAATATTCGCAGGGGAAATACTTTAACTAATTCCCTCACCAACTTTCTCAACATTTATGTCGCTCATGTGGACTGGATGGTGTCAAAATTGTGCTAAGCTCATGATTCATAAAGAAGATAGGAGGAACGACTTGGAAAATATTGAAACACATTTAAAATTCAGATGAAGCGAGAAGGAAATGAGGTTCGCTTCAAAACATAATTTGTAATTCGACTCACACACTGCTCATTCTATCCTCGGCGATCGTAATGGCTTGTCACGGAGAGCCGAAAACTCCCACACTCCCACCCACCCACCACCACTATCCAAGAGATGTTAGTGGGATGCCAAGCCTAATCCGGCTGTCTGATTTCGTTACACATTATTCCGAAGCAGCATTGTTAAAGTTAAACAGCCCGAATTGCCCAAATTCTATCATCCTCGGCCTTTGTTATGTAACATGTTTTGCCAGAGAGTGGTTCCTCGTCGTCGTCGTGTTTTTCAGCCAGCCACACAAGAACTGTTTGAAATGCAGAAATATACAATGCAAATAACACACATATGGATCTACGTATAAGCGAACGCAATTGGTCGTAGTGTTTGTACATTTGCATATTTTCAAGTTTCACTCGACGCATTTCTCCTCTTTCGAAGGTTGAATTACTGGAAAATTTATTCACAGACTGTCATATTTTTTCGGCTTGGGTCAGGTCCTAACGGTAGTAATATCATGAATTGTATGTGCTTAAACTGTATGTGGTTGGTGACAAGGGGTGAAAGCAGGAGGAAAGTGAGTAACAAAAACAATACTGCTAAAATACATGGTACTTACAAAGCCTCGTATCTACATATGTATGTACATGACCTAAAAGAAGTATTGGCAATAACGACGTGTCTGTAACAACAACAATGATAACTGTACAAATAAACAAACAAATAACAAGCATACATACATTTGTAACTGATAATCGATGAAATAATGGCGACATTATTTTTACAGTTACTTATCATCTAAATATCTTTGACATACATACATACATACATTCCTTAATTATTTTTACAATTAGAAAAAATTAACTGTATCCAGTACATTTAATGAGCAGCAGATGATAACTATTGGTCACGGAACACAATTTGTATGAGAATTTAAGGCTTTTCTGTCTGACACTCGTTTGGTTTGCACGGTGGCTTGAATTGGCTTCATCTCACAGAGATGAAACATCGGATCGCGTAGTTGGAGTGGCATGGTTGGCACCTTGTTTGAGCTGAGAAAGCAGAATTTCACTTTCGCGAGCACCCCAACCGGGATCCAATCTTTCGAACGGTGGCTACAACTTCCTCCTGCATCCTGTAAGTGAGAAAGAGAAAAAAAATGAAGATCGACTTCAACAACGGGAGGTTTTTTTGGAGATGAAGTGCATGTCGAAACACAAATTATTATCTGTCTCAAAAAGAGAAATCGTGATGATTCCTCCCTCCGCACAGCTCCGCTTTCTCAACAACAACAAGGCTCATTCCATGGCAGCTTATTTCCTTGCGTACTCTGTTTCTGGAGTGAAAGGGTTGCCCGATGAACAAATGCTTTCTCCCCGTTTGACAGCTACAGATACGACTGACAATGAAATATGGGGAGAGATATACGTCGAGACAGTTGAGCTTGACGGTTTCGAGGACGACGGAGAAGAAGTTATTACTAATGTGTATAATAAATAGTTAAATGGTCACTTAAAATTGGAAACACATGGCGATCAGGGCCATTCCAAGGAGGAGGTAGAGAGAACATAATATAAAGGAAAGTTGGATCTCATCCTCTCTCCCAGGGGTTGAACTGATGGCATCTCCCGGCACCAGGTCCCCAAAGCCGATGGTGCTCAAACTGCGGAATAATGGGCGTATAAATGAATGGATGAGTAAGTAGTATTATTATTATTATTGGTATCATTACTACTACGCTACGGTATACTTAACATGTCGTCCGTATCTCTCACTCTCCGTGTATCTACATATTTGAGATGAGAGGACACGAGGGTTACCTAATGAAGCAAAAGTAGGATGCGTCCAAAATGGTCCACTTCTCCCAATTTGCGAACAGGAGCCCCCCACCCCACACGTAGCCGACCATGAGGGCAAGGCAGAGGGAGATGGGGACCGTGATCTGCTCCTCCTCGTCGGGAACGGCCTCCTCGTCCAACTGACCGTTGTCGAGGTAGCGTCTCGGCTTGACGCAGTTCCATCTGCAGGAAATAAATAAATCCGTAATCAATGGCGATACTAATCCATCATCATCATCATCATGAATTGAATGAGGACAACCCAGGGCTATGGAATGGATGATGGCCACACAGAGAAGATAAATGATGGCACTACAGACACACAGACATACCTGCACTGGCAGCAGCGAGCAAAGGTCCATTTGAACCCGCGTGCCAGGATATCCCCAATATTGGACAAGTAGAGGAGAAATAACGGCATCCCTATAATGCCGTACAGGATGGTGGCAATTTTCCCCCAAGGACTTCTCGGCGCTACGTTCCCATAGCCTGGAAAAAATAATTTCTCTAGAAATCTTATATTCTCTTAGCAGCGAGTTACTCCTCTCTCTACTCATTCGTCAGGCAGGTATGCCAGAGAGAGAGAGAGAGAGCTAAGTACATAGAGAGAGTGAGAGGTGGTAGGATACATATATTAGGATGTTCTCTCTCTCTCTGTGGGATTCAGATAAAATTCCATTCCAAGAGCTAAATTACCACTTCGAGGAGAAGCAGCATAGGGTTTAAGAGGAAGAATATTATGGGATTCTGCAAATATTATGGCATGCTATACATACATGGAAGCATTGGGGAAAGCGTGAAAGATTTCCTTTCTGTCTCTCTCTCTCTACCTCACTTTCTCTTCATCCCCTGATGGTGGGTACGTCTTGGTGGTAAAAAAGGGCTAAAATTCCCCCACATTCTTAGCCGAGAATAGTTTCAAGACATTTTGAAATATTGGGATCGACTTTCACTCAGAGCAATTCGATCGTCGTCCTCGAGCTCCTCGTGGTCGTGGTCGTAGTTGTGTGGATATCAGGTAAGTATATCAATATCGGGTCGAATATCGGAAAGTGGATTTTTCCGTGAAAGGGGAAATGCAATTGAACAGTTACCACCATATAAAAAACATGAGAATACATATATAGAACCACTAACCGATCGTGGTAATGACAGTTAGAGAGTAGAGGAATGCACCAGAAAAGCTCCAAGAAACATTCTCCGTTGGAACAGAGGTACTGTGCGTTTGGTTGTTTAGCGGCTCCCCTTCATACCCCAGGTTGATGGCGTTCACGATTTCCTCCGTGTAATTTTTTATGGCTGCGTTCGCCAGCTTGAAGAACTCCTCCTGGATGACGGTAAATACAAGGAGAACAACCATTTGAACCATTATCATAGATACATGAACCATGCGAATGTATGTGTACAACCCACACAGGACTATGTACAAGAACAATGTGCCTATCTAGGTATGTACGTATCTATGGCATGGGTGGCATAACAGTAGTGCATTCGTGCGTCTCACTTTCTCCAGAGTATTGAACATGAGCACAATGGAGAGGAGTTCGTTGGCTGTCTCGTTCCTGATTTTCCGTACGTCCTCCAACTGAGTGTTGGGCTCCTGCTTCTCAATCATTCTGAAAAGGATGGCAAATATTAAAATGCAAATCAGCACTGCAAAATTCCCTTGGAACACAACAACCAAGGCAAGTCAAACATGTCCGTGTGCACCAGCATGTCATATCATATCGTCGCGTATATACATATGTATATCATCACTTACTGGAAAAGGAAAGCACCACAAATCATGTAGCCGACGACTAAACCGCATACCCCGACGTGAGAAAAAGTAAAAGCAACCAGGACACGGAAGGCATTTTTAATTCGAGGCCAGAGTCTTCGCTCATACTCCAAATCACTCATCTAATAACAACATCTGCAAAACCAGAGAGAAGAACAATACAGATTACCCTTGTAAATTTACAAATCGCGTGTTGTTAGCTCCTATCTCCTCCACGAAATGAAATGAAACTCTCGATCTCAACCAACCGGCAAGCACCACAAACTAAAGTGCACCACTCATTGTATTAGATACTACTTTATCCAGGACAGGATGATAACACGAAAGGGTTGCTCACTTCACTGAACCCACTGATGCGGTGCAAGCTTTGTTGTTGTCATTGCTCGCAAAAGTTGAGAAAGTAAGTAAGTAAATATCTTATTTACTTAACAAGTTGTACATAAATGAACCTTACCCGAAATGCCGAAATGCCGAGTGGTGTGTATGATGATACTTGCTGTGAAAACTTTCTATTGTACGTATCTCTCCACATATGACAAAGTGTTGTATATTTCAACGTGTGTCCTTAGCCCACCGAGTGGCCAAGGACGGTGGAGACGACGACCAAAAGTGGGTGATGGTGGCAGGGGCAGTGGTCACTTAGTAAGAGTAAGTCAACGAGGTGAGGAGACGACATCAGGCCTGTGGATTGCCGACACTTGAAAAAAACTGGATTGGTTGGCGTCCTATTTGCTCGTAGATAGAGTGCCGTTTGGCTGTGACGATGAGAGAACACAACCAACTAGACTCAGTCCTCGTACTGCCTCTCCTCTCTCCCAAGATGCAAACAAGGATGGATGAAGACGAGTAAAAAGATGCTGATAAAAACAGTTTGTTCTTTTATGCATGCAGTCTGTCCCACCAAACACATGAGTTTTCGAGAGGAAGAAGCCGAAGAAAGAAAGGAGTACGTTGTATGGTAAATAGGAAGAAGGAAGGAAGACGACGACGAGCGTCAACATCCTTCTTCTCGATCATATCGTGAAGAAGCATGAAAGACGAGAATGGGAGAAGTTGTGGCAATCAGCAACACCATGGGTCCCGTCTTGTCTTCGCTGCTTCATTTGCATATACTTATACATAGCAGAGAACAGCATAGCAGATTTCAGAGGAGGACAGACCAAGACAAGATGTGGAAGAGAAACGTACCTAAAAATAGGACGAAAGCCGAATCAGCTATGCCTATTCTTAAATCGTTTAAAACTCTAAAGTATAAGATTGGAAACACGTGGGGTGGTTGGTTGGTTTTGCTTTTGCTTGTTTCTCTTCTCGGATGGTGGTGAAGAAGTGGAGTTGATATGTTGGATACCCGCACCGAGATGAGATGCGGGTAACCTCTCTCACTCCATCCATTCCTTGCGTTGACCGGCTAATTGCATTCCATCGTTTGAAAGTCTTTAACTGATTTTTACACCTAAAACTTGCCACAGTGATGAACCATCTCCACTTAAGTTGACAAGAACAGAATTCTTGGGGATCAATCTGTGTCACAAACATTACACCTCTGTATTTGTTTTGTCATGCCATCATCATTGTCATCCTCTCTCTCCACAATTTATTCCTCCTCTCAAACACTGCACCACGTACGTAACACCCGTTCTTCTCTCTGTCTCTTTCAGGGAATTCAAAATTCCACCTGGGTTATAGGACTCGCATTTACCGACCTCTCCACTCCTTCCATTACTGACGAGACGAGACGAATCTGAACAATCTGGCTGAAAGAGAAAACTCGCCGATTTCACATTCTCTCTCTCGGCAAGAAAGACATCAAATTGCTTATTCATTCCTCCTACATCCGTGAATGTACTAAAGCATGCAGTAATCTCATCGCCTAAACAATCCCGTTTCATTTTCCCCCATAAATCGAAGACAAGGAGATGGATTCTCTATTCATCAGCCGACACACGGGTCGTCCTTTTGGACAAAGGATTATACTGCTTGTGGTGAAACAAGAAACTTGCCGAGATAATGAAAAGACGCGAGACGACGAGACAATTCAAAAAGATGTTATACAACGGAGGCTTGACATCCATGGCGTATTATTTATAGAGTAAATACAAAGAGAGAGAGAGAGAGAGAGAGAGCAGTGTTTATACTGCTGCCTCCTCGGAATGACGATGATGATAAGTCCGGCGACGGATCTCTGTATAGATTACAACACATAATTTGCGGATGATGGTCTCGGTCCTTATTGCATTTGCCCTGTCTCGGTCTCTCTCTCCTTGCGGTTTTGCTAATAATGACGACGACGAAGATGCCATCCCATCATGACGACGACGACGATGATGAGCAGCGAGGCTGACTTTGACTGTGAGTGAGCATATAATCTACTTGTGTACTTTTGTCCTTCTGACAATGCCGTGATGTGACCAGTTCACATGGGTCATTCGGATTCATTCATCTCTCTTTTGTCTTCTTATTATTGTATATTCCGCTCGTGTGGCTGTCTCTTTAACGTCGTCTTGGTCTTCTTGACGGTTTTTTCTTCTCTTTCTGGGAAACCCGTCATTTATTACACGTACGTGGGTGTTACTGGTGATGAGACAAGTCGCCCTTTCTTCTTACTGCTGATTACACAATGGATGGATACTATTAATGTCTCTGTATGTTTTTAGAGGGTGATAAAGGACGAGACCATTTCGTACTTCTGTGTGGAAGGAAGCTAATTATGTTTGAATTCGAACAAGAAGGGAGCGAGAAAAGAAGAAAGGAATCCCAGCTATATTCTATTCCCGTCGTGGTGGCACATGGATGATGTACATCCATCCGTCACCAAGCAAACCTTTGACATATCTGTGAGAGATTCATGGCACCGGAGACGGGGCAGAATCCCAGATGAGCAGTGGAAACGATGTTCTCGCGTCGTCGGTCGGTGTGAAGTAAACGACGGCTTGGGGCTAAACTCTCACGCCACAGCGCACCGCCGTCGCCCCATACGCGGAAAGTCAAGTCCATTAGTCCCTTAAACGAATTGAATCTCTATGTTCTTTTTCTTCCTCCTCTTCTTTGAAAGAGAAAGAGAACAGAAATGCAGAAATTGAGGCAAGTTGTCATGTCGTCGGGGCTGAAAACGACTTAAAATTGAATTTGAAAAGAAAAAGAAGGGAAAGATTTTAGAGTGTCCTTCATCTCCTCCAGGTTTCTAGGTGTAGTGCTACACGTTGTATAACGGGAGAGAGGCAAAGACAGATCGCAATGTCAAAGGCAGACCTCCTCCTCAACACATCAGCGGTCATATGCCAGGGTGAAAGCGAGAGAGAGAGAGACCAAGCCAAGTGCCTTTACGATGATGTTTCATGTTTGTTCTTCTCGTCTTCTTCGTCGTGTTCAATGTTACAGAATTTCTTGTCAAGAGGAGAAAGTGCATACATTCAGAGGAATCACGTAGCCATCTCATGTTGGTACGAGAGAGTCGTCCTCGTCTCTCCTTTTTGTGACTACACCACACCACTGAACTGACTACTGAAGGCCAGGCCAGGGCAAGGTATGGATTAAGCAAACAACCGTTTTTCACCAGCAGACCCTCTCTCGCTTTCTCTTTTACGTTGCTATGAATGATTTAGAGAATGTGAAAGTAAGTAAAGCAGTCAGATATATTTTTCCTTATGCTTACATTAAATCCACCCTTGAATATTTGCCAACGATATCGAGACACAGAGAGACGGAGCGAGAGAGTGAAAGCAAATATGCACTTTCACCTTTAGACAGATATAATATCACCATTTAATTTCCATCCGTTTCGCTCCTAAGCATTTAATTATTCTGGGCGATGGTGATGGCGATGGTGGTCGAATGAGGAGTCAGCAACAAAAGTATTAGCAGCAGAGATACGTAGATTTCTCCACTGCCCACCACGATTGCCACCGCAGGGCTGGAGCAGTATTATGTACGCTCTGCTGAGGATTGAAATCCTGTGACCGACCAGCAAAGAAGGGAAGGAAGATGTTTAATTAATTGAGTTTAAGGAAACAGGGGTGAGAAGGAGAGGCGTCTAATTTCCAGACCTAACTCAATTTCGAGCCTGAGCTGGGCAGTAATTAAAGCACTATTAAGGCAAGAATCGTCTCAAGGCGGTGTTGGGCTGATGATCCACCATCCATTACGACGTATAACAAGACAAACGCTCATCGCATTTGCTGCCAGACTTCTCACTTGTTCTTTCTCTGGGAGAAAGTGAGTGAGTGAGAACAACGTCGTCGTCGTCTCATTTGCACCCTGAGCGGAGAGAGGAGTTAGCGAATGGTGGGTGATGATGAGACTGCTGCTCCTTGTTCTCAACCTTTAATGGATTCATATCTATCCAGCATTTCACTCTGCTTGTGCATGCCAGCCGGAGCCTGATGGTGGTGTGTGGAGATGAGAAGTAAAAGTCATAATCGCCCTCATGAAAGTTGCATGAGCTTAGTTTTGTTGGCTGGGTGAGACAATTTTTTACTTGTGATTGTTTCACCACCACCACCACCACCACCACCATGCCACACCACACACCATTTCGGAAATTGGTTTTCCTCCTTAATTTCGTTACTTTGAACAAATCCATTTTGCGTGGAGGAGAAAGTTGGTTATGTGCTTCCGATATATTTCCACTGGTGAAAGTGCTACTCCGTCCCATGCTTCGCCCGTTCCTCTCGCTGGGCCAACAAGTGTGGGAGAGAGAAAGTGAGTGAGGGAGAGTGGGGAAAGTTTTAAGAAAGAGGAAAGTGAGTAGTTATGCCATGATGTGAACTCGTTTCGTCGGAATTCGGGCCTGGGTGCCAATGATGATCCGTTGATGAGGAAAAGTCCCCGGATGCCGTATCACGGAGAGAGCGAGGACGAAAGGTAGGAGGAGATGTTGTGTTTGTTGGTGGGTGGTATTGCACGGAAGGAAGAAGAAGACGCTCTTTGCTCGGGGCATGGATGTTGATCCTCATGATTCCACTGCTCCTGTTGATGATGGTATCAACTTCCACTCCTCGGGAGGAGAGAGGGCATAGTAGATTAGAGAAACCGTCCGTGGTAGCTTCGTGGGAGATGAACGTGTAGAAGGATCCCGTCGTGGCTGCTGCTTCTTGCTGCTTCCGTTCCTCTTTCTCTCTAGAGTTGCGAACTGGTGGAAAAGCTATCGATTTAAAGGGAAGGTTGGTTTTGGTTAGGTTGTTGGGAGATTGGCGACTGCTTTTTCCCCGTGGCACTCCTCTGCTGCAAGTGTTGGAAGCTGCATTTTAGGCATGTATGGGCTCACAGGTTCTGATTCTCATCGTGATGATGAGGAGGCAAAAGTAGCGGACTGCCAGAAGCAGTCTCTGGCCTGGTCCCATTGCTGGTCTGGGCCTTTCGAAAAAAGAGAGAAGCACCAGTGCTTTCCCAGCGGTTGAGGAGAAAGTAGCGTGTGTGTGGGCACTGCTGCCTGTGTGTCTCCCTTCCAATCGATCATCCGTTTAAAGCCGCTTGTTCGTACCATTGTTCATCGCTTCTCGTTCGTGAGAGAGTTGCAGCAGGACAGTGAGACGACTGTGAGACTGCAAGAACGAACGTTCCCTGCCCACCAACAACCCTCTGACTAACTCTGACTCCCAAAAGCAGAGGAGCAAAAAGCAGAAGCAGCAGCAAACAAACTCACTCCCAAGATTTGCCCAAGAAGGAGTCAAACCTATTTTGCTGAGCAGTAGTGGTGGCTGGTGGAAGGAGGCACGGAGGAATAAATTCCCATATATATGCTCCACCGTTCCCACCACGAAGGCCAGTATCCATCCGGGCAACTTCCCGTAGCTTTCTCGTACTCGCTCTCCTCCAATTAACCCGTCGAATTGTTCTTCTTCTCCCTTTTGCACAACTAACCCCAACTGCTCGCTCATCCGTCGGTCCACTTTCACTTTACTCTCATGCCTTCCTGACTTTATTACTTGGCTTTCCTCCTCCTCCTCAAGGCCCAGACACACACCAACAACCTCCAACTTTTATTCGCGTCTTACTGCCTCCCAGCCATCCGCCCTCGCCAACTAATAAAGCGCACAGTTGCTAAAAGCCCCAGTTCTTCATCAGCGTCGTCCTCATCATCATCACCATCTCATTTCCCAAAAAAAACAGACGTGTCGTCAAGAAAAAGGTCAATAAAACTACTTGTAAAACCACACCCACACACGCTTCACATACTTATTCAACCACCACGAGTACCTTGAAAATGCTTCGCACAGAGTGTCCCCGTCAGCCTAACCGAGCCGCCTAAGTTTGGCCGGAGAATGAGGTCTAAACATGCACATAGTTAAAATCGTGGTGCTCGGGAGTGCTGGAGTAGGCAAAACAGCGATAATTGAAGTAAGTCCTTTCTCCCATTGTTGTCATAATTAGGGAAAATCGCCCCTCGGATTTAGCCCACCAACAAAGGAACCACTTTTGAGAAAGCGTGACACGAGGAGCATGCCACCCGAAGCTGACAGCGGAGAGAGGATGGAGAGGAATAATAAGAATGCAACAAGAGTGTTGCTTCTTGTTTTATTTATGCCACCACCACTGCCATCCCGACTTTGGGACAAACGGCTTCTTTCTAACTGAATAAGGACTGACATAAAGCATAGCAAAAGTACCAAGTAAAAGTGGTCGAGTTTTTGGGCTAGGCAGCAGCAGCAGCCGTGACAGCACCAACTGCCTGTTGAGTCAGCCAATACTTTCTTTTCTCAAGTGTGTCTAATGAATAATAAAAGAAGAAAAAACAGAGAGGAATTTTTTACTGCATGGCTCCATCCACCAAGAAACTCCTGCCTTGAAAAACTTTCACTTCATTGTTAATCCGTCCTCCATCGTCGTAGATTTTTCTCCCGATCCGTCTCTCTCTGTCTCGATTTCGAAATCATTTTCTCCTCGAATTCCTCGCCCTCCTCCTAATGTTCCTTGTAAATAATGCATCCTGACTCGAAGGAAACGGCTGGCTCAAGAGTCAACGTTATGTTCTCTGGTGTTTTAGACTGTTGGCCTTCTTAGCCCGTCGTCTTTATCCTCTTTTTCGTATTGTTAGTAGCCGTCGACCCAGGCTAAGATTTGTATAACTTAACTTTCTCTCTCTCTCTCGCTGTCTGTCTGGCTTGCAGATGTTGCTCTCAGCCACACTAATCAACTCTAATTTCCATGCAAGTACGTGTAGTTTGCAATGCGGGGAATGTTTATTCCTCCAACTTAGCATTTACTCATTTCCTTTGTGCATTGCCAATGAAGAGAGAGCGAGATGAAACTTTTGTTCAGAGTGGTCCGTCGTGGCCACGCCATGCATTTCACGAAGGAACGAAGGAGGACGGATGCCAATACGTGCACGAACCTCTTGTTTGTGTCTTTAATAACTAGATCTGAATGAATAAGTGAAAGGATGAATTAAGCACGTAGCTCAGATCCCTGTAATTTATCTACTTACAGCAATTCACAACCAACACTTTTCGAGCAGAATACTGTACAACGGTGCGGCCTGTCGTCAAAACGAGAACCGTTATGCTAAATAGGTTCGTACATTGATATGTATTGATTTTTACTTACAATTTCATCATACGAAAGTCGGGGCAATTGTTCCTTTTTAAATTTATTTCTTTGTTCTTTCTCTCTCTCTCTCTCCACTTTTCTGCCACAGTGCATCTGGTTTCAATCGAGTGTACCAATTGAAAATAGTTGACCTGCCCCCGGTGAGCTCCTTTCCGCAAAATTCCTTGGAGGAGTGGAGTGGTGGCGTTTCTCTGAGAACCGCCTCCGCCTACCTACTCGTCTACGATGCCTCCAACCTCGATACCTTCCACCAACTCAAACTTCTCAAGGAACAAATCTACGACTCGAGGGACATGAACAAAGTTCCCGTGCTGATCGTCGCCAACAAGTATGACGCCCTCAACCCCACGGCCGCCACGAGCACGCAGGAGAGTCGCGAACGTCGCGATATTTGCTCAATTGTGCGAAAACAGTGGAAGTTGGCTCACTTGGAATGTTCTGCCAAGTAAGGACTGCATTCATGTTAATTAAAAACTCCGGCAAACTAGTGTGTCACCTTGAGCTAGATATTTCTTCTCATATTAAAAGTAGGCAGATCTTGGTACAGGCTGGATTTTAAAAATGTAGTGAAATTTCACACAAGTGAAAGCAGAGTTTCTCGTGTGAACAAGAATATTGACGTAGCCGTCGGAGGAGGATGATCGTTTTTCCAGTGACGATTTAGGGTACATATTTGCATGCTTAAATGACGTATCACAAGAACCAATATGTACCACAGACAAATTATTTTTGCTATTGTGCACTCTGTCATGCTCTACCAAATTCCTTTCCTCAGGGCGGAATCGTTTCTGGCAAATTTAACTAGCGTATGGCTTCCATTCATGTTTCCCATCAGGCATATTTCCTGTGCATACTTCGTGGATACTTCGTCATCCATTTTCCATTTCCATCCTCGTAGCCGAGCGACCAGACATAAGAACTAATCATTGGGGAATTGTTCCACTGTGGACATTGCATTTGTTTGGATTCTGATGGTTTTTACTGCAAATATTCGAGTATGATTTTTGGCAGATGGAAATGTGATTGTGATTAAACCTGTTGCTGATGATTGTGAGATTTTCTGTTGAAGAGGGATTGCCAGATGGATGAGGAGGAAGGTCCATAGCAAAGTGACCACCAATCAAAATTCTGCAAACCAATTTGAGACCCCAGTTATTAATAATTTCTGTATCATCCATTTAAACGTGTCCTTAGAGAGTACAGTTAATGGGGAGCGTGTCCATCCGTTAAAGTCTTCCAATCCTATAGAAGTCGCAAATCAATTAGAAAAGTGTTCATCATATTGCAAATTGCAAAAACTGCAAAAACATATTGCAATATTGCATATTGTTTTGTGTGATATCACATCCCTTCAAGATTATTATCGACGGAGGGTTGTTTTTATTTTTTAGTCACACCAAATGTAATGAAACTACTTTAATTTACATCCTCTAAGTGACTCGGGGTCACTCGAGAACACGGAATATTTTTCCATACGTAGACCTCCGAATCACCTTGCTTTTCCCTCTTTTCAGGTATAATTGGAGGATAATCTCCCTCTTCAAGGAGATCACGAGACTTTGCGAGATTCTGGAACTGGCGCATGCAAAGGACAACCTGCACACATCCCACTTGGAAGGTTTTCATCCCCTCAATGGCGAAAAGTGTGCCATTAGTTGACCACTACGCGAAGCTAAACAGCAAAACTCCATCATCCTGCGAGTTTTACACTGTGAGTTGAACAACGACGATGACGACGACGATTCAAGTAACACTTGACTTTCACCTCTTCACGTGAATAATTCAGAGGGAGGGAAAGTCCTAATGGGGTGAAAACGTTCCCTCGCATAATCGCATAACTTGAGCATTCATGATTTACTACTATCTCATGCATACAGCCTCATCTTCTTGTTGTGGTTACAAAATCTTTATAATTTTGATTCCCTCCTCCGCTCTTTTGTGGGTTGGTGGATTGGATCCACAAGACTTATCAGAAGTAGCACGGTCACCACACCACGTGCTTTGGCATCAATCAGGTATCAAAAACAAACAAACAAACAACATCCCCTCGGCCGTGGTAAATATTGGACGTGGTTCCATCCAAGTAGTTACGAGTTATTGTATGGATTACAATCCCAACAGTCTTTTCTTTCTCTCTCTTTCTCTCAATAAGACGAAGACGACGACGACAATTCTCTCAGGTTTGGTTTGGGCACGTAAAACGGCAATAGGAGTCACATAACATAACAGCCTGCAGGGTGCACGGTGGTAAGACAGACATGTTAATAGCATAATAGACGTAACATAACAAAGCCCCAGTTTACAAGGAGGAGGAACCAAATAAAACCAAATAAAACCAGGAGAAAGAGAGAGAAAGAAAGGAAAAGGCACATCTCACCTCCAAAGAAGAAGAAGAAGACGAATCCAAGTATATAGAACTCTTACCCAGGCAGCAGGCAACATATCAGCAGGCATCCCACAAAACCAGCCATAGCATTTCACTCAGCCACACAATTACCGTAAAACCTTTTCCGGTGACTCTGGGCAAATGGCTGTTTTGCACGAAACCTGCAGAGAAGTCAAAACCAGTTATATGTTAGAAAAAGATAGAAAAAACCGAGTCCACGTCTCAATCGGTGCTTGGATTGAGAAAATAAAATAAAATTGTTCAGCCTTCTTCTTCCTCCCCGTTGGGGGGAGGCTGGAAATGGTTATCAATCAGGCAGAGTCGAATAAACGCGACCAGACAGCATAACAAGAAGAAGAAGAGCGAGCAAAATGCATACATTTTATTTATGTACGGGGACCTGCTGCTGCTTGCTACACGTGAATATATTTTTAACGGTAAAATGCAGACATATTGGGTTCAAAGAAACATTTTTTTTAAAGAGATGAGATTTTTTCTGTGGTTTTGATGATGAGCAAATTAGACCGAATTTATGTATGGGGCAACGCGCACATGATTTTTGTACCCGACTGCTCGAGTACTTGTGAAAGATGAAAAGATGGCAAGAGAGTTTTGGCGAAAGCGGAGAAAAGGGTTCCATTATTGCGTTCAGATGAAAGCAACTTTTCAGACTAAAACCTGGCAATCAAATACATTTCTAAAGAAACAAAGCATTATTCTACTACGAGCGCGTGGTGGCGTGGCTAATTGGCCACTGCTGGTGCTTGTTAAGTGTAAAAGTCATTGGAGACGGGGAAGCAAATTATTTTTATTTACATAGAGAAAGCACTTTAAACACAGGCATTTACTTGGGATTAGTTTACTTACACGATGCACGGGTTTTTGCTTATGTAAATTATTAGCAGCGCATTTTGTCACCAAAACACCACGCGTATACTTAATATTCAAATCCATTACTTTTAACGTGACAATAATTCAGAGGAAAAATAAACAACACGTGTGCTAAATTGCAAACCGTGCAGATTACAGTAAATGCAGATTACAGATTACAGGAATGAGAGGATGCATATTAAATATTCATACATAAGTGATGTTACTGGGTAGACTAATTTACCTACCTTGTTAATTTCTTTAGGAATTAGGAACCACACTAAATTATGACACGAGCACTGTGTATAAAAAATTAATAATATTCTAAGTATGTCAGATTTAAAAAATGCACAGGAAATTGCATATTATACCCTTAATGAGAGTCATATATAAAAATAAATATATATCAAAAAAGTAATTGTTCACTAATTTTAAACGCCGAAAAAGTGCATTTTAATCATGTGAATATTTAATTCTGGTTGTAGAACAGAAAAAAAATGAGCAGAAAAAATATACTATGTTTTATCAATATTTTCAATTATGTAAGTTACAATTTATTGGCTACAAAAAAAATATATGCCATGAATTCGTTAGTTATAGAGGCTCAAATTTTAGTGTAAAAAGTTGATGATATGTGATACATCTCACACATATAAACTCATGTGAACCCTTCATATAGTTATATAGATATTACTAATATAGATAAATATATTGCTGTAAATACAGCAAAAAATGCATTCAAGATGAACCACAAGTGTTAATTAATGCACGTATATAAACCTTACATGTATAATAATTAGTTACATAAATCTTCAAAAAATTGACTATACATCACCCACATATACAATCGTTCAATGCAATCACTACAAGAATCAGGTATGTGTACGATAGATACGCATCCCCTAAAAAATAGGCAATCAATAGTTAAATAGTAAATATAGTTTATAGACAAGTGTTACAGATTATTTATGTAAAATATATGATGATATCTATGATCTTCAATCTTCAATCTATGATCTTCAAAAAGAAGCAGGTCTCACCTTCACCCCATAAAAAATCGTGTCGCATTTACACAAGCATTTGTTTCGTGGAATGGAAACTGGGCTGTAAATGACATTTGATTATTTATTCATCTCCGCGCACCAAACAACGTGAAATGGAAACTCTGAAAGGGTTGAAATAAATTGACTTTCTTTCACTTTCTCTCCACTTTGGGCAGAGTTTGAGGAAGGAATTGGAATGAAGGAGAGAGTCGTTTTGTTGTGTGTCGAGGAGGAGCTGGTTAATGTATTAAATTGGGCCGTTGAGCACAATGGCTTCATTGTGAGATTCCTGTTACACAAACGAATCCAAGCAGCACTTAATCATCAATCCTGTACCCTTGATCTAATAATTATTAGCTGAATGGAATGATGGCGGAAAGCGAGAGATTGTTGCTTCCATACATATTTTGTCATTGCAGAATTGCATATTTTATTGAATTTATTATACACGAGCGATCTAGGTATTTAGGCCCCATTCAAATGCGTTCAGGTCTCTTTGCGAGATAATGAAAGTCTGCCGTTTCAAGGCCAGCTTTTGAAGTTGGAAACTTATTGCACACACACACACGCGCCCTCATAAAGTTAAGTGGGGAATAGAGTAAACTTTATATTTGCAAGGGCTCCATACATACAGCAAACTTTTCCCATTCTAAATATATCGACTGGTCGGCTAATTTGTAAATGAGGAGAGTTAAATGAGTTATTATTGGTTATTACATTTCTGAGAAGATAGGGACAAAGTGGGCCAAGTAATCAGTTCGCCCTCGAATTTGTGGTCTGGAATGGATTTTGGGAGTAAATTGCGATTGGGAGAGAGAAAGCGAGAAAGTTTTCTCCACTCGTGTTTATTACGAATCTCTCCAGAGTAGTTTTTCATCTCGTTCCTTGAATAATAAGCCTCCTCCTCCTCCGCTTCCTCCTCCTGGGCTCCTTTGACAAATTTTCCCTTTGATCAGCATGGAGAACAGTTTACCAGAAAATGCCACCACCAACAACAACACAACTTCGGTATTAGCTGCTTTAAATAGCATGCTATTTACTATACTCCGAGAGAGTGAATCGGAAGAAGCTAGAGGACCGGAATGCGGAGTTAAGTTTGTGTTCACCTTCCACAAAATCTCGTTACATGTACGAAATCGCCTTATAGACTCGTCTTTATCAGCAACGCTTCTCTCCTCAAGTACTCAATTTTGCCAATCTTAATACCCCAGAAACGACGGATGGGCGAAATTACGGGGTGTATTCATAGTAATTTCACCCATCCGTCGCCACTTTCTCCCCTCAACCCCTGTCATTAACACGCAAAATGCTATACCGAATACGGGTTAAAAGGAGGCGAGAAAGTCGATCGACATAATAATAATCTTTCTCCTAGCAGAAAAGAAACTCCCTCATGCCAAATTTGTATCAATCGAGTTAAACTACTTACATCTTGCTAAACACACACATGTATCGAAGCGACGAAGTAATGATTAGCGCTGCGACGACGACGACGACGAGAAGTAAGTGCTCGTTCATTGAAAAGAAACAACTTTTGTTTATGTATCACTCTTATCTAGAGCAATTTGTGGTTGGTAGTAATGAGGGTGTTGTTACATGTGATGGGGTTATTGGGGGCATGGTGATTACATGTTTTATTAGTGAGTGGTGCTATATGATCAAGAATTGAATAGTAAGACAAATAAATGCCTCCAAATTGGTCATATATAAATAAATAAAGAAAGTCGTTAAATAAGTCGTATACACGTTTCGAGAGTAAAATGATCAAGAGGTAAAAGTCAAAAGTTATATATATGTATCTGTATCTAGAGCATTATTACAGTATAACAGACCTGTACTAAAATGTTTGTGATTAAAAATACTATATTAATTATGGATCTATTATGTCAGTGAAGATGATGCCGAATTCACATTATGTAACTTTTTGATTTTATCTGCAATAAAGATTAATAAATATGGATAAGTATTATTATAAAAGATTTTGGATTCTATGCCGATATTTTTGCAATTTTATGCATTCTGCATACGTGGGGTTGACTTTGGTGAGAAGATGGATTCGAGGATTTAAATCTATTGACACTTTACTACCAGACGACGACGATGGCGAAAAAGCCATTAAATAGATGCAGAGGGACGTGTAGCAGATTTCAGTCCCAATTGTGTCGTATCGTGGTTTTATCGTCGTCATGTCGTACGTGTCTCAATGAAGGCGAACGGATGGAGGATCGCAAGTCGAAATGAACATTGTGCTGCTGTACGTGTATCCACGTTGGATGGATATTTGCTTAAAATAAAGATAGACAGACATAAGTACTAAACTCGAGCTTAAAATTATACCCATCTCCAATCCATCGAAAATCAAAGCGTTATGGAGGAGGAGGATTGCTCGTGAAAAAACGATATTTGATCAGGATTTGCTTTAATCGTCTAGACATCAGCCATAAGCCAGGCTTGATGGTGGGATGCATGGGGGGAGGGAAAGCAAGTCGTGTTTGTGATGGTGATGATAATGTGACCAATAACTCGATCTTCTTCTTCTGAGCGAGTGGAATATATTAAAACTTTGGCCTCGAAAAGCACATCTTATTTTCTGCGTCATTCCACATATTCCTAATATTTTCTGCAGATTTCTCTCTCATTGAATCCTGCATAAACTGTTTGTATCTATTTGCATAGGATTCATTTGTTTCCCTTATCCTTTCTTTTGTGTTCTTTGATCATTCATGGCCATGAAATGAACGTCAGAGGACGTTTCACCAACATTTTACTATTTTACAATGCACTTCCGTTCCCATCATGAAGATAATCTGATTCTTTAAAAACTAAGAGAAATAATACACTCAGTCAGTTTGCTCTTCTCTTTACACACATGTCTGTACATATGCACTTGCTACCATAATATCTACTTACACAAAGTAAACGAACTGTACGTCCTCCTGCAAAGAAAGTACATACGAGGATGCGGACGTATGAAACAAGCGGATTTCCGAAATTCGGAAGTATATGTATGTATGTACGTGCATATGTACATATGTATGCCAAGCCAGCATTGAGGGAGATGGGTTAGGTTGCAAAAATTCGGTACAAAAATAGCTGTGGGTCATGCAGCATCCTGAGCCAAGACGCTTACTTATGCTCGTAAGACTTATGACTTTCTTGCATATACAACATAGCAAGCACATCATCCAACATGGATTAAACTGCTCAGGAGAGAGGTCTTTAGTACCAAAGTCAACACCAGCATCCGACCCATCATCACATATTTGCCATAACCTGCAGGAAGAAGAAAGTGCATTGCAGTGGGTGGAAGTGAAAAGGTGTCCCACGACATACATTTTGTCAAAGTGCTTCACGCAACACCAAGTCCAGCTCTGTTACTAATTCGGTGGAAATTTAACAAATAGTTACAAAATATTACACAGTACAAAGGACCGTGTAGTCGTAGTAGTGGTGGTCGTGGTGGTGGTTGGTGGTTGGACTGACCACCACATCAGGGGCACATCACAAACACTGACCACACTATTGAAGTCATCCTCACTTATAGTACACACAAACACACAGGGTTTTCTTTCAGGGGACGGGGGAGAAAGGTAGTGGTCTCAGCCAAGAGCTCTTTCTCTCTTCTGAATCAAGTAGCCATATATAAATACGCACTTCTCCCGTTAATTGTGTAATCTGCTGCTATCTGTAATATATACAAATTGTATACTAGAGTAGTAGTCGTCGTGCGAGGAGCAGGATGCCAGTAGTACCTCCGACAATGCGTGGCACTGCGCCACAAATTCAAAAGCCTCCCTGGGTCAGGGAATCCTCCTCGAACCAACAAGTAATAACTAGGCGCCGCTCTAATATGACTCACTAATAATTATTACGACTAACCAACTAACAATTCTTATTTTACACCTCAACCTTCTGCCTCTGCTCTGTAACGACTAACACATTCTCCGTTTTGGACGACTTTTTGAATTTTGATGGAATTTGTGGGTACTATTTATTTATGTATGTTTTCTTGTACTTTTTTTATCATAATTGTGACCTTTTATCAATGTTTTTTTAAAAATAATACCACAAAACAACAGTCAATGTTGCTTTTTTTGTTCTGCTGCTATACATATTTTAGGATGAGCTACGCACGTATTCTGTTTCTCCCCTCATTAAAGCATGTCATCTGATTTCTCTCTCATTCACAACATGACACAAGTTAAGATAACCATTTGTGGTGATATTTAGCCTACATCTGGCGTCCAGGAAGTGCCATGGAGAAAGAACCTCAAACCGACCGGTGAACGGGCCATTCCAGTCCAACCTGCCACCACACCTGCTGCACCACCAACGACCCATGAACCCGGCACCACAAAACCCACCAAATTGCAGATTAATTTAAAAGCGGTAAAGAAACCGGACAAGAAGGACGCTCCGACTGCGACTGAGAAAATTCACTCCGTCAAGCTCAACCCAGTCCCACCGAAGGTCGACGAAGCAGCCAAAGTGACCAAAGAAGTGACCACCATCCCGATTCAGAGAGTTAGCAGCTTGACAAAAACACAGCCACCTGGTGAAAATAACAAAATGCGGAAAAACTCTAATGCGTCGTCAAATGATTCGAAACCAAAACCTCCTCCAACACCTCCCCCACCGCCGCTTCCACTCGCCGGGCCGCCACCACCCCCACCTCCACCTGGCTTGCAAGGTTAGCCCATTTCTTCCATACTTTCACTCCCTCGAAATGGAACACAAATTGTTAATACTATGTTATTAGCACTCAAATCTCATTCATCTTTTACCTCTCTGTGGTCGTATACATTACTTTTTTTACGTTCACATAACACATAATAATATCATGTGCTTGCATGCATCTGTGAAGCACAGTTTCACACAAGAGTGGTATTACGTTACGTAACCCGGTCGTAAGTACGAGCGATATTGCACGGGAAAGAATAATAAAAATAACATGCAACGATGTAACCTAACGGAAGTATGAATCGTTAAAATGTCAAACGAGTCGACAGATGCGGATTGGAAATGATATTTGTGAATGTGGACATTTATTATCATTTTTTTGTTACTTTTTTATGCAACTTTAGTCTCCAACAAGCCTCCAAAACCACCTCATGTGCAGGCCAAGATAGAACAGCTTCGGAAACCATGCAGAAAAAGGCCAGACTTGAACCAGTTGATGAAAGAGATTGAACAGGGCCGAAAGTTGAACCATGTTCAATGTAATGACCGCTCAAAACCAATCATACCTCGGATGAAATCGTCGGGAAAAGTAAATTGGAAATTTCTGATTTTTTTTACTTAAATCTTTTCTTTTTATAAAATTTTGATGATATAATCAAATGGGATTGAACCACTTAAATTGTGCATGTCATTTAATCAAATTCGTATAGTTTGTATTTGACTCTGAGGCTAAACCAGCGAATAAGGCGGACGCTGTTCATCACAAACTTCTTTCAGAAATCCAAGGAGGAGTAAGACTTAAGAAAGTGCAGTGTAACGATAGAAGTAAACCGATTCTTAGTGGTGAGTTAAGTAATTATGCAAGTAATTATTTAGTGCGATTTAATTAGTTATTGTTATTCAGTCCAAAATAATGTAACTTATCAACTATTTCTTCACAGGGCTTCGAAAAATACAACGCCAAGTGAGCCTAACCGATGGCTCGAAACCACCCGGGGAAGCTCCCCTCCCGGAAGAAACCCCAGAAGAAGAACTCCAATTCGTTGATGATATCGACGTTCTCCGCGATGAGTTGCAGTCGTCCAAACAAATGCTGGAAATGGAGCTCGAACACAAGGCCAACGTCGAGAAGAAGAACCGTGACCTGAAATGTCAAGTGATCACGATGGAGGCGGAAATCAACACACTCAAGTCACAACTTGGCCTAGTTTCCGAGGACGAAGTATCCATGATGTCGAAAGGGTTGGGTGGCGAGAAGAAAAATATTCGCAAGTCGAGTTCAGGTCTCTGGAAGTCACCTTCCATCGTGGGGATAAAAAAGTCCAGGTCAGGCGTTAATAGAGACGGTGGTCCAGGAAAACCAGGGATGGATAGGAACGAGGACGACGATTTACAAGAAGTCAACGAAATGGAGGAGGAAGTCCAAGACTTAAAAAAGCAACTTGTCCAAGCTAAAAAGACGGCGGACGATTGGGAAGCAAAATTCAAGGATGCCATGGCCAAACTCCTCGTAGCACAAGGTAGTAGTAATTCGCATAAAATATTCCGATGCACACATATACGAACGAATAATTACACATGTATCGTTGTACATTATACATTTTACACCTCATGCTCGTATCATTTCTGTCCCGATATTTACCCCGAGGGAACATTAACTAATTCAATTACTCCTCTTACCAAGGGAACTTGGAAGACTCTGAACAAAAACGTCTCGTTCTTGAGAAGAAGCTTGAAAAGACCAACAAGCAGAAGGGCGTCGCCCCCGCCGCTCCCACCGAGTGTCGCTGGACGCAAACGGAGGAGAAAATCTTGGAGAGGAAATTTTCCAGGACACAAACCAACATCCTGGACAATGGGACTTATGGTGGAGGTGGGGGCGGTGGTGGTGAGGACGATTCGGAAGAGGACTCCTCCGACATGGAAGTGGACGAGGAAACAGTCCAGCGGAAGAAGGAGGAGAGGGAGATCAAGTTGTGGGAGAACAAATTGCGTAACGTTAAGGAGAAGCAACACTCAAGTAAAATGGAGCGGAAGAACCTCAAACAGTCGCAAAAGAACTTGGAGAAAGATCTCAAAGATGCAAAGGCCAAACACAAGGAGTTGCAGAAAGAAGTGGACAAGATGGCCAAGTGCATGATGAAGGCGGACGAGGATGAGGACGGTGACGAAAACGGTGACGCTGACGATGACGAGGATGAGGAGGAGGAGGAAGAAGAGGAAGAATCTGAGGAAGAAGAGTCTGAAACGGAAGAGTCCGAATCGGAGGATGACGATGACGAAGAGGAAGTTTCCTCGGAAGAGGATGACCCCGAGTTGACCCATGACGAGCGGCTGGCCCTGTTCGGGAAGAGGATCAAGCGAAGGGAGAACGTGCTAAATGCCCTTCGCAAGGGGAACTACCTCCTGAGAGCGAACATTGACAGGTTGAAGGATGAGATGGAAGATGAGCGAATTAAATATCAAGACTTGGAGCATGAACTCTCATCTCTTATCGACATTTAATCTCGGACAGATGTGAGAAAAAATCGGAACCAACGTCAAGCTACATACATACGTATGTACATACGTGTGTCTAAAATTGTGTTGAATTTTAATATACTTTACATTCATTAAAGCCGCATGATAAGTTTAGGACTCGTGAGATATAATAATCTCACAGCACCAAATTAGAGATTCCAGGATAATTTGACGAATGGTGAAATATTTAATGTCATGTACATGTGAGTAAATGACTTCTTTTGACTGATGACTGTGTAATATTAAGCATACATAAATACATGTGTTATGGAATGTGCATGCATACTTTACTCATTGTTATTATCCTTCAAATACAAATAAATAAATAATTATCCTACGCTAATTAATTTTAAATATGTGTAAAATCTGAAAACTTATATATTATGCATATGGTAAATACACGGTTGTCGTTAAACCTACTGTATGGGAATCGTTATTTTTTATGTACAATGATATAATAATACTATGAAAAAATTAGTCAATCACGAAGCCCGTGTTGAAATAATAGGTGCTCAGACTGTTAATAAAATAACGATAAAATAAAATTCCTTGAAAATATACCACCAAAGAGTAATTATGTAAATATGTGTAATTTTAATAATCGTCAAGTCTATTGTAAAGCTTAATTGTAAATACACTTTAAGAAAACTCTAACCGTGAATTGCCATCCTGTTAAATGAAAATTATTCCCATATTTAATTGTGTCTACGCATTTTTCCACAAAATGAAACACAAGGTCAATAATGGTGACACACATAATAATATCAATGGAACAAATTCATCAATTATATTGTAATGTTAACTTATTTCTTATGCTTTTTCCAGTGTTAAAACGACGATATACTTATTTTATGCAATTTTGTGTCTCAGTTTAACTTCATGCAAACGTGTATGCAACGAACTTAGCATAGATAAATATTATACAACTTGCGAGTCATTATGAAACCGATATTACTGTTACATTACATATTTATTACAATAATAAAATTACTCGAGATTACTCTTGTCAACTGTTACGATGAATGACATTGTGCATACATACACACACTGCATGATACACATGCTATCTTTGTTGCCCTTGTTTATTTAGAGACCATGCTGATCCGGAAGTACCTAAATAATGGCAACGACTGCTCAAGAATTTTTGCAAACAGGATTACATCAACCCAATTTTGGACCATATTTTTTGGCCTTCTTTTATTATTTCAGTAGACCAACAAGTTCCAGGAAGAGAAAGCACAAGTTGAGACAGAGAAAGAACTGCTCTTGAGGCCCGAATTGTCTCAAAAGCTCGCTCTCTTCCTCAGGAAAACCGAGGCAGCACCCGCTTAACTTCTTACTACCCACCTCCGCACGACTTTGGATAACCACCACCGAAATAAAATACGTGCGGACCGGTAAAATGAGTAACAAGTTAAAATAGTAGGTCCAGTGGTCCAGTAGAATCATCGTCCTCATTACATTTTTGACCGCATTATTTCTCGCGTCTCTTGTGGTCTGCCGAGATAAGCATTTTTTTCATCCTCTGTCCATCCGGAAACGGTGTGCGGTGAGGAAAAAGATTGGGATAAGCTGCCGTCGTGGTTCCTCTCTAACTAACAAACTGTGACTTTAACTAACGAGACCTTATATGGTTCTGAACGAGAGGGAATCGCGTTACGAGAAGAAGATTGCCACCACTTCTTCTTCTCACCCAGAATAAGCTGCTCTTCTCTCTCTCACTAATAAACTCACCCACAAGTAAAGTTCACCACCACCACCACTCGATCTCCTCTCCTCGTTCAGGCTCCTGCTGCTCCTGCTGCTGGGTCCTCTCTCTCTCTCTCGCCTCCGGTCAGTCCCAACTTCAAAAAGTCACCATCGTCAGCAGTCGTCGTTGAAGCGAAAAAGGTACGAAACACGATATCCCGATAAGCCCCATACTCACTTTCCTCCCTTCCTCCCACCCACTACTCGATAAGCGAGGAGACAAGTTGGGGACGAAAGTGTGAAGTTCATTTTTCTCCACGAGCGAGAGGAGAAAAAGGAGCCAAACACTTGACCTCTGGTTCATTTTCATTGGAAGTATTGTTCTCGTGTCTGGTGCAACATTCTTTTTCAAATAGTTTACTAATTACTATTAATTAAGGAGTGGGTGGTGTGGTGTAAGTTTAGTTAATTGTGACATATTTCCCTCAATTTGTGTGCATATTTACATCTCGATTTTCTCGTACTTCTACCGTGTACCGCCACCACCACCATCGGCAGAAAGTATTTTGGATTTATATAGATTTGGTATACAGATTCGGGTGGAAGAGTGGAAAAAGTATTTCCAGGTGTCATTTTCTGCAATGATGTCATACAGTTTTTTTTCCTGTAGCAGCGGAAATCGTCGTCGTCGTCACTGTTTGTGTGTCGAGTATTTGATGATGCGGTGTGTGAAGTGCGGTGGTGGCCCATAAAAATAGCATGGTGTATGGAAATGGGAGCTTATGTCACCTATCTGAATCCATTTCCTGATTCCGAAAGGGTTTCTTTGATCTTGATCTTGACTCTTATAAAATTAGACCAGTTTAGTTAGCTTTGAGAAGATCCGCATTGTGTACGTGTTCTCTGTTTTTTTTATCAACATGAAAAGCTTTGATTGATAAGGAAGTATGCAGTTTGATCGATAATACTTTTCCTATGAATTTAATGTACATTGTAAATAGTTATTTCATTACATTTTGCAATAATATATATTATCTGGGTAATATAATAATTAGTGCAACTGAGGTCTGTCTGTTCAAGTGGCAAGGTAGGTGTAAATGCATGATATGAGTATGAGTGACACAATGGAAAAAGATAAGATTACAGACAACTAACTGGTGGTAGTAGTAGCGGTGGTGGTGGTGGTGGTCAGTCAAAGTCATTGATAATGATAATGCAAGTTTGTATAATAAAGTCAGAGAGAGATAGCGAGAGAAAAAACTCGGTGGTTCATTCCTGGTGAAACTATATTTGTTCCTCGAATAGAAATGACACATTGACAAGGAAACAGAATGTGTCTGGTTTCAAACCTAACTTTTTTTTAGTAGTCCTTGGTTATTCCCCGTTTAACTGTGAATTTTTACCTTCTCGTATCCTCCCAAAGTGGTCTGATTGTAGAAACATATTTAGTCACTCACTGGTAGATTGGTTCCTGATTTAATTTATTTTGCAATTATTGCAATTATTTATTAATTATTACATTTTTATAGAGTGAGCGAGGATGTCGTTTCGAGTTGTTCGCTCAAGTAAGTTCCGCCATGTGTACGGACAACCACTGAAGAGGGAGCAGTGTTTTGATAACATTCGGGTATCAAAGTCATCATGGGACTCTACGTTTTGTGCTGTAAACCCCAAATTCCTCGCCATCATTGTGGAGTCTGCGGGAGGAGGTGCCTTTGTTGTGTTGCCATTGAATAAGGTAATTAATATTTGCTAAAGGTTTTCCATCCAAGAATAGAGCTATCATAGTAATTATAAACTACATAAATATGATTTTTTTGAAGGTCGGGAGGATTCCTCCAGACTATCCACTGGTAGGTGGACACAAAGGACCCGTTTTGGATATTGCATGGTGCCCCCACAATGACAATGTGATTGCCAGTGGTTCCGAGGACTGCGTCGTCAAAGTCTGGCAGATCCCGGACCATGGTCTGGGAAGGTATGCAATATATAAATATCGAAAATAATTATTTGGCTGATTGCAATTTGAGTTTAATAATGTTCTTCCATATTTACAGGACTTTGACAGAGTCAGTTGTTGATCTACAGTATCATCAACGAAGAGTTGGTCTAGTCCTTTGGCATCCAACCGCTTTAAATATTTTATTAACTGCAGGTATGCCTAACTTAAGTTTGCGATAAATAAGATTGACAGTAGAAATGGATTTTTTCTTTAACATCCATTAATTTTTTTTGATATCTTTAATCTTTACAGGCAGTGATAACCAAGTAGTAATTTGGAATGTTGGAACTGGTGAGCCTTTGGTAGAGATGGACTGCCATCCTGATCTTGTGTATTCAGCTTGTTGGAATTGGGACGGTTCGCAACTCGTCACAACATGCAGGGATAAGAAGATTCGCATAATTGAGCCTCGTACTGGAAGGATCATGGTGGTAGGTTAACCACGTCCGTTTAATCTAACGGCATCGCTATTCATATTTGTGTTTATATCGAAATTATTTCAAATTATAGGAGTCAATAAGCCACGAAGGAAGTAAAGGAACCCGAGCAATATATCTTAAAAACGGACTGATCTTCACAACCGGTTTTAGCAAGATGAGTGAACGCCAGTATTCCTTGCGATCTCCGGATAACTTGGAGGAACCCATTGTAACCGTAGAACTTGACACGTCAAATGGTGTAATGTTCCCCCTTTACGATCCAGACACCAATCTAGTCTACCTGTGTGGCAAGGTAATAAATAGATAAATAAACAATTTATTCCATAATTTTTAATCAACAGTATTTAACAGGTTATTTTATAATTTTTCTAGGGTGACAGTGTTGTTCGATACTTTGAGGTTACTGCTGAACCGCCATTTGTTCACTACATCAATACCTTTCAAACTCCCGACCCACAGCGTGGTATTGGGATTATGCCGAAGCGTGGTTGTGATGTTAAATCATGCGAAGTTACTCGTCTCTTCCGTCTGAATAACTCTGGTTACTGTCAAATTATCAGCATGACTGTCCCTCGAAAGGTTTTATTTTTATTTTTTTTTTTTGCTTTTTCTAGTAGTAAAACTTGTTAAATAAAAAGCTCCTCTAACCTACTTGTTTTGTCGCTTTAGTCGGAATTGTTTCAAGAAGATTTATACCCGGACACGCCTGGAGATGAACCCGCAATAACAGCCGAAGAATGGATCGGTGGGAAAGACGCTGAACCAGTTATGATTTCTCTAAAAGATGGATATAACAGTTCCGTGAAAAAGAATGAATTGAAAGTGAAGAAGAAGGCTAACATCTTAACGAAGCGGTCGGCAGGCGGCAGTGGGTCTTCGCATGCTTCAGGTGGTGGGTCTGAATTAGAGGATGAACCTGAAGATGAACCAATCAGCTTGGCTCAGTCCGTATCGTCTGTAAGTTTTCTTTCGTCTCTGTTTTTATATGTTGCACTATGTGCACAACGACATCTACTTACTTATTTTAGAAAAATATCTCAATTTTAAAATTATAATTATTGCAGATGAAAATCTTGGAGGATATGCAAGATGAGATTCGCAAGTTGAAAGCTATGATTGTAAAGCACGAGAGAAGGATTCGGGTGTTGGAGCAAGCCGATGCGCGTCCTGCACTTCCCGTGTCTGAACCACCTCCTACAATCACTGTGAATAACAATACTGGCCATCCTCCGGAAGATATGGCCCCTGATGAAGTTTAATCATCTTTCATAATTGTATTACTATTATGAATAATTTATCTCTAACAACCCATCCTTTATGAAAGTCAACTAACTCCAAAACTCTCTCTATACTCTATACCAATGTATTTTGTCCACTAATCACCATTTTATTTAATGTACCCCCGAGTCAAAATTTTACCAATTGGTTAATTATGTAGCTTCAGTAGACTAGATCGGTATATCATTGCACTGATCAGAAACAAAATTCCAATCTCTTTTATGTATGCAACTGCCCGCCCACATATGTATTGGGGAAAATTTTCAGTATTTAATAGTTTACTTTTTTACACTTTCAAATGAGAAAGTTATGTGGTGTGTGTGCATGTATTATTGTATGTGGGTCGGGCCGATGGGGGGAACTATTTTTAATAACAACAAATAATAATTATTATTGTTATTATTATTATTATCATTATTACGTGGCTATTCTAAGTACTACATACTACACATACTATACTAATAGAATGAAAACACAAACAAATATCCGCAGACGCTTCTAATAACGGACTGATTGTCTGGCCTAATTAAAACTTCGAAATTTTTTATATTATTATTTTTAGGAGTGAAACGTGTTTAATCGTATCTACCTGTACCACCACCACCCCTACATTTTTTAACTACTATGTCGTGGTGGTTGTCGTCAGCATCAATCAATTTCACGTAACAATATGTACATGTAAACTATAACCATCCAACCAACCAACCAACCAAAGTGCTTTAATACCTCATACTTACTTATTCAACGCTCAAACCTAATTTGAAACCCAAGGACGATACATTTTTTTCGAATTTTCAAAACAAAAGACTAAACAAATTATTATTACGCATTTATGTACTACTATTATTATTATTATACAAGAACAATAGAAAGAAGGAGGTACAATAACTTATCTACACAAATTTTCTCTAGCTCGCATGGTTTGTTACTTACTTATTACTACTATACTTTTTATCCCTCCAACCCCTTGTTGGGAATAACATTAACGAGAAGAGAAGGAGGAGGTGTAAAAAAAGAATGCATAATAATTATTAGATTATTATTTCATATGATAACCCTACTTGATGAAACCATCAATAACAACTCGCGTCGTAACTTATTCTACAACAGATTGATAATATAATACTAACGGTTTGTAATTGTAACTTGTAAAAAATCTTATTAATAACTTAACTACGTAAAATTAAATTAGTCATATAGGTTCACGTAGAACATATTTAAATTATAGTAACTCTAAATATTGTACAACTAGTAAGGGCTACAGTTCTTCCGAAAAAAGCAACCAAAGCAATTGCTTTCGCCTTATTTACTCTCGTATCGAATTGATGTGCCTTATTGTCGATAATGATGATAATAATAATAAAATATGAAGAATGAACTGGTTCAAAAACAAAGTTCCATAATGCATTTCCGTTTTGTCATTTCACAGCAAAGTTTCGTTACCTCCGAATTTTGTTGTATCCTTCACTTACAAATTGTTTCAAGGACAATGAAAACATAAAAATTAAAAATACGAAAAAAAAGTTACAAATTAGAAAAGGTAATCAAAATCCAAACCCATTCGTACATATTACAAATGTCAAATTCCATACAAAATCCACCCACGCATTCACCTTTGTTACATTCATATTCCACATTTGATCATTCATTCCATGTAAACCATACATACCATTTACAAGCATTTAACGCATCAAACAGAATATAAAGAAAACCTTTTTGCCGTTAACACATATTTATTAGCACTTATTCGTCAACATCCCATATGGTTTACAAGATAGGATAGCATTACAAATATAATAATAATCATCATTAAAGTTAAAGTTAAATTTGCATTTGCAGAAATCAGCTGCTCACTCCAAGTGGTGAGGGTACGAACAAGGTTTGCAACTAAAGTACGCAGCAACAAACAGTTTCGTACATGCTGTTGTTATGTGATCATCCCATCGCAGCATGTTCGGAACATTCAAACATCCCGGGCATCCACACCCCCTCAAAAACTTGTAGCATATTTATGAATGCTAACTTTTATCATTTTTTGGGGGTGGTCTGACTTTGTGGATGCGTCATTTTTTCCTCCGTCGCATTACTGCAGGTTCCTTTAGGCCAGGTCTGAATTACGACCGAACAACAACATTGGCTGGCTGACTACTACATTTGCTTGCTTGGTTGCTATTCCCTTTGTGTTGTCACAGTCAGTCAGCTCGACACCACTGAACTCTGCACTTTTTTACAGAAAAATTATTATTACGCATCGAGATCACCCAACATTTTGCCAACGTTTCTGCTCTCTTATCTTACCTTGGAAAAGATAAGGTAATAAACCCATAATAATTGACTGGGTGATGCAAGTAATTGAGTGTGGAAGAGAGGAATCGATCCTTATTTTTGCACTTGATTGGATTTTTTTTTGCTTTTTGGGTTTAAATCTCTAACTTGAAATAAATAAATACGAATTAAAATAACTGAATTGTTTTCTATCGTTTGGTTTTGATAGGGGAGAGTATTTTTGGGCAGTTTGCGAAGCCAGGAAAAGATTGGATTTTCAAGTAAGTTTCAACAACTAGATGGATGCCTTGCAAAAATCATTTAAGGACCGTCGTTCTTTTGGTAAGTTGTGTAATTTTTCATAGGGTTAGAATTAGGTAATTAAGATTAATAATTGGGTAATTTAATGGGGGAATGTTTTTTCTGCAGGACAACGAGTTCGAGAAGTGGAGCAAGTTCGGAAGGAACATCCTTCCAAGGTTCCAGTGATTATTGAGAGATATCGGCACGAAAATCAACTCCCCCCACTCGACAGAAGCAAGTTTCTTATCCCAGAACATGTCAGTGTTGGGGAACTCATCAACATTTTGAGGTATTGCATTTTAAAATTAATCTGTACTGTAAATTTATTTAAGTACAGAGGATTTATAAATCCTTAATTGAAGCTAGTTACTTAACAAAAGGATTCAAGTTAGTTTAAATTTGTTACATGCATGCATAGTTTAAGAGCTTTTATAGTTTGGTTCTTGTGTAATAATAACCACTTGTTACTAACAAATTTGCCTCTTTAATGACGAACGTACTGCTAATATCTCTGAAGATCAGAGATCAATGCATATCGGATCAGACTCTGATCCGATATCTTTATTTGGCAATTAAAAAAGGATTAAGTTTAAAAATATTAATTCTAATTTTATTTCTTATAAAACAGGCGAAGGTTGCAGCTAAACCAGTCCCAATCAGTTTTTCTCATCGTGAACGGTCGTAATTTGCCAGCAACTGCCGCAACGTTTGCTGACATTTATCGCAATGAAGCGGATCCAGATGGCTTCCTTTATATTGTGTACGCGTCACATGAAACTTTCGGGGGATCATCATCATCATAAAAAATTGCGTTAATTAAAGATCTACATTTGTTATTATTTTCATGCCTCATTGTTACTATCCATGCAGAATTTTGACGACCTCGTTAAATAGAAAATAGATTTCAAATCCAGTAAATTACAAGATTATCATTGGTGCATAATATAATAGTTAGTTCATATTATCGCACTACGGAGCGCACCAGGTTTCAGACTTAGACTACTATAATGTAGATTTATCGAATATTTATACAAGTTGACTTGTTTTTGTTTCTCATTTTCATTGCGCACAGGCTAAGTTTTTTTCTTAACGGTATGTCGCTAATATTTTTTATTTAAATAATGACGTTTAATTTTGTAGCTGGTCAGTCCGTTATTTAGGGTTTAAAACAAAATTTATAATACTAATAACACAATACAAACAAAGTCCCCTTTAATACTTGAACCTACAAATTAACTATACAAGTAAAACATGAGTTGCAACTATGTAAGTGTGATCTTAAATATGTAGTTTTCTATGTAAATGTCCATGCTCGTATACTTGCCAGCATTTCGTATTTATTAATAAAAGTTTTTGCGCACGCAGTTTATAATATGAATTCGTATGATGTGTATAATATTCAATTTCATATATCGGCTAAAATCGGCTTATATGCCATGTTTGGTCTTGTTCATCTCATTGGTATGCGAATAATAATAAATTTTGAAGCAAAAGGCTTTATTATTGTATTTAATTGCACTCGGTTTGCAATGCTTTCATATACATGTAACTATGTTCTAACTATAATATTGTGATTTTTCAGTCCATCATTGTTCAATAGTTATTTTGGTGACCGTTTTTGTCATACTATGTTATACCCGTTGTTTGCTTATGGAAAGATTGCAAAAAATGTTGATTTTACCTATTATTCGTACACAACACATAGTAAGTAAACGTATGTAAGTCTAGTGAAGGACATTTTTTATTGTTGAACTTGTTGAAAAAAAAAACATTTAAAATCTTGTGTTGTTTTGCATCAATAATCGTTCTGCAGTCTTCTATGCTAAATTTCAAATCAACGCTATCCTCATCCCCATCACGGGTTGAATATTAATCTACTTAAGTATCGTCATTTAGATAGGCTACGAACTACATCAATACAAAACATTTTTACTGGCAATATTCCACCAGGGTCAAAAATAGCACGGAACATCATATCGTAGAACTTTGGTAACAATCGCACTTTTGAGGGTTATATAAATAAAGGGAAATTTTACTACATATTTGAATGCAGTTGTTTTTACAATTAATTAACAATAATCTTTGAGTTTAAAAAACCTAACATCAAAATCAAAGTAGTAGTCAGTAAAAGAACATAAAAATTCTCAGTACAACTAGTATTATAAAGTCAAACTAATAAGTCATATATATATATCTATATAATAGAAAATCTATATAATATAAATTGTCTTACTACTACCTGTCTTACTACCTATTTCTCTTTCCTCGTTATAATAATAATAAATACTGTTGTTACAAGACTGAACATTTGTGGTTTCTCGAGAAAGAAGCCTGCAGTAGTAGTAGTAAAGTTGTATGTAGTACTAATAGTAGTAGTAGTATGAAACAGGTACAAGAAAAATTACTGTTGGTTTTTTAAAATAGTATCATCATTCCACCAGTCTGTGTGATTCGGGAGATTATTATGAGGAATGGGTCAAAGTTTCTCCGTAAGTAGGACGGAATTATTTTAAACGCTGAATGAAGAGTGACGTTTATTATTAGTCGTTGATGAGCATTGATCTTTCATCTGTAGAGTTCTCATTAAGGGCAGTTTCGATGTTCATTGGTGCTGAAAGTAAAAATAATTGTATAAATGAAAGGTTATAGAAGAGGTAATGATTGACAATTTTACAACTTTTTTTGCGTCTTACCTGGAAACGATAAATCGGACTTCATCGTCAGCATTAAAGGAATTAAATTTTCAAGCGGAGTTGGTCCTATTCCGAGTACATTGCTAAAAAATACATCTTCGATCACAGCAGGAGCAATCCCTCTGAAATTATATTTGGGCATTTAATTACTTCTTATACATACTCTAAGAAATATTTTTTAAATAATATTGAATAGATTATTATACCTTAAATGAGGAAGAAGAAGCAGAATAGAAGTGATGCGCTCGGCAGGATTCTCAAAGGTAGCTATGACATGATCTTGCAACTGCTTCAGGGCTGACTTTTGAATTTCTTTAATCCCATTGCTTGTAGAATCATATTGGGGATATCGATCTGAAAATAATAAAAAATATGTTAACAAATAATATTATTCCAATTGTCTATCATACCATATCGGTTGGAAGGGCGTGCTTACCATGACTAAATACGGCTAAAACTTTGAGAGATGCATATTCAAATTCATCCAGATTGAGATTTTCGACAGTTTTGATGAATAATTTTAATTTGGATGCATGTTCCGCTATCATAGTTAACTTGGAAGAAGTACAGTTTGATTGCATATTTAGCAACAGGGCACTAATGACGCTAGTTAGTGGAAGAAAATTTTGATACTGAGAAAGGCCAACGGCAAATAGGTCACTCCACACAGATTTCATGATAGGAACCTGTGCTTCAAGACTGGGGACAAGACAGGAAAAAAACCATTAATTAATGATTATGCATTAGTTGTGGAAACATGTAACCTTATTAATTTGAATATCTCACTTTAAGGCTTGAAATGCTGGAAGGGTTTTCGCCCAATGAACCGAGAGGAAAAGGAGTCGGGATGACGTCTCGCACACATAATCCAGGGTGACCAACCCATTGCTGGGAAGTTTCGAAGGGCCCACCATTTCAAATTTGACCCATTCTTCCGGAATAATGGCGTCTTTATCAATATTGGACAAGACTGAGGACGAGGAGGAACTTTCCTCATCTTTATTCTGGTGGTAGAGATAATTTTGGAACAAATTAGCCGTTTTGAATATTTCCTGCATTATATAACGAAATTATGGATAATTGCTTACCTCAGTTATCACATTCGAAATCATTTCGATGGCTTTAGCGATATTTGTGCGTTCCGCGTCACTTTCATTCGCGCTCTCAGATTCTTCATCATCTGTACATACCGTAAATCATTTGATTTTATGTACCCACCAATTTACCAGCAAAAATGATTAATTTTTGTCATCGCCATACCTTGATAACTATTGTCGTATACGAGATAACCGGACCGGTTAAAGCTGTTTCCATCCAGGAGGGTACCATAGAGGGACGAGGGAGACAAGGCAGCTTCCGTACTTTCTGACCTCTTTTGGGCTTGACTATTCGACAAAGGTTTTCGCTCATGCTGAACTGCTAAAAGCGTTAATTTGTGAAGTACATTCTCATACTTTATATGCCCCCACGATGGGTATATCTCGTTGTGTTTATTGTGAATCCAAGAATTAGTACCTGTATCCCGCATCCCCATTTGAAGGCATTTTTGTAATCGGCAATACTGGCATCGGTTCCGATGATGTTTCGTCACCTCGCACTGCTTTGTCCCACGACATGAATATCCTAATTGTTTACGGATGGAACGTTTGAAAAATCCCTTGCACCCTTCACAACTTATTGCCCCGTAGTGACGACCTAATATGAATGGATTAAGAGATTTAATTATAATTGCAGACGTTGGCGCAGACTAAACGCTCGCAATCTAAACGTTTCAATATCTACCTGATGCACGGTCACCACAGACGACACAGATGTCTCCCAGGGGAGAGACGCCAGTGATCCACGGTTTCTTGTCTCCAGTATCCAATAAACTGGACAAACTAGTGATGGTTATGTTTCCAGTTTCCATCTTTGCAAATTGAGATTGTTAATTCTGCCTGAAATAATCCAATAGAACAAGAAAGTATTAACCCATTGAATTATGCAAAGTTATTGTTATTACATTATATCAAATTATAAAATTAAAGTTTTAGTCTAAAAGTAATTGCATTTAATGTAATGTAATCTAATGTAATTTGTTTTCGAGAATTTATATTACAACTTGCGTAGTCTCACATTTGGTTGATGAAACGGAAATATGAGACTTTTTAAAATTTTATCCTCGTAAACCAATTTCACTCAGAAAAATATTTAGTAAAAAATCATCAAAAAACAGTATTATTGCCATTTCTCAACATTTATAACCTAATGCATGTAACTAATTAAGAACTCTATGTTTTATTATCCTGCATAATTATAATCAAGCGTATTTGCTCGTACCGTGTAAAATTATTTAACTAAATTCGTCTCATTATTGTCCCACTCAACTCACCACCAATGCAGACAAATACATACTTTATTCAAACATTAATAAAGAATATAAATGTCAGCATTTATTATTTCCTTTCCAGACTAATGACTACTGTCTAATACAAATCTTTTATACAAATATTATCCTTACCTTAAAAATACGTATTTATTTATTTATTATCCTGTCCAGCAGCAGCCAGTCTTCTATTTCTGCTTTGTCTTGTTGAGATTAATGTAAGTAATACTTTTACTCATCCAAACCGAGTGAGTGATACACAAAATACTTAAAACAACAACACTAATAATTAACAAGGAACACACTTATCCACGAGAACAATGAATTTCTTGTCATCATCGCAAGAAAGTCTCCCACATTTTAATAATCTAGCACATTTATCGTCTCCCACCACCAAGAGTAAATCATTCCTTTCTTTCATAACTTTCACCCCCCATTCCGTCAACTTTCTTCTTCTTTACCGGTCTTTAAGAAAACTGCCGAACTGATCCTGATAACTTGCGTCGTCGTCGTCACCGTCGCCGTCGTCGCCGCGGTTGAAGTGAGGTCAGAATTATTTTTACAACCAACTTGGAACATTTGATGGTGGTGTTGAACCAAAAAGGCGAGTCAGTCAGAGTTCAAACGGTGTTCCAACAAAATGGCTCCTGACTCAACTAATGTATTAAGAAGGTCAAACACAGAGCCAGAGAGCAATGCCATATAACCAAAGCCATGTTACGGCTTGCTTGCTTGCTGGCTCGTATTTCGTATATCTAAAAGTGAGGGAGAGAACTCCAGCCAAAAGCTTTTCACGTTCGGGTTGCGTTTACTATTATGCACAAAGACATGGCAAAGTCGCATTTGGCTGCTTCTCTCTTCTCTCTTTCAGTATTATCATCATCGTTGGTCGGTCGGTCGTCGTCATATGTATGAAATGAAATAAGCTTGGGAATAGAGAAGAGAGAGATGCACAAAAAAATCATCTCCTTTCATCCCCAACGAAGAAGCAAGCAGCAAGTTTTAATACTACTTCGTCACTCTGTGCACTTTTTATCCCTCTTTTTATCCTTCTTCTTCAACTATGCCTCTATTTCTCCTCATCATTCTCATTCTCCATTATTATGACCATTGTCTGCGAAAGGAAGCGGGGTGGGGACTATCTTTATCACCTCGGCCGTAACAGCTACTGCAGCAGTGTGGCAAGGAAAAAGGGGGCAAAATGCAGTGTCAGTCAGGCGGCGGAGGTGGGTCTGACCTTTGGCCACCTTTGTGCCGCCGTAGCGTTGTTGGATAGGAAACGGGCTGAACTGACATGACGTCAAGAGAGAGATGATGCCATGCTCAGGAGCGAGTTGGTGGTGCACATAGGGTCATGACATCCCTCCCTCTCGCTCCCTGGTCACCACACATGCGAAATGAAATGGCCAAGCTAAAATATTTTAGCATTTGTGCACTCATGCCAGAATCATCAGGCCAAAACCGGCTTCATATTTATATATGCTGGTCTCCCCTTTATTTCCACGACCCGTCTCTCTCACTCGGCATGTAAGTGCTGCTGCCAAGTTAGAGTTCACTAAGGCTAGAATGTGTAACCTAACCTTATCATCATCATCCACTAATAACCTAACCTGACATTCATATGACAGGCAGGAGTCAGTGTGCTGCTTAATATTTGCTGCTCTCCTGGGTCGGGAGGATGTTTCGGCTAATATGCCGTGAGTATGTAATATATTCTGTTTGGATGTGTATGTATTTCGAGTAAAGGACAGTGCAAAAAGCATATGATGATGTAAAGGTCAAGGCATCCCATTCTTCCCGTGGTAATTATAACATGGAGCATATATATCATTTCAGGGGGGTAGGGGTAAAAAACATACGCTTTATGTACGGCCCCTAATCAGACGACTTATGAGCTATGCAACAACAATGCAGCCACTTCATAATAATCATAATAATCGTTGCTTGACCCCAGAACAGGAGGTATCGTATTGTTTAGCAAAATAAGTCAATCAGTATGCTCGGTAATCATTATTGCAAATAAATGGTAAGCAGAAGAACGGAATGCGGTATGTACTTACATACCTAGATATACGCATTCACAAAGAAGACCTTTTGTACATGTAGGTAGAAATATCGCTTTGGTATGTGTTATATACGGCATTAGAACTAAAATTACCGTCATATCACCGTCTTATGGAATGGATGGAATGAAATGTATTGTGGTCTCAACGGAAATTACAAAGCCGATAAGACACGTGCATGATATGAAATGAATGAAACCGCAAGAAAGCATATACATAAATAGCTGCTTCCACAAGAATGTTCAATACGGTCAGAAATATTCCACTGCTTATGTATCCAGTAATTATACAAACTAATTTCATAACGCAATAAACAAGGAAGAAAATCGTGTCTTCTTGCGTACCTATGCATGCATCATGTTCACGTATTGTAAGGGACATTTGAAAAGGGTTCAGATTTATGTATTGGATTTTTTACGCGATTTTTTCTTACGGATTTTAATTAATGGATTATTTTCATGCATCACACACTGGGCCTCAACATGTTTAGTTCGGCAGGTGTCTCAAAAATGTGACATAATGAGCGAGCAACGTCTTTAAAAAAGTTTTCATCACTTTAATACTTTTTAAGCTCTCTCTCTCTCTCTTTCTGTCCAAACAAGCAACTCTTCGTTGCACCACAAGTCTTGGACTTTTTATTCTATCGTTGTCGTTTCTTATTCTCGTCTAAATTTAGCTTTACCCTCGGGCACAAAATAAGTGAAGTCACGCTATTCTCTAGCCCATAAAAACCTTAACCTTTTGTGAATAATGCCATGATGTGCAGTGGGAAGAAGGCAAAGAATGATGAGTACGATTCCGTGAGTGTCCACTTGAATGGGAGATATTTTTATTATAGAGCATCCGACCGACGACGACGACGACGACGACTCTGCTGTTACCTCTGCTGCTTTGCTGCTGCTGCTGCTTTTTTCAATGCATACGGCGACATTCAAATCATTATGCACCGAGCAAACGAGAACCTTTTTATCCTACCTTGTAATTCTTTATTTTTACGGGTTGCCGACCCCAAAAATGACACCATCGGGGCAACCAGGCCATGCAGGTCACTTGATTGCGGTGTAATTGCAAGTGTGTGGTCTCTCTCTAATGAGGTCTGATTTCCTCATTTATGCATCCCATGCACTAAAGAAAATCGTGACAAATATGTAAATGTATGTCTCATTCTTCCACGAAATCCTGAGAAAGTTTGAGTAGGCCGAGATTCCCATCTTCTTGATTGAGATTATTCCTTATTTCAGCACAAATTCAATATTTTTCTTGCTCTGAATCTGATGCACACTAATATGTCACATTTTGTGCCTAATTGTCCTGCCATATCTTTCAATTAAACCTGCTTTTATACCACAAGAGGGAACGGATGCATAGAGTGTTACCGGTTTTAGTCGGACTTTCAGTGTCCAGAAAGCTTTTACAAAAAAATCGTTTATACACACACACAGAATGAAATGTAGAGCTAAGCTTTGTAATAATGTGTGTGTGTATACGTGCGATGATGGTTCTCGCCCATATAAATCCACCCATCATTAAACTCATTTAACAAGACGTATAGTTGCTCATAAAATTGCCAGGAAAAAATACAATTTTGCTTGGAAAACGGTAATTTTGACCCATATTTAAGAAACAGTGGTTAGAGAAATAGTTCTTGTTTAAAGATGATGAGACAGATTTGTTAAAACTGCCACCGACCGAGTACTACACAGGCTTTTCAGCTATTAATAAAGGTGGTTTCTGCAATTAGTGGAATTGGCAGACGAGGAGACAGTTGGACTGGAGAGATATTAATTAATGATAAATAAGGTTTAAGAATATAACAAAAATCTGGGTGGGGCGAGGGATTAAATAAAGGAGATCAATTGTAATACTGAGAAGCTGCTGCTGCATAATACACATTGGAAAAGACAGCTTCATATCGGAACGTGATAACAGACGACACGGATACATTACGAATTAGTAGAGGATTGATTGAGGAGGAGAGTTTGTCCCTATTTTGTTTGTATAAAAAACGTACCTTTCTTCTCACCCAACTTTCTCCCAGTAAACGCTGTAGGAATGGTGGTACGTTGTTTTTGCAGTGTAAAACAATAAATATTGGTTGATTTTACTAATATAAATCTGAATCAATTCAGCTCGTCCTGGTTTTGGGAGACTTGCACATTCCTCACCGGATAGCCACACTTCCAGCCAAGTTCCGGAAGTTGCTTTCACCCGGAAGGATCCAACACATCCTTTGCACGGGCAACCTCTGCACAAGAGAGTCCTTTGACTACCTTAAAACTGTAGCGGCGGATGTGCACGTCGTTCGAGGTGACTTTGACGATAATTTGTCCTACCCGGAACAAAAAGTGGTCACCGTGGGACAGTTCCGGATCGGACTGTGTCACGGACATCAGGTTTGTCACATTCACACACTGAGTTGATATGATAATGCGAGATAAGTTTATTGAAAATGGGTCTCACCAATCACTGCTAGATTGTGCCCTGGGGTGACCCTGACGCCTTGGCGATAGTTCAGCGACAGCTAGACGTTGATATCCTCATCACAGGCCATACTCATAAGTTTGAAGCGTATGAGCATGAAAATAAGTTTTATATCAATCCTGGATCGGGGACGGGTGCATATCATCCATTAGAAAAGTAGGTTGATTGATTTGATCGATATATTTAATGAGGATTCTGGAAAATTAATTTGTTTTAATAAAAACTTGCAGGTTTGTCATTCCATCCTTCGTTTTAATGGATATTCAAAGTTCCACTGTTGTAACATATGTGTATCAGTTAATTGATAATGAGGTTAAAGTGGAGAGGATAGAATTTAAGAAATAATAGTTAATTAAATTGAACAATTATTCGACCTAATTTTTGCTATGTAGAGTGGAAAAAAACTGAATCAAATTCAATTTCTAATAAATGCATTCACAAGAAATAAATTTGTTGAATGATGAAAAATGGCACAATTAAATATCATAACAGCTTATGTACACCTTGAATGTGTAATAACTCGATTTTTATTGCAGTTGAGCATGCATTATGCACAATCAATTATTAAAAACGACACTTGATCAATGGCTTATAATTTTGTAATGACTTGTGTAAAGAGTGATGTAAAATGTAAGTTTGGATTGCTTGAATTTTTTTACAACAACACAATTATTAAATGGTATATGACGACGATATAACGTGCAAGCACAGATTCTATAACTTAGGATTGTCATTAACTTAAATGCTTCCAAGTACTGTGGAAAAAAAGCTTCTTACTATTAAGTTATTATGTCCGGATTATTATTATGTATAAGTAATGCTGTTCGTTGTGGGACTAATTCACCATTTTTCTTCGAGATTATTGATCCGGGCGGATATTTGAAATATGTATTACAAATATTGTAGACAATACTGTTGGAAGCATTATATAAGTATTATTGTTTCATTATGATTATTATTACGCAGTCGATTCGTCGTTTTGTTTGCTAAGCTTAATATTGCCAAGATCGAATTGAGCATCAGATAAGATGGAACTGTCGTTGTTGGAATCGATGGACTCTGTTGAAGAGTCGTCGTCGTCGTCATCTGTTGTCTCATCACATTCTCTGATTACATTCGTCAAGTCTTCTATCCTTTGCATGGCCAATTTCAAGTCACCCTAACATACAATTTTTTTATTTAATTTTTTAGTCTTTACTCCAAATTGGAATAAGTTGTCTCTTTGTTACCTTGAGGGTAGAAATCTCCAAGTCGGCACTTTCCAACTGTTTTTCCAAGTTGGCCCTTCTACCTTGAAGATCGCTTTCTCTCTGAGTTAGCCGCAATATGTCCTCCTTACTTTCTCGTAACTGCCTCTCGCATTTCTTAAGTTTGTCTGCAGCAGTAAGTTCGCGAGTTTGTACGTTCTTCAGATCTTCTGTGAACTTTTCAATGTGTTCCTTGAGTCTGCTGACTTGGCCCTAAGGTAAAGTAGTAAAATATATTAAATATACCTTATTCATGTGTACAATTATCCCACTTTTTACCAAATATCCCTTTTCCAAGTTTACATAGTAGTCAAATATACGTACCTCTAATCGAGTTCTGGTTGTAGTTTCCAATTCCAATCTGGTTTCGACTTCTCGAACTTTGAGTTGGAATCGTTTTTGAATCTGCTGAGATGCATGGTCTCCTTCGAGTGTTTCCAGCTTTGCCGTAAGTTCTGAAATTGTTTCTTTTAAACTGGAGGTTGCGGCTTCTAATTCGCTAATTTGAATACACTGCTCAGTAATGGTTGTTTGATCCACAGTAAGTTGTTCAACTGCGGCCTTATATTTTTTCATAATCTGTATAAAAAAATTATAGTAATTACTGATATCCAGTTCACTAGAGTATTAGGTCCCAGTTACCTCTGCTAAATTTTCTTCGCCTTCCTCAAATTGCATATGAATATTGGCCTTTTCTCGAGACAGGTTATTTTTCTCATTTTCAGCTTCGTTGCACCTTCGAGTCAATTCTTCGATTTGAAGCAATGCATCTGACAGTTCTTCATCAACCTTATATGAAAAAGTAGTGGAAGAGATTATTTATTTTTGTTATTATATCAAAGTTACTACTCCAGTGATCGATTGGCGCATGCATATATTTAATTCAATAGATATTTATCGATGCATACATACCTTCTGTTTTGCACGGTTTAGTCGTACTCGTTGTGATTCAGAGTCTTCTAATTGGTGGCGAAGCTGTCTCAACATTCCTTTACTAAGGACGTCATTTTTAGATTGCTCCATCATAGCTTGAGAATCCTTAAGTAATGCTTTCGTTCGTTTTAGTTCCTTCTTTAAGCGAGATATATGCTCATGTGATGCAGTCTGAGTAGATGAAAATTCTTCAAGATCAAATACTCTACGTTCCAGTTCCTGCTTGGCACGTAAAATTGTAGTCCGTTCTTCATGCTCTGATTCAAGTTGACATTCCAGAGCTGGAATAATAATAGACAACAGAAAAAGAGTTAGTAAAAATCACTTTCTATTCAATATTAATTGTCGTGAATGAATAGTCAAACCACACACCTTTGAATTTTTTGTGTGTCGAGTTTCTCAGATCCTCAATTTCCTCTTCCCGTAACTGAACTTCGCGTTTACATTCTTTCCTCATTTGTTCCATCTGCATCTCTAATCTGAGCTTTGTGCTTTCCAAGGTTTGGACTTGACCAGCCATGTCGTCCAACTCTTCCTCCTAATAATGAATTATTGAAATGAATTATATTACAAATCTTTAAAACACTTGCGCTTTATCTTTATAATTAATGAAAGTGCTGTACCTGTTCTTTAACTTTCATTTGTAAATCATTCTTTGTTTTCCGTAAAGCATTGACCTGGTCACTGCTTCCGCCAGATTGAGAAAGTTCTTCTAATTCTTGTTCCGTGTTATGCAGTTTGGTTTCTTTTAATTGCAGCTCCATTTTTAAAGCCTTACATTTTAAAGATTGTTAAAAAAATTATCCACCTTAGTATCATATATTTATACTTTCAAACTGTGTACCTGCATCTCGTTAAATAACGAATCTTTCTGAATTACTGCAGCATCTCTTTCTCGAATGATTTTATCCTTGTTCAGCTTTTCCTTTTCTAATTGCATATTCGAAGTCGAAAGTTCAGAATCGAAACGTCGTTGTTTCTTCTCCAAGAGAGAGGCTCGAGACGCTTCTTCTTGATGTAAACATTTTACGTCAGACAGCTCATTGGACAATTTTTGAATTCGGCGTTTCAATTGTGCCACAATTTGTTTTTGCTCTTCGGACTCTTCCCATGCGTCACAGCACTGCAATTTTAAAACAAAGTTTGTTAGAAAGAAATCAAATAAAGGTAAGGTTTATTTTTATGTATTTTTTGCATACCTTCTTTTCCAGAGATTTTTTCATAATCATAATTTGGTCCAAATGATCTTGCTCCCTTTGTTTCAGCCTCTGTTTCGTCATTTCCAATTCCCTCTTACATCGCTCCCATCTTTGTCTGATATTGAGAAAATAAAACGAAAAGAGTAAATTAAAATGCCAATACATTAAGCACTACTCGCAAATACACACATTTTCTACAAAAATTTAAAGAATCTGGCGACTCACTTGTAAACAGAATCATCATTAAACTCATCGGCACTGTTGGCTTCCCCACCAACTTCCGAAATGGAGTATGCAAGGTCTAATTCAAGCTGTTGTTTCTCGTTCTCTATGCTCTGATACCGAGTTTTCAAATTGACAAGTTGACTTTCAATTTGCTGTTTCTCGGTCATTTCTTGCTCAATTTTTTCTGCAGAAGCGGCTGATGTTGCTTGTTCCTCGGCGAGTTCTGCACTCAATTCGTTTACCTGTTTGCAAGAAATTATTTCTTCAAATATTAAAAAGTAATGAGACAATTTTACTTAAGTAGATGCGATGTATACATTTCCGATCAATTAATAAATAAGAGCAGCAAAGCATAAAGCACATATAATTACAAGTAAGTACATGTTTTGGCACCAATCGACTAACACTTACAACAGGAAGATTGCAATTCATATCAGCAACAGATTTAATATTAGAGTCCAGGTCACTAGCGATACTCGCATCGTTCATCTCGTCAAATTCGTCGGGCACGTCCATTAGCGACCTTGCATCAGAATTTTGAGCCATGGAAGAATCAGTTCCATCAACTGTCGCCCAACTAGCAGAGTGACTCATTTGAAAGCTTCTAATGGCAATCTTCGCATTCATCTTGTCTCTCGGGTTATAATTTCGTTGTAATTTTTTCTCTGGATGAATTTGCGCCCAGTCCTGCTCAATGTGGTCAGACCTCTTTAGAAAGTCCTTGATGCTTGAGGACAATCGAGCCGATTCAGTATCAGGGTCAGCGTGAGCTGGGAATGGTTCAAAACGTGACTTGAACGTGGTACGTGAAGAAATATAGGGTGGCAACAAGGAAAAGCCAGCTTTGATGATCACATTTTCTTGTGGAATACGCACCCCGTCCATCCTTCTGAGTTGTGTGTGAACAGTATTTTGAAATTTTTTGGTGTGACTGCTGTTATACCTCATTGGAGTCTGAGACCGAACAGGTGACAAGGATGACGAAGGATGCTTCCAAGAGTCACCACTATCTGAATAGACACTGCTGAATACGGATGATGCACGACTTGACCGTACAGTCGATGTAGTATTAAGGCCACCCCCAAAACCGCCATTGGCCCTTGGAATATAGCTTTCATAGTCTCTTCCGTATGACCCCATTGTTATATTATTGCGATGTCTCAGTCAGATGATGGTTTCTGACACTGGTTATGCTTATTGCGTTGTATGATGGAAGAAAAGTGGACGGAACACTATCGCCCGCCCCACTGACCCCTTATTTACATTGCAACCTGCGTGTTGCACTTCCGAACTTCCTGATCCTGGTTCGATGACTATTTTAAGCTTATGTACTGAATGGAAACTGAATGGAGAAATAAAAAAATTTGCAAGAGCATGCAAACTCTTTTGGCTCGTGGCCAACTTTCGTTTCGGCATGAACATATCATCATGATGTGTAGTACACACATACATATGTACAACTCATGGGATGACGATATTTCCGTTACCCCACATACATGTTATGTTATTATTTGGGTACGATACATCGGGACGTGGAAATTTTTAAACCTCAATTTTACCATCATGCCTCTCACATCAAATAAATCTGTCAGACACAACTGCCAAAATGTAATCTTAACGAAGTGTAGCGCAAAACAGTACTTAGCAGCATGAAGCAGTTTGTTATCTTTGTTTAGTTTAGATCACTAATTGCTCTTACGCGAATCTCGAGTTTCTCATTTTCATCCTTCAAACGGTTTCGCTCAGCTTCTGCCTTTTCAAATCTCAATTTTAGGGAAGATAATTCATCCTGTAACAAAACACAACAAAATTAACCTTCCATTATATAGACAACAACAACCTTCATTCATTTAAACGAGGGACATACTAAATGACTGAACATGAATGAGACGGTATTGGTATCATTATCATAGATTACCTGAGTGTTTTGAAGTTTCTCATGTGAGCTTTGTACTTTAAGTAATGGAGAAATTTGCTGGTATAATTTCCACCATGACCAGTCCCTAACTGCGAGCAATTTTCGTACATTTTTCTGAATACACTTTATTGCCACATCCCGAAGTTTTAAACTTTCCAAACGCTTTCGGGTTATTGATCCCCGACATCTGGACTGCAACGAGGAAAAGAGCTCTTCCAACTTCAGAGTCTGTTTAATTTCCAACTCATTAAGCACCCATGGCTTCATGAATACCTATTTGAATAATTTAGTTAAATATATATGTAGGGTAGGATTATAATTTAAACTTTAATTGATGCAACGTGTTGCACAATAAGTAAATAATAAAATAATTTTTAGATTACCAATGAATTTCCTAATTTAAATGAAGAACTTGGAAGATCTTGTTTGTCGAAAATGTCAGCAACCCGTTGCTGTACATTAAAGCCTTCTTCGCCCATTGCAGGACTGCCCAAACATTTAAATCTTCGAACAAATTCGGTCTGAGCCACGTGCAGCGGATAACTGCTTTTGTAGAATCTTATCAAATCCGTAATATTGTCACTTCGAATCTGTAATGTAAAACAATAATAATCTTTAAAGATTCTAATACAACATGCAATTGGCCTCTAATTGTATTAAAAAACATACTTGTCGACGCAAGGATGGGACATCAATATCGCCATCACTTCGAATAAATGGATTAAGACATTTAATTGATTGAATCTGAGTCCTTCCCAAAATGTCTGTTAGATAATCCTAGAGAAAAATATTGCTAATTAGCGAAGAAGTATTATAATTACCGTCATGAGACTTTGAAAGCTTACGGTTTGAATCTTAATATTAATTGATGCCGATTTCTTCTGCCAAGTTGTTGAAAAATTTCTTCGAATACTCGCAGTTCTACGGAGGCTCCCGTCCGGAGCTGCAGCAGACATGCAGATACCGATGACCGAATTGCTCGATTTCAAGAACATGCAATTTATGTTGTCCCTGCGATCAAGATCAAATAACATTAACCATCAGTTTCTTCTAATACTAATTCTTGTAAGACTTAACTACTCACTTTTGCGAATCTTGAATCAAAACATTGGTAAATTTAGAGGCCGACATAAGGTCCACGTGATGTAAAATTTTCTTGACATCATATTCTACAATGTGCGTTCCGCTCGAGTGTGCCAGAGTGAGGGACGTGTTACGAAAGTCCACAGCATACAAATTCTTGAACTGGTTTTCTCCATAAAACTCACTTTCAAACTTTTCCAAACACCGAGCTGGCTCTTTAGCATCGTCCATAAAATATAGAAACCCTTTGGCTTTTGAAGAATGGTTGGCAGCTGAAGGGAATGAATCCAACAGTGGCAACGATTCATAATGATTCATAAAATAAGCTTCTTTGAAAGACTCGCTTTCTCCATTGCTTGTGCCCGAATCTGCCCGTGTATCGTAAGTAATATTCTCGCTTTGATACAATTTTTCCAAACGATCAAAATTGACCTCTTTTAGCAGCTTAGATATTCGATCATTCAGATAATTTGAAGCAAGATCTCCAAATCTAGAGAAACATCAAAGTATATTATGTTTAACAGTTTTACCGATTTAAGATTATAATTGTAATTTTATACCTGGCAGAATTCCCTATTGTGGATACTCCAACTTGAATAATGTTGATGCTCAAACATTGAACATTCCTGAAGCCAACGCTATTGGATTTATTCACTGTGGTGAACAACGAGTTTACTGTTTCTATAAAGAGTCCAATAGAAAATCCAAGCACATTTCGAATTCGAGAAATGTCGTTGTCATCCATAATCAGAGTCTTTTCCACATTTTCTAAAGAAAGCCCGAGAAGGGAACATGCACTTTTGAAGTGTTGTTGTCCCGTTTCAATACTTTTAGATGAGGATCCACCCTTCGAATTGTTATTTTGCAGTGCATCTGCAACAGTTCCCACCACATGTCCTAAGTGATACACAGCTCCAAATACAGACCATACGGACTTTGTAAAAGTTTCTCCCAGTCCGAGGGTAACCATTGCTGATAAAATGTTAGAAATTTGCAACAGGTTTCCTTCTGGATCTGAAGAACTTCCAATATCAGAGAGAAAAAACGAAACCCATCTGTTCCCAGTATTATCTGCATCCGTATCAGTTAATTTCAAGTCTTTCTTTAGTTGTTTCAAAACAGGATATGGCGCAAGCAAATCGACGGGACAATTAGATAAGTCATGGAGAGCTTGGAGAATTCCAAAGTAAGGACCTTCATATATCCGCTCCACGTCTAGTAGAAAAATCTGTACATAGAAAATTGAGAAATTTGTTATTTTTAAAAAACAAAACAACCAGTAAAACTATGTGTCATAAACACTCACCTGCGAATTGATTCCAATAATTCTTCCACCCAAATCAAATTCCAAGTTGTACATAACCGTAGATTTCTCAAACTGCATGTCAGAAGAAGAACAGAAAAACTCAACCATGTTGGTCAGTGCTACTAGCCTGTCTACAAAACTTGGAATTGTGATAGAACCACTTGGAAGATTTAGGACTTTGTCTTGCTGTTTTGGACTTGTATTTTCCGACAAATAGCTCATCACTTCTCGAACAATTTCCCGTTTTGTATGAATATTAGATTGTCCATGAACAAGGATGGATTGATGTCTCTTGTTAATAATCATCCCTCTGTACGCTTGTTGGGCACTAGAGTATACATTTGGCAAAAGTTTGGAATGGGTGAAAGCCTTGAGTAAAAAAAACATGGAATTAATTAATCTTGTTAATTAACATTGTTGTAAAACTGTTTCTCATTATTGTAAAAATGGTTATTTACCTGCGTGACTGATTTCAGTAAGTGTTGAGTTTCCAAATCAGGTTTTGCATTCTTGGAGAAGAAAAACATCATATTGTGGGAAACGACGGTGCATGGCAATGAAGAATGGTAACGATTACGCAGTACGTGAATAACGTTCGATTCATTCACCATATTCAAGCTCCATAAATGCGGGGAAAGGTCCATACAAGGAGGATTCATCTGCAAATACGACAAAAGAAATATATAATATAATATTTGGGGCACTCCATCGTTCTTAACACAGAAAGCTCGTAAGAAATTCGTAGAGCTAAATAATTACCGCTTCAACATCGTCTTCCGACACCATAAACGTCTGCTGAGAATAAGCATCAGCATTGACTGTAGGAGATGTACCAGAGAAAGGACTATGATTGTTACGACTTTCGTTATCTGAAACAAAAAAACGGTAGAAAAATTAAATTTTGAAAACAAACAACAACAAATTATGATCCAAACTAGCTTTGCAATTACAAATGTAATTTTTAAACTAACCAAGTTGTACTTTACATCGCCCAGCTTCATCAATTCTTTCGATGACGCGACCTTTTACGAATCCGCTTTTATGCACCAACCACACACAGTTTGAGTCTTTTTGTGAATACCCGTTTTCATCCTGTACAAAATAATTAAAGCAATAAATAATTAATATAACATGAAAATCAATAGTATCACATCATTATTTTCATTAGAGGGAAATTACCTGTTCATGATTAATTTTATGGATATTTTCAATCCAATGTGACGCCGATTGTACCTGTGATTGTAAAATTAATTTAGTAACATAGTACATTTATAATTTCTATTTATTCGTATATAAAATATTTATTACTTTCAAGGTTACAGATCCAGAAGAAGAAGTGATCATTTCGATCATCTCGTCCCTTGTTTTAGAATCGGATCTGATATTGTTAACTGCAATTAATCTGTCTCCTGGGAGAAGGAAACCATTACTAAAATCTCGTACTCCATGACCCTGGGACGGTTCTACGAACAGGATGGACTCCATCCCTCCTGTCTTTGTACTAACGGATGCTTTCCTCACGGAAAATCCAAAGTCACCCGTGGGGAGTCGCTTAACATTGACAATTCGGTAAAATCCATGTTTGATTGTTGGCTTTGGATTGACTTGGTCCCCTAAATCAATTTCTGGATCCACGTAGAACTTTGTAGCGGATACCACATTATGGTTAGGACTTTGTGGTGGTGTGACAAAGGTTGGAGTAAAGCTCGAAGTACTTGCAGACGTGGGTGGTCGGGATGGACTGTAGGCCTGCTGAGAAATAGTATCCCCGGCACTGTAATCACTGGAATACCGAGTCGTGGATGGTCTAGCAGGGACTGGAGGAGGACTTCGAGCAGACTGATGATAAGCCGAAGGAGGTGGCGCTCTTGGAGGCTTTGCTGTAGAAAGTAGTCAAAAAATAATTACAAGTCAATCAACAGTAGTTAAACAAGCAAAATTAATACCTGGGATTTCAGGCGGCATCATAGGCACTGGTGGAACAGGTAAGTTTAATGATTTTGCAGAAAGTGATGATTCGCTGCTATCTGAATGTGTCACCGAGACGGAGACACCATATCCTTCCAGACTATTACTCCTGCTGTCACCATAAGGTCCTCGGAGTGATGGCATCGTTACAGATTGTTGAACGGGAGGTTGAACCATAAAATTTTCACTGTAATCTGCAGTAATCCCACTTGGTAGCTTTTGTTTCTCCTTCTTGGCCTTTCCCAGTTTAAAACTTCTCCTGATCTCATCCAGCCGGTGAAGATCTTCTGGAGATAATTTATCCTTCACTTTCTTGCTAAAACTGCTCGAGGACGATGTGACCGTAACTGGTGTTTGTCCTTTGGCCGGCTTTTTGTCCTTTTCACCTTTCCGCATAAACTGGAACATTTTTGCTGATTGTTGTTTTTCTTCCGCTCCTTCAACATATATGTTTTATCATATTGTGCTCAAGTTATATTAAATTATACAGTATAATTGTAGCCAATTATCAAATAAGAGCGGTAGTTTTCTTACTGTCGAATTTATCCCTAAGTTCACTCTCCTCAAGTGCTCCGTCTCAAATTATGTTTCAGAAATCTCATTCTTTAATTCAGAAATCTCGTAGTTTAATTCCTTCCATCCATCGATCGATTTCGATTCTTCCTTAGTGTTTGGTAGTCGAGTTCCAACTCTTCTGTCCCGAATTAGCTGCCCCTGTAATTAGATGTTGAAAAATTAGATTTAAAATCTCAAATGGCTTACTACATACATACAATCACCAATCTGTTTTTCAATAAAACTTAAGACATTCCCGATGAACAATCCTCCCCAAACCCCACACGATTATTACTATTGTGGTATTAACAAATTTATAACATTCGTTCATTTCAATTGCATAGTCTCCCTCTAATTTCTCAATATCTAATTTATAACATCAACAACTGGAATAAATCATCAACAAGTGAAAGATATTACAAACACACACATTAATACTTAGTTAACTATCTTAAACGGAACCTAACTTCTAAAACATTTCTTGGCACTTTCACGCTACTCACAAATCACATATTTGCCCAACAAATTAAATTAGTTAAATTTTCTTACCTTGAAATCTTCGTCGTTCTTCTCTAATTTATTTAACTAAATCCTCACTCAATCCAGAGGCAAGTATCAGAAAACTACACACCTAAATAGTGTACAGCACTGTCGAAACAATTATAAAACCCGAAAAAACACCTATATCGGAAATCTTGACTCATTTAATTATTTTTGAAATACTACCTTATTTATTTGAACTTGTGTTATGTTGACAGAACATTTGTGTTGATGTTGACGTGATTACGGGATCTGTGTATTAGTGGTTTCTCTGCCTTCTCCTCCACTTTTAGCTTCACTTCAGTGTGTCCCACACGACTGACGGGTTTCTCGTTGAGAAAGTTGAGAAACTTTTTCCTCTTCGGCAGTCGCCGCCGTCACTTAATTTTTCTGAATAGTAGTCAGAAAAAATCCTTTCAACGTGTGTTTCAAAATTTTAGATCTTGAAGGATTTTCATTTCAAAAATAATCAGGGAACATTGTTCGGTAGGGTTCCTTATCGGCGATAAGTTATCGCTTGGACAAAATTGTGTCACGATGTGGAGGCAGCGGAGTCGAGGAGGACAAAGTGATGACAATTCAGGAGAGGATACGAAAAGGGTAAACAATTTATGTGTTATATTTAATTAAAATATTTTCTACTTTTCGTTTTTTTTTCTGGACGCGATGCACGTATTTAAGAGTAAAAAAATGCGCTCTATATTGATTTTGAGGGAAAACAGCTTTTTTATATTTTTTTAATATATAAAAGTTCACATTTATTTGAGGACCTCAATTGAATTAAAACCTACACCTCGATTTGAGGTGTAGGTTTAATATGTATTGTTATTGCTGCGCGTATTTAAGCTTTGGAAAAAGTTTTAAAAACGACACTAATAAACCTTTTGCCACCCTCTCTTCAGTACAATCAATTCCTAACAGGTCCGTCCGCCACCACAAGCAGCAGTACCAATAAGGTCATCCTCATCGACGTCACATCATCGTCAGAGTGGGGATGAGATGTCGTCAAATGGGAGGAAAAACAGTCCCGAGAGCAGCAACAGCAGAGGTTATCACCACAAACACAAGCACAATAAGCACCACCGCAAGAAGGACAAGAAAAAATCAAAGTCGCCGAGCAGTCGACACAGGAAAAGGAGTTCAAGTCGGAGCAAAAGTCGGAGTAGAAGCAGGGACAGGTGACAAATTTAAAATGTATATATGTGATGCATGTTTGCAGCAAAATTTACTCATATTTTTTATTATGCACTTTAGATCTCGACATCATGAAAGTAGTAGCAGTAGCAAAGGATACAGAAGAGACGATTCAAAATCGAACAAGGGTAGAAATTCCCATGATGACAGGGTACAACGATCAAGTCACTCAAGTCGGAATTATAATGAATCTGAACAAGGTAAAATAAATTTTGATTCAATATATAAGTATAAAGGATCCCCGATGGCACGCTGATCCCGTTTTATACAATACTGGATTCAGTGACTAATTTAGCTAGGGGAATATAAAGTTATGGGGATATCGAGCAGGTGCTGTACAATATTCAATTTGTGGCACCTTTTATTTTTATTTCTACATTTTAATTGAAAAAAAGATCCTATAATTTTATTTAATCAGTATAAAGGATTGCTTAGAAGTAAGATATTTTGTACAGGTGCGAGGGTCAACAGAAGGCCTGATCGCAAAAACGAATCGTCAAGCAGTGATTCAGACTTAGATCTCGTAAAAACTAAAATACCACCCTTATTCTCAACTGGTTCAGTTCCACCTGCAGCAGCTAAGCTGAAAGCAGAAATTGAAAAGAGAAAACAATTATGGAACAAAAACAAGGTAAGTATTAAAATTATACGCATATGAAATTAAGTGAAAGTGGTTGCGATCTTAATTTCTTAACTTCAACCGTAGGACAAGCCAGCGGAGACGGCTACTACTGCCACAGCTTGGAAGGGAACAGCATTCTCAAACGACAACGACGGCAGGGTGTCGGCAAAATTTAAACGACTTATGGGCATCAAGGATGTCGAAGGTGAGATCGCGTAGTGAATGTATTTCTGCAATTGTTTCAGTCCATCAATTTATCTTTTAGGCCCGTCTAATTCCAATGACCACGCAGTATCCAAGATGTCAGAGACACAGAGAAAGGAATATTTTGAAAATCTTGAACAACAGTATGAGGTCGCTCGAGCTACCACCCACACTCAACGAGGGCTAGGGTTGGGATTTTCGTCGCGACTGTTTCCTAGATAAATATGTACGATATTACACCAGATACAGAGACTATGTTTACTTTTTCCACTCTATGTTCATTCTTATTTTATTCAGCTATTTTATTGTAGTATCCATACTTTTGGCTAGGGATGAAATATTATGCTATTGAAACACCACTGCAAGTTCTTCAGGAAGTCTAACCTAACCTAATAGTAAGGAGGAATAAAGATTTGGAAATTTTCAGAGTAAATTAATTGTCATTTGTCGTGTTTTGTTGGTGATAAGATTATGTAATTAATTTCATGAAAATGCAGGAAAAAACTAACAATGGAAGTCTCCCAACGTATGCTAACGGATTTTCACCAAACTATCGTCAACGGGTTACAAATGCAGTTAATATGAAATTTGATAAGACATTATCTGCCAATGCTCAGGTTTGGCGGAGATATTTGCTTGGCAGCGTATGTTTTTCGCAAATTTCATATTAATTAAGTTTTGCGATTGATTGACACTAGTTTGGTCAAAATCTGTGAGCATACGTTGCGACCTCCGTTGTAAGTATGCAAAAGTGAGAGAGCTGGTTAACAGAAGTTCAAAAAATTATGAACCAATAAAAAAACTTAGCTAAAACTGTAACATATTCGACTCTAAATTCGATTTTTTTAAAATTTATCAATCATTGAATAACATTAACAGAAGTTATGCAAAGTGACAGAATGTGTTTGTACAAATTCAATACTGCATAAAAGAAAGAATGCAATTTTCCAATTTTGATCCCATTGGCAGACTTTAAACTGAAAAGGTTTAACATATTAGCAGTCGTTAAAAATTGCTGCCGTTTTTAAACCAAAATCATAGAAACTAAAATAAATATGCGAAATTGAACATTGCATTTTTCATAGCTTGGAGTACGCTTTTCAGTGACAATCTACGCAAAAATTTACTACAGTGGTATGCATACTTAGGTTTCAAACTTAAATATTTTTTTACATAAATTATAAAATTATACACACAAGTTATAAATTTTTCGAAAATCATAAACTGAATGCGACGCATCTGCAAAAGTATCAAAGTTCATCCTTCTTCACGTTAGACGGCACGGAAATGCAAGTGCTAGATTTGTGACTGCCTTATTTCTTGCATGCAAACTATGGCCATACTTCATTCCAAATTAAATTGGTTCCCTCAAATTTACAGAAATATGTTAAAGACAACTCCACAATTTGATGAACCCCTAATCTCTCATTTAATCCTTAAAACAACAGTTTTTGTTAGTATAACAATGTTCGTCAAGTCTTCCAATAAAACAAAAAGAGGTAAATATTCACCCTATTTTGTCTCAGCATGAAACTTGTAAATCTGTGTATGTATTGTAATAAATTCATGATTATGGCTGCATCGTAAATAATTCTCACATGTGCAAACTATGTACTTGCTACATACTATTATTATAGTATAAAGATTGCGAATTAGAGATCAAGTAATTCATTGCAACCAAGAAATCATAAAAACTGATGACTAGTTTCGTACGTATAGCCACACTGATTGTTATTTATGTTCTTGCTCTGATATATCTGAAACAGTTCTTGTTCACGATGATTCCGGATTAATTATGACCTCAGCCTCCTCCGATTTATTGCTAAAATAATAAAACAATACTTATCTAAATAATATCTAAGTTAACTAATCCCAAATTTGTCGTATTTAAGTCTGCTATCCTAACTTCTTTCACCTAATATGCACAATCTCCCTTAAGAATAGGATGCACTACCTTCATAATTAAGGCCCAATTATCGGAATCGCTCGAGAAAAAATAATTCTGCTAAAAAGTCACTCCCAAACAAAACAGGGCGGTCCCGAACCAGAGAACAAGTGGATTATCCTGCGTGATGTTTTACAAATCAGGAGATAATGAAATTTCGTGGTAATATAATTACGTCACTGTCGTGCTCTTATCACAAACAGACGAGAGGGGAAATTATTCGAGGGAAAGTCAGAGTTATCATGCCTCCGCCCCATATTTGCGTATATTTAGCCGTCCCCGTGCCGTGGTCATGATCACGACGAGATCTGCTGAGGGTCATGTCGTGTTGTGATAACTCTGCAATGTTGGGAGAAGAAATTAGATAAAAACGGTTTGAATTGGGGGTTCGAGAGGATATGTACAAGTAGTATTGACAGATGTGAAACTCAATTGAGTCAATTTGTTGGTACGGTACCAGTGGTACCGTACCACGCAGGATGGGATTTGTTGAAAACCCATCACAACCAGAAATTGCACGAGACGACCTCTCGTCCTCTCTCTGTTTTGTTCTTTCTTGTTTCCCAAAAGTCGATCCATTGACATTTTGACATATCCTTTCACTAATCCAATTCCAACCCATAATGGGCTCTGCATGAATAACAATAACTCGCTCGCACAGCCCTTCACTTCTTCATACAAGTTCACGACGAAGTCTTCTTCCAATAATAATCATCGCCAGGAGCAGAAGCCTCACAATCCATTTCTTCTCCATTATTGTTGTCTGCCAGATAATAAATGGAAATGGAAAGTGCAAGCCGCCTTTACAGGATTATAAATAGACATTAACTATGCAAAATTCAATTTATAAAATGGTTTTGAAATTATGCAGGCACAAAATGGCTCAAAATTTCGGAGAAAGGTTGGTATTTTTTACATGTACGTAATCAATATTCAAAAATATCCTAATTTGCATGGAGAAAGTATTCATGCAAATTTATTACGTATTTACAAGTGGGACAGACAGGCCACGAAATTAAATACATAATCGGCACAGTCACACTCACTCAATTTGGACAAGAATGACAAAGCAGAATATGGTGACAACTGTTTGAACGCGTTATTGACAGGCATAGGCACTGACAATGTCTTGGTTTAATTATCATCATACAGCTTGTTTTGTCCTCATCCTGCCTGCCTCCCTGTCAGACATCGCTTACTTATTTGTCATTTGATGGGGGTTCAATGCATATGTAAGCACACGACGATACCACCACTTCATTTCTCCTCGGTCGTCGAAGAGTATGTAGTCATCAAGTGGATGACATTATGTTATTATTTTCTGGGTGAACAGAACAAACATGATTGGCCAATTTATGTACAGGGAGAGAAAGGCTGCTTTGTGTCGACGTGTTGCTGCTGCTTCGAGTGGAAAGTGAGATGCTAATAATATGTCCGAACCACCAATAAAGTAAAAATAAATGACCAATAAATTTCCAAGTTGGCCACATGTGCTTAATCCAACTATCCCAATTTTCCAGAATAGTGCGCATATTTCGATACACAAGGCATGTTAGCAAACCCGAGAGGAGATGAGATTGTACAATCATGCAAAAGTAGCAATTACATGTTGTTGAAGATGGATTGACTGTGCGTGAAACAGTAGTTCGAATATAATGCACATTGCTTTATGCTTTTCAAAGTTGTTGAATTACCAATGCAAATTTGTAACATGTTTATTGTTCGGAAAAGTTAAGTATTGCCTTTACTTAACGAAAAAACCAATACCAACCATCTGTAACATTTCATGGTCTTTTTCCTTACGTGAATGAGTACAAGTGCATGTTCTCGTATTTAGCATGACTTTAAACACAAATTACGGGGGGCGGTGGTAGCATATGAGTTGTTTTTAAGTCATTCGTCAACGATGAAACTTGCCCACGAATCCAAATCTGGTCTTTTTATTATTAGTTCCAGTTCCAGAAGCGTAAAACACGTTTAGTGGTTGGCTGGTGCCATTCATCATCAATCTCGGAAAAAGTTGACTATTAATGTCTGATTCCCCTCTTGCTCTCTCTCCCTCCCACATTATTCCCCCTCCTTCCGAGCCTCTGACTGCCACGTTGATTTGCATGATAAAAAACTACTCTTGTATTTTACACGGTTGGACGAGGAAAACTTTCCTCCTTCGGCAACAATGAGGATATTTTTGAATATATGTACGGAGATATTGTCCCTGTAAATAAAATGTTTCTAAAGAATAGTACAATTTTCACAAAATTTTAACACAAAATATATGAAAAAGTTTCTCTGTTCACCATTTGAACACCAGATTGAAATACATCACATCTACACCCTGATAAATATTTTCGTTCGTATTTCGTTCTCGAAAATGTAATTTTCACGCGGAAATGAAACTAGGAAATGAACCTTTAGACCACGAGGATTCAGTTTGTAAATCCGATTTCGTAAATTAATTTCAATTACAACAACTTTGATTGAAATGGAATCAGAAACAAGCAAGAGGAGTGCACACGCATGAAAATAGTCGCAACAGGAGAAAGTTTTCTTGATGAAGTTCAATCAAGTATTACCACATTTTTACCAGGAGCTCAATCAGGAAATATCATTAGGATAAATTTTTACCAAAGTGGTGAAGATTTTATCATCCTCACTTTTTTTATTTATATTCTGACTCAGACAGAAAAACAAGAAATGCTTTGAAACCCACGAAGGTAAAGTGAGACGAAGCTTGAGAGATATTTATTGCAGTCGCGTATGCATTTCACAAGTTTTGAGTGTCACTGGAGGGTTTTGACGTTTGACTCCTCAGTGGGGATAGGAATTTTGAACATGTCTGGAATATATTTAAATCACTTTGATTCTCCAGCCAAAATCTGAGAGACTGAGGAGGAGGGCAGCAAAGAAGGAAATCCCTGATTTGGAATTCACAACTCATTCCTACAAATAGTTACATAATCTACTGCAACCTACACACTCGTATCCACACCTGAATGCAAAATATTGTTTGTCACATGATTTGACAAAAGGATGGCAAAGTTTCTAAATTTCATAAGTCTGACAATTTTTCAGCGATACGTTGAGGAAAAATGATACGCCGCCATGTTTAGTAAATGTAAGAACGGTATAAAAAACTGTGTCTTTCATAATCATCCTCCTCCTCGGGTCCCTTGCCGCAGTGTCACATACGTACGCCGCATGTATTCCTGTGATACACACAACTACATAAAAGCAAAGCTAAAAGCAACGTAATCTTTACAAAAAAACTGGTATAAAGTTTTTTATCTCAAAATGAGACAAGCCCTGTTCTTTTCGTGTTACATAGATTCATGAGGTGGGTGACTGACTCTTGTCAGAATTTGGGACATTTATTTAGTTTTTCGCTATCTTCACCACCCAGGGTCCGGCTTTGTTGTTGGATGGACTACAAATATCTAGCAGTACGACCGCCACTTATTTTTTGATGATATGTACAAGAATGTGAAAAAATAATGAATTTTTTAGCACACCAAATGAGAATTAAGATTGGAGTGGGACATGGAATTAGAAAAGAGGAAACCTATAATCGTCGTCTTTTTGATGAGAATGTTGAAACTAATGAGAACGTGATAGACCATGAGTGCGTGCATGTAAACCAATAACTGCGGTTTTCATCGACCCATAGTGTCCACGTTACGTAGTATCTTGTGGCACACCTTAGGTGGTGGTGGTGGAATAAGAATATCAAAGAACATTGGAGAGAAATAGGTAAGAAGAAGGTCGCTGTGGTTGAGGAGAGGGCTGTGAAATTTAAATAAGAGAATGGATTTGGGGAAGATGGTAATGATAGTGGCAGAGATGAGAGGATGAGCCAAGTGTGATTAGTCTCTTGATG